ACAATCTCGATTGTTGTTTTTTTTTAACCTCAAAATCTACAATGGAATACAAATTCCCAGCTCAAATTATACTCTTACTTTTATTGGACGAGTTAATGTCTGTTGTTCACGAAAATCTATGGCTATCGAATAAAATCACTGTGTCTTAGTCCTTGTCATATTGTAAACGAATTAAGAGAAGAAAAAATGTATACATTTTTGAACTACTATTAAATAATTGTTATCTCTTTCCAAAGATTTTTTTAGTGATAAGGTTAATAAACGATAACGCTAAGCGCTATATTCAAGCTAGGCACATATATAGGATGATATATTATCTGATATTAAATGGTGTGTTTAGGCGAATCGAAAGTTTTTGTTTTCGATGAGTTATCGGAGTGCCGATAATCTGGATAATAATGGATGCGGACACTTCGCCGAATGGAAAAGTTGCCGATTGGACAAATCGCTGAATTTTCGGTCAAAACGCCGAAACATATCGGTGGACAAGTTGCCGAAAGTGGTCACGACGCCGAATCAGCTATTTGGACATTTCGCCGAAAGTGGTCAAAACGCCGAAAGTGATGGAATTACCGAAATATCTTTTTGAATTTTAAAACGAAATATTTGCTTGTGACAACCTTTTTTGCAAAATAGAATACTGCAAACTACAAACGTTATGAAAATATTCCAAAGCGTTTTTATGTTGATATACATATATTATGTATATATATATAAACATGTATTATACAGCGTGTCTCACTTTGACCGCCCCTCCCTCTATATCTCAGCTATTAGTGGTGCGATCCATAACAAATTTGAACTGGATGAATAATCATCAATATGATCAGTTTTTTGAGGACAAACATGCTGTATAAAAACGTTTTGGAAATTTTATACATTAGAAGCATTATATTCTGTTTCTCTCAATAGGTTCAGTCACGTTTTAGTTTAGATTGTTTAAAAATAACGAAAAATATGCGTTCTAGAAAAAAGGTTCATTCGGGCGAAAAACGAAAAAGATCCAAAGAGTTATTTCGGCAATTTTACCAATTTCGAAGAAATGTCCAAATAGCTGTTTCGACGTTTTGATGCGACGGCGTATTGGGGTCATTGTTACATTTTATTTTTTCATGATTGTCACTTTCAATCTGACAATTGTCACTTCCAAACTGGCAATTGTCAGATTTGAACTGGCAATTGTCAGATTTGAACTGGCAATTGTCAGATTTAGACTGACAATTGACATATTAAAAGTAACAATTGTCTGAATAAAAGTGGCAATTATCTGTCAATCTTTTAACTTGTCCACTGGCGTTTTTTGGCATAATGACCACTTTCGGGAAAGTGTCCACCGACCGGTTTCGGCGTTTCGACCGAAAATTCGGCGACTTGTCGATTCGGCGAAGTGTTCGGGACCCGATAATAACCCTCTGAATTTTTATTATAGATGTTGAGATCCGATCCTGTCCTCCCGTGACCCCTCTCCCTTAAAACGTTAAGAATCCTGCAGTGTTCCCCGCCACTTACCTGCGCTGTGGCAAAAGCACAGGCAAAAAAATGATAGTGGAGATATTTTCGATGTACTGGTCCTCGCAGATCCTATCTAGGCTACTTACTTACGGTAGAGTCTTGAGTGAAAATTGTTTTTTTTTGTCAAAATTCTCTTCTCGAACTTCTGAATGCACAAGAAATATAATAGTTATTTATGTATTAAGGGAATTATGAGGGCCTTAATTACCGATGGCAAAGTTTGCGTCCCGAGGGCCTCTGGCCCGAGGGACAGCAATTGCCAGAGGTTATTGAGGCTCTATAATTCCCGTGATACATAGATAATTTTATTTCTGACTGATTTCATTCATTAGATACCTTCCCGATTGGAAGTTAGACATGTTTTTCCGTATAGTTTCAATGTCATCAGAACGTCAGATGATGATCTTGACTACCGCGAATAGGAGATTCCTTATTGCTACGTTATTGCGTGGTTGTTGCTATGCATTTCTTATTTAATTTTAGCTAGAGGGAATTATAGCATCTATAACATCCCAAGGGAGTTATGACCCTCATTATAGATATCCTAACTATGACGATATAAGCTTATAATGTCACTGTCAGAAATAAACATTTTTTTGAAGGCAAACTAGGAATTCTGTTTGCACAATTGAAACGTTACACATTAAAATTTGGTAATCTTGCACGTTCTTTCTGTATCGATTTCTTAATTTTTTCAGTATGCCTATCCTATAATATGTAGATAGATAGTGTTTAAGAGTTTGCACAGGGTGTCCCTGAAAGGTCTGTACCAAATCTCAGCACATATTCCAATGAGCCGATTTAAAGCAACTAACCTCAGTTCGAAGTTGCTTCGTTTCCGAGATACAGGGTGGTAAAGTTGAATAATAAACAAAGTCGGTCGACCACACTTTATGTCAAAAACAATCAATTAAACAGTTATCAGTTTCAGCACAACGGCCATCATCAGACTGCAGTACCTAAAATACACGATGAATGTAGAAATTGTAAATAACAATTGTCACAGGAAAAACAATTACATTTCTACATTCATCGTGTATTTTAGGCACTGCAGTATGATGATGGCTGTTCTGCCAAAACCGGTTACTGTCTAACTGATTAATTTTTCACATAAAGTATGGTCGACCGACTTTGAGTATTTCTATTTTTATTGAAAATATATTGGACCACTTCGAGTATTGATGATTTCTATGATTTTAAGATAAAAAATCGAAATTTTACTAATACTACTCGGGATGCGAAACACGAATTCGGGCACCTTTTCACTGTGGCCATTAGAGGGCGTTTACCAATGCACTTCTTGTGGTTTAGAATGGCAATAACTTTTTTCTAAGCATAGTTTCTTACGTTATTCGTTGGAAAAATATTTTTCTGAACATATTTAAGCAAAAAGATACTCTTGTGATGATCCGCTGAAGTTAGCCGATCTCGAGATATTTCGATTTTAATTGCTCGATGCAATACTGGCATATTAAAATTATTTTGAATACAATTTTTGTTATGTTATCCTCTTGAATGTAATTTGGTATTTTTCAAAATACTGTCTTGGAGTGTACTTGTCGATTTTTATTGTTTATCTTCATCACCCTGTATTTTGGAAACTGAGCAATTTCCGACTGAGATAAGTTGCTTTAAATCGGATTATTTTGACCTCAGGAATATGTGCTAAGATTTTGTACAGACATTTTAGGGACACCCTGTATAATTTATGTTTGAAATATTATTTTTTTTATGAGCATGTCCGGCGAAAAAATCCTAAAGTTGATTTATCTCGATTTTGAACACCCTATATCTCTGTAATCATTCCCGCTAGACCCAAAGTGTGATGCATTGATGAAATCAGCTCATAAGAGAGAATCTAAAAATGCAATGAAATACAGGATGTTCTATTTGAAATATTGAAGTTGCTACTACTTTCTGGTATAAGCGGCAACGCCGCATTGGTGAAAAATTTTAGATGGATAAACCATCAAGAGCAACTACTTGAGTAACCAAATTTTCATAATGATTCTATGTCCCGTTATTCGTAAACGTCTGTATAATAGCTCTTTATAAATGTCTCTTAAAAATCAGAAACCCTTTTAATAGATACCACTCGACCTTACTTTGAGAAATTTTGAGTGTAATTTTGACTTTGGATGAAGATAAAGAAACAGAAACAGATAAGATAGGATGTTCCATTGAAATAAGGAAGTCAATGTTGACTTCCGGTGGAATCGGAAGTGGAGAGTATTTGAGAATATTTAAGATGAATAGATAACAAATTAAATTTTGTCTAAATTTTCTGATTATGATCGTAAAAATACTATAGGTAGGTAGTACTTTGGAAGTAATAAAGTACGTTAAATATTGTGTAACGTTTCATTTGTGGCATTTACTATGGAAGGTGTCTCTTGAAGGTTTGTGCATAATGATTACACGGATTACTGAAATCAAAGTAAAATGGTTGAGGTGAACTTACCTTCATAATGAAAGTTTGATTTGCCTTAATACATTTTTTGAATGTTTCAATAGTTTTGATAGATATCGCTCTGAAATTACAAGAGGGTCGATATAATTATAGTGTGGTTAAATCAATGATAATAACGAAGTTTTTATCAACAGTACTCGAAATATGTATCACCCTGCATTTCGATGGGAATTGTATGACATGTGTTTTCAGTTTATCAACGAAATTTTAGAGCGATAACTTTAAAATTTTGAAATATAGATGCAAGTTATTTATCTTTCAGAGTATTTCTCTACATTTTTCAAAGTAAAGTAATGTGCCTGCAACATCCCAGCTAGCACAAAAACATTCCATCAATGTTGACGTAATATAACTCTCGGAATTTGAATAGACTGCGCGATGTTCTTTGAGAGTTATTTGGGCTTTACATGTACCGCCAAATGTCCGCAACGCGAGATTTTAGTAGAACATCTCTGGTATGACACAAGAAACATCAATGTTATGTTTGGGAGTTACATTGAGAAAATGTTCTGATGAAACCTTCCTGGGATATTATATGTAACATATAAGAGATGATTACTAGTAACATTTGTGTGATTTTCAATGTGACATCACAAGATAATTAAAAAATATTCTTTTAGAACATTACATAGTTTCATTCATGGCACATTAACGGCAAGGTATGGCGAATGTTACTTTGTGACATAATATAGATGTTTAATGAACTGTACCTAGTATATATTCATTTGCATTTTTGATGAATTAAAAATACGAATTTTCGAATTTATTTTGTCATGTTTCTTGTATACCAGGTGACCCAGGAGTATCCCTCTGTAACTTTCTTAGTTCCACTGACAAAAATATATAGGTTTTTATATGAAACAGCAAAAATTGATATCACCAGAAGTGAGAATGTCTATTCATAGAGATGTCATGAAGTATAATTTTACATGTAATGGATATTTCATTCCAACAACTGAAAAAGTTACAGTGGCTACCCAGCTCCTGGAACATCCAGAATAGAACACCATGACTAAAACAATCGAATCTTTTCACCTATTATTAACACAAAAAATCGTACCCCTAAAGTTAAGCACTTTATCATTTTGTTTCACAGAACTTTCTCATGAGTTCGAAGAATAAAATATTAAGATACAAAATCAAATATGAAATTTATTCAAACAAAAAGTTCAAAATTCAGTTTATGAATACAATAATATTGATTATTCCAACAAAGTTCTTTTATTCAACTTCAGAACCTCCCTAAGCTGCCGCTGTTTTCCGTGCCGAAACCATTCAGCTACATGTTGCTCAAACTCTTTAGCATTGCAGCCCTCATTAATTCTGATAACTCCTAGAAAAAATGGTTCAATTACACCTAACCTAACCTGGTCTAAAGATATTAAGTAAATGGTGTTTCTGATCAGCAAGATATGTTATCAGACAAGAGCCGGATTTTTGCATGGGCAATATAGTTCTTTATCAGTATTGCATATGGAACAAAGTTTCTTACCAAATATGATTCTCATGATTTGTAAATGGCCCAGTTCAAAGTTATTTTTTCGTCCTGTCCAAGAACATAATTCCGATAGGGCATTGGTGAAAACTTGTTTCAACACTCTTGTGATGAAATCTTTGGTGTCTTTTCCACCAATCGATTTTACAAAGTTAGTCTGAAATTAAAATATGAGTATGAAAAACTAAGAAAAGTAATTTTCAATACTTATCTAAAGATAACACAATAATGATAATAATACTAATGATAGCTGATTTTAGTAATATACAGGAAATTTACATCAAAATTGAATATTGATTGAAAAATATTAGAAAACTAAACATATTGAATGAGTCTTTCATCTGAAGAAACATTTGTTAGTGAAACATGTGTTTTAAAGAATCATGTGAAATTCGTATGTTTGTGAAGTTTCAAGTTATAATTATTATTTTCAGCATTTTCAGCAAATATAGTACCCAACAACCAAGTCAATACAAAAAAAATTATAATTTTACTTACGAAACTTTGTTTTCCTTCTTCTGTTTTGACAAAAGCTTCCAGTGCCTCAATTTCTGGAAGACTTTTCAATGGCAATACCATTGGAAATACTATTTCTTTCTCTGTAGCAATGGGGCCTTCGTTCATTCTTTGTTTAATTTCCATAACATCAATCTTCATTTCAATTAGCATGTTCAATATTTTTCCAAGATTTGTGTGAATGGAGTGTATATCTTGATCTTAAATAATAAAAAGTATTTCAAGATTTGGAAACAATAGTTTCCGACTACCATTGTTTCCAAATAAACTCAAATTATTGATAGAAACATAATAAGACATTTTTAATGGAGTGAAATGAAAATCTGTAACCTAAAAACTTTGATTAAATCTGCTTTTGAAAGAAGTTTTCAATAATGAACACTGTGAGAAAGGGTTGATTGAAGATTAGAATGAATATCACAAAAAAATTATTCCCATACAGAAAGCTGAATGACGAATTTTGGCCAAAGTGAAATAAAACGCGGAACTGTGATCAAAAGTGATTTGAATGGTAAAAAACTGATCAAGTAATTGTATGTTGTCACATTATAGGGAATATCTTTAGTGCGCTCCAAGAGATAAAAAAAAATTTTAGATGTGAGAGAAATAAATGAGTTTACCAATAATTGCTAGGGGGTCTGGCATAATCTTGAGGTGAATACTGATGATTACTATCAACAATTTGAGTTCTTTTATACAGGGTGAGTCAATAAATAGTGTGTTCTTCTTCACATATAATTATTTTTATATCTACAGTTAGTTGATGAGATGAGTTTTTTCAAATAGGACAGCCTATATATTATTGGATTTTTAGATTCTCCCTGGAGAGCTGATTTTATTAATGCTTCACACTTGGGGTCAAGTGAGGATGATAGAGATAAAGGGTGTTCAAAAAACGAGATTTTTCAATTTTAGGATTTTTTTGTATTATAACTATTCATCATTGGTCAAAACGGCTTACATGTCCCTATCTCAATTTTGGATTAACTATCTACTGACATTTATTTGGAACAGATACAGGGTGATAAGAATTCTGAATCTTGAACCACCCTGTATTTGTTCCAACTAAATGTCAGTAGATAGTTAATCAGAAGTTAAGATAGGGACATGTAAGCCGTTCTGACCAATAATGAATAGTTTCGACAATAAAAATCCTAAAATTGAAAAATCTCCTATTTGAACACCCTATATCTCTGTATTCATTCCGCTAGATCCCATCAGGTGTAATACATTGATGAATTGGGCTCTTCATGGAAAACCTGAAACTGCAATTGTATACAGGGTGTTCTATTTGAAAAACCCAACATCGGACGATATCTTGAAATTCGAACACTCTGTAGGTATGAAAATAATTTTATGTGATAGTTCTCATGAAACCCTATGACTGATGTATTCGATTTTTTTTATATATCTGATGGATTTTATAATATCGAAGGAGAACACAATATTGACCCATCCTGTAATATACAATGTTGGTCCAAAACAACTGAAACTTAAACAACTCACCAACAACCAGAGTGGCAAATGTTCCAGTACTCCCTAAAAAACAGGAATAAATAAAATGTGAAAAAATAAACTTTGATACATACCACCACCATCATTGCTACTGTGGGGAGTGATTGTTCGATCTGCTTCCATTGAGGCTTCCTTCAAGTCTAGATCCACAACTGTTATTTTCTGGGTCCTGAAAAAATTACATTTTCTATCAGGAAAAGGGTTAGTCAAAATTTCAAATACATTTTATACTGTCTAGAAACTGCACAGATTTTTTTATTCAACACAAGATTTTGACGTAGTAAATAATTCAAAAATGTTAGCACCTTCTTGAGTTGTCTTCGGTATTTGGAATGTCTTCACTTTCATTGTCTGTATCTGAAACTGATAAAAATATTTTACTAATCATAAAACTAGTGTGATCACCAAGCATTAGTTGCACCATAGAAATAATGAAGGATTAAAACCTAATTGTATTCAGAACTGATTGAAATATACAAACCTCGATCAGCAATCAGTGCAACATAATCTAATTCTGGGGGCTCAATAGGGATTTCTGCAGTAGTTAAACAGAAATTATTATTCTGAGCAATAAAATACTATTTTTGTTACCACCTTTACTAGCAGGAATTTGTTTCTTCTTTTTTTTTTGCTTCTCCTCTTCTTCAGCAGGACTGAAGTAATCAATTGGCTTTATTTGCCTGAAACCTCTACCAATTTTTTCTTGAGGTTTTCCACTCTTGGCTCGTTGTTTGGCTTCTGCTAAGGTATCTGAAATTTGATTTCAATACATTTTTGTAGTTCTTGAATTGAACTAGTTAAAATCTTCAAGTTAACTTATTACACCAACAAATTAATATAATTTCAGTAAAAGAAAAAAATACTTTGAATTTGTAATCTTATTATTAAACCTCACGAATGTCTTTATGCAGGTAAGTAAATATATCAATTAATCTTATTAAATGCCTACCACATGTAAATTCCAGCTCTATAGGATGTTCATCCCAGTCATCACTTGGAGATACATTTTTTGCAATAAAGATACTGGCATATTGACTAGGAGGCCATTTGCAGAATCTCTGATCTTTGCTGAGCCATGAGAATGGCACTTCAGACACCAATAAGTCTTCCTCATCACTTTCGTCTTCATTTATGAACTTCACAACAGCATAGCTCATTTTTAAATTCGCTCAAAAAGAAAAAAATATGAATAGTATACAAAATCTATAATGAATCGGATATAATTAAATATTTTATGCACCACTCGGCAGTACAGCGGGCGGTAAAGTAGTCCAGCCGGCGGTAAAGTAATTTCACTAATTTTTCAGTAATTTCTAGTAGACTACCGTTTGATCTTATTTCTTCACCAGTGGTATACAAAACTTGGCCAAATGAATTCAAAATAATTGAGAAATTCCATATAGACAGTAAATAAAAAATGTACAAATCAGTCGTTCATAAAATGATGTATGTATTTCAGTCATAACTTGCTTTTATGGCCCTAGGTGTGGTAATATCCCTTGCTTGCGCTTGGGCTCTTACTAACACGCTGCAGTCCATAAAAGCTTACTTTATGCCCTTGATACATAAATAACTATTTCTACCAAAAATGTAAACATTGTGTTCCCAAATTTTGTTGAGGTGAACATATTCCTATGCATTAAAAATAATAGGATCAAATTATTATAAATCTCTTACAAGAATGAATATGTTACTTGCATTCAACAATATTAATATCAACCTAAAACCTAAAATTGCATTTTTAGATGGTATTCAAACATTTTGATAAAATTCCTTTTTGAATTCAACCAATCCTCAATTAATTTATATACAGGGTGTTTCCTAAACATGCGTCATACAATGTTCCCAAGATACAGGATGGTTGAATTTTTGTTCAAATAAACTGTTTTCAGCTGATTTTATTAAAATTTTTACAGATTCTATAACATTCTATAAGGTGTCTTCTAAATTTATTAGCATCAGTCCAGAAATTGAAGTTGCCTGCTCACAGGTAGGATAGATAGGTTTATACATAAGACAACTAAAAATATAAGTTTTATCGAGAGAAGAATTGAAATACAAACTTTTGCATGTCTCTGAACCATTTGAAACTAAAACATTTCAAAATTTTTCAAAAATTTTTCAAAATATTTATTAAACTTTATTAAAAATCTTTATTGAAAAAAATCGACACCCTGTATCATGAAATCGAACTGATTCTAGACATGATTATAGGAACTCTTCCTACTTATTTTATACCAAAGAAGAGGAAATACCCAGTATACTTTATATGAAGTTTTGTAATTTTAGGGTTGAATAATTATCATGCATCAAATGTTGAAATAATCCTCAGAATGATGACAAATTGGTAAAACCACATACAAATTTTGATCTGGCAAAACCATTACTTTGCAGACAATATCTGTTACAGAAAAAACAATATCCTCGCCACCTAAACTGCACAAATGAATTCCTAAAATTCGGGAATCCATTGGATCGCTGAAAAATCCACCAACAGAGTTGAAACATTGACCCCTAATAATGATATTATCATTTGAATTATGGATTTCATTAATTTTAACATATTTACCATTTTTCAACAAGCAATAGTTATTTGGTTCTTTATTGGAAAACAGGTCATCTTTTATTTTCAAGTCTGTGTGATATTTTTTCTCAATCAAATATGGTTTCCTACATTTCAATTTATATTTAATTGTGCTTTCTTGTAAGCGTTTCACTATCTGTTGCAATGGTTTTGCAGATCGCTCACAAATCTTGGATTTCAAATGGAACATGTATGCCTCAGGTGGAAAGGCACTAAAGTTATCCAGACATCCATATTCTAATACATCTTTTGATAAATGGCACAAATTATGGACATTATAGGTTATATATTCCCTACCATATATTTCAGAATATTCTTCTATAAAAGTCTGTAATAAGTTATGAGCCTGATTGTTCAATTTCACACATATTTTAGGTGTCACCAGAATTCTTATTGCACAAGAAAGATGTAAAAAATGCCTATAAATGTGTTGGGGAAGAAAATTTTTGAGGGCCACAATTCCTGTATATAACAAAATCTGTCGAAATTCAGTGGCCTTAAACCTATCCACCTCGGAAAGTATTCGAGGCAGCCTGCAAAAGTCTGAGGTTACACATTTTTTATAAGACAAAAAAAGATCAGACAAGGCATCAAAATTACCTGCTGGTATTCTGACATCTTGCCTACCTTTATGCCAGAAAGCTAAAAGTCTTTTGACCACCCCTAAACAAACCAAGTGCATATAGTCAATTGGCACTTGTGTCACCATACCTATATTTAAACTTTCTAAAATAGAAGTTCCAGTGTGGTGGTCTTCATGAATTTTATTTCTGAATGAATCATCACTTCTCAACTGACTATGTGTTTCTGGAAAAGTCATTCGATTTGAAATATACTCACCCTCTTGAATGCATTTAGGGCAACCATGATAGCCATTATGACTTTTAGTGTATGTAACAAAAGACTTTGCTGGTGCATCACACACAAGAGCATTGAACACTAATTTTATAGGTTCATTTCTAAATTTCAATCCATTTTTTTCTAGGGTAATGAATTCTTCAACAAACTGTTTCAAAAAATCATTTGCTGAAGAAGGCTTTACCCTTCCATGGTAAATGCCAATAACGAATGGTTCTGGGTTGAAATTTGGAAAGGTGCCTTGTGGAAACCACCCGATAATAGGCCAAAAATCACTTCCTGAACTTCGAGAGATGACAGTCCCATCAATATTGATGTTTAATTTGATTTCTTTTGGCAATTGTTGTGTACCTTCTGGTAAAATATCTAAAATTCTGGTAATTTGGGACTCAATACCCATATGGCTGTATGTCCCAGGAGCTACTTTTGAAACTTCTACACTTCGAGGTGTTTTAAGCAATGTTCTTGCATCAACAGGAACATTTATTCTATGTTTGTGCAAAATTTTCAATAAATGCGTGACATGATTTAGTGGCACACTGAATTTCACAGCCCATGAACGTAAATCTTCAATCATTGACTGTTTATCAACAAAATTTGGGTTTGTGCATTCATCACAGGAACAGAAATAAGTGGCAGTTGAATCATGATCAACTTCTACCTGAGATATTAACTTTGATGGTACCAGAGGAACGCTAGTACTGTCCCAAGAACTTGATGCTAACGAATCTGGTGAATCAAAAGGATTTAATAAGGCTGTAACCTCAAAGGGTTGAACTCGATCTGATGTTGGAGTAAGATTTCCTTGCTGTATTTCACTTGTGGATGCTGCAGTTGGAACTCTATCTCGAAGATCAGGTCGTAAAATTGTATCATCATCAGGCACGCTGTTCGATAACTTTTGCCGAATTCTACGGCGGTGCCGCGCCGAAATATTCTTCAATGATTTGTACATTATGAAACTATCAGAAAGTATACTTACCCAAGACACAGCTTCAGGAACAAGCTTAATCGATAGAAATCAATCATTCGATAAATATGTATATTTTACACACACAACACCCTGCAACAACACCTGCTACAACTGATGAGGGGCAAAACGTAGGCTAAACGACCTAATCAAAGCCAAAAGCCATTATTAGTTTGTTTATGCCAAAAGCCAAGAACTAACGCTAGAAAAACCGCCAAACCCAAAACCATAACACTTTAGAGAAAGAGTGAGGTTAGGAAATTTTTATATGTTCTTCTTTTTTGTTATGTGGGACATTCGTGGTTCGTTCGGAAATACATAACATGTTACTTAACATTTTGAGTACAGTGTAATGGACTGGTAATGGACGAGAAACGTTTTGAAGGGATAATAACAGATTATATTACTCATATGTCTACTAGACATTGTGCATGAACATAACTTAGTGAGGTAAATTCAATTCCAAAAAGGTTCATTACATTTACTTCTCTAAAGAACATCTGAGGAAAGTAGTTCATTAAAGTCCCACTAATGTGAAGGTCATGTAGAATTGAAACATCACATTATTCGAAATATGTTTCCTTTGGGAGCGCACGGATACATTGGTAAAACCTTATATTAATGTACCAGTTGATATTACATATGTTGACTTAAACAGAACATTGCTGAAAAGCCCAGTTATGTTTGTGCTAGCTGGGATATGAGTACATTTTGAGTTTGAGTAGTAGGTAGTCGTGATATCTTCTGGGTGGACTTGAAATTTTCAATAACAATCAATAATAATCAATGTAGTAATGGGTTTTGGATCCATATCCTTTTGCTTATCCTTAAGTGTTTCGGTCATTTGAAATTACCCAATACTTATTTTCCTTAATTTTGATAGTGGAATCGACTATTATACATGCATAGTTTATCACGTATTATATATGTATTATATTTACATTTGTGGACGAGATTTTGAAACTTCTACTTGCCGATCTTTGATAAAGTCTTTTAGATTTGTTTATTTATAAACCGCACGTGGTGTTATTTCCGTGTTTTGTGGCACAGGAAATAATTTTTATAAAGGGCTCATTATACCTTTATAGGGTACTCATGGGATTCTTAATGCAGTTCCAAATGACTTTTACCAGCATTTCCTTTGTTTATTGCTACGTAATTCGAGTCGTTCTTATTTTTAGATATTTATCAAGTGTCGTTTGTACCTTTTTTCGTTTTTGAAGCGATTTCCATTTATGAATTTTAAACGCCTTCAATTCTTGCATACCGTGACCTATCATCATTTTTATTACCTATCACTAGTTTTTCTCTGTCACAAGACGCTGGAAATATAGATTGATATGAGATGTAAGGAGAAAAATAATGTTGCATTGTTTTCAATCTGGTCATTCAGGGTGGCAAAGAGCTGATGGCTCGCCTATTTTTGAAACTGTTTTTTATTTAACTTGTACTGAAGGTGGTTTTTAATTTGTAAGTTATATTGGTTTTTGAATAAATATAATTGTAAAAAAGTCACAGTATTTTCAATTCATTCATCTTAACATATACAGTGAAGACGTGAAAAGTCATTCTCCCCTTTTAACGTTTGAACGGAACAAGCTATCGAGTTTGGGTAAAACTCAGGTGGCCTAGTGTCAACAGGACACCATCTGTTTTTTTTTTTTTCAGATGTGAAGAGGTATTATAGTAACAACAATAAACATACATTGCTATATTATGTATTTAAAAACATGCAATTGTTACTAAGTATCATTAGATTTTTTCATGCGATTCCAAACTTTGTGATTGTGATTTTGGATTTCTTATATTTTTCATCTATTAATTTGCCGTTCTTTCAATATAGTGTTTGTAGAAAGAATATTTGATGATCGTTTTAAAAGTGCTTTTATTTTGTTCGAAGAATTGCGCTATTGATATTTTGGCATTGTGGGCGGATGAATACATCATCATGTAGGCCTCCTATTCGGGCTCGAATTGGTTCAGTCATGAAGGTACCAGCTTCCTAAACGATACCCTTATACTCTCTGGGTTCAAAACGATGTTCCCGAGATGCACTTCCCGTATTGCTGCTACTGCTGGAAATCCATACCACAGTTTATACATTCAGCATCATCAGTGATTAATGTTGAGGTGCCTGTTTAGATGTTCTTCTCATAGGAGGACGTTCGATGTAGAGTTTTGATTGTCTCATGCCAGGTGTCTTTGTCCATACATCCTGGAATTTTGCTTTCAGGATATTCATAATGTTTGAGACGCTCCAGGATCTAGAAATTCCTAAGATAGGTTCGCTGGTCCAATCGCTGAGCTGATTGCTCCTTGTTTAGGCAGGTAGTCGGCCCTTTCATTGCCGGGTAACCCGGTATGACCGGGACTCAAAGAGATTCACCTTGGTGGCTGTGGATAACCTTTGCTGCTCACCAATGCACTCTGACACTAACAGCAAACTGATCCTGTATAATGAGAGGGCCTTAATCGCCGCCTGGCTGTCGGAGAATATCGTGATTAGACTCTGTTGATGCCTTTTTTCTAACAGGCGAGTATGGTAATAACCTCTACCTGAAATACTGCGGCAAAATTCCCCAGGGCGTAACTGACTTCCGCTATTTCCACCCATCCTGGAGCCATCTTTATACCAGATGATTCCAGTGGTAGGGATCAGGCGGTGCATGAATTGCTGCCAGTTCTCCCTTTTTGGAAGCCCGACCAAACGAAAGTCACTAGATGGTATTAATTAGATAGTACCATCCAGTGACTCTAGACGAAACGGCACCATTCATCCACCCCGTTAAGTGGCCTTTGTATCGTGTCTATCGAGGCCGTACTCCTGGTCATCGACAATCACCACGAGGTACCATAGCAGAGGAGATAGTACTCTTATTCCCTGTGGGCAGCCCTTCTTGGGCGTGACTTCGCTCGAGCTACTTTTGAGGGTCATTTTAGCTAGTCTTTGGGAAAACATGGCGTCAATCCACCCTGTTATGGATGGAGCCACCCCCCTCTCCCTCTGACATATGCCTAGGGTGTGGCACACGGTCTAACCCACCCTCAAGTCTGTAGATGATCCGATGGAGAGCTGTCTCCGTTCGGTAGTCGTGCTGGATATTGCTGAGCGGATTTAGTATCAGTACCTCCTCTTTGATGCATCTCAGTGGTATCTGTCTACGAGTCTTTCTGTAATCTTGAGGAGAAAAGACGTAAGACTGACACTGAAATATTTTGCCTGAGTGTAATCACTTTTTCCAGGCTTGGGAATGAAGATGCCCTGAGCTTCGGAAAATCTTCAGTAAATGGGGGATCAGGATAACCTCGCCATTTTGTAGCAGAGCTAGAAATACACCATATCACGGAGATTTGGAAGGTGAAAAGGACTCAATAATAATGGCTTATTTCAATTTATCGTAAGTTACAATGCCAGCATCAGCCACCTTGTAGTTGATCTTTCTCTTGAGAGGTGGAGTTGGCTGTGGCCTGCTGGGTGTCGGTGTCGTAGTGTCACTACCCGGAAAATGGAGTGTCATCAGCACCGCCAACCTTGCTTCCGGATCTCTGTATAGGGCCTTATTGTTTAGTCTTGCTGCCTCTGGTAAGGTGTTTCTGCCTCTGGTAAGGTGTTTGCACCTTGGCAGTAGTTCCTCCTCCTCCATGTGTACCACCGTGCATCTCGGATACTCTTTGTATACCTTGCGGTGAGACTCTATTTGTGAGTTCCCCCATGGGGTTTTGCTTGCCTTGTCTACCTTTTCCAAGAAACAGATGGCTTCATATGAGGATGGCAGAATTGAGACAGTCTGCAAACGTCTCAATTTCCTTCTCAGATCCTTAACGTGCGTCCCAATAAACCTCTCCTTCGTTTGAGAAGTTTGGGTCAATCGCTACGCGTGTTGTGTCCCAAACTTCTCAAAAATTAAAGTAACAATTTCAACACTAATATATCATAAATAACCATCATTTCATTATTTTGAAGTACTGTTGCAAACCGTTTTCTCCTCGGAGCTCTGTTTATTTTCCAAATAATTATCGATATATTGGTTTTACAAAACGCTGGAAAGCGTGTGACGACATATTTGGCTATTTCTTTCATTTTTATTGACTAGAATTTTAATTTTTTTTGTCAATTTTCTTATCGATTTTATTTTGTAATGGTCTTGGGGGAAGGGGTAATTACCCATTCTACTTGTTGGGCCACTCATGTCGTGGCGACTTTAATTGAGAAAAGAAAAAGGGTATCAGTCAGTGACTAATGAGTCAAAGATTCATTATCTCTACTTCATTGTATTCTTTATCATTTTTATCTTAGAGATATCAAATATATTGTAATAAAATGATATTGACCTGTGCATAGATATGCCATCAGTGGTGGCTCATGTTTGGCTCAATTTATATACAGGCTGATTCACGGTGGATGGCACATTAGACGTTTCTGGAGAACGCAACGTAGGATGATACTGAAAATTTGGTTGTTTGGTTGTTATATAGATAAAATCAGCTCTTCAAGGAGAAACTGAAAATGCGATGAAATACAGGGTGTTCCATTTTGAATATCAATTATGCTACTACTTTCTAGTAGGTACTCCGGTGTCCGATCACCCGGTATTCATTTATTGCACATGATGTTTCATTGTGAATTTGATACCTCTATTTATGCAGTGCAGTATGCACATCCCTGCACTTGCAGTAGAATGTAGTATAGTCGTAGTACTATATGCATGCACAGCATGCAGCCTGAAACCCTCTCCTCTTTGCTGAAATGTTTATAATTCCTAGCCCCTAACCTAACCTAACCTGAAACCCTCTACTCTTTGCTGAAATGTTTATAATTCCTAGCCCATTCATATATCATTCATGACCCCATTGCCCCCATTGGACCATTCAAAACGGCAAGCGGCACGCCGCTGTTTTCAACGTTATTGTTTGTTGTAATTGTGAGATGTTTATTTTGTGTACATAAAAGTAGGTAATAATGTTTTAACAATAAAATCGATCACTTTCAAGTCTCGCTTGTTGATTAATTCTTTGTTTTTCAGTTTTTCATTCTTAAGTTTGAACCTGCATAACCTCAAAAAGTGACGTTTTAAAATTATTGAAGATTATATTTATTTCGGTACTTAATATACCTAATCGTATTTTTATTGAATGAGTATTGTTTTGGAGAAATGAAAGATTTGACCCAATTCGTGAATTGTAAAATCCTAAGGGATCACAAGATAATCCGTGAAGATTTGTGGGTAAGAAATGGCCAGGTGGTTGACCCAGAAAAGGTGTTTTTTGACGAAAAAATAAAAGCAAATATTATCGTTGACTGCCAGGATCATCTTATAGCACCTGGATTCATAGAAGTGCAAATAAACGGTAAGAGAGAAGCAACTGTAGGCAAAATATGCCTTCAACATATTTACAGTGACTTTATATTATATTATTATAAATCACCTATTAATAAATTAATATCATTGGCATGGAGAATGAACAATCATGATCTCCAATCTTTATTTTTTTATTATTTTTGTTTTGTATAGTATATATAGTTTCTCATAACTCATAATGAGTGCATATTATGTGGTAGTACCCATTTTGTACTATCCAACTAGCACAGATTAACAAAAGATTTGTTTACTCTGTGCTACTAGTGTGGAATTATTTTTTTTGTTTTATGCAACAAGTGGGAAAAATTAACATCAATCATATATATACAGTATGATGCAAATGTATAATAAATTCATTATTTCAGAAATGGGCGACATTTGAAAAAATTGCAAAAACAAGTGAGGTTTCATTTTTGAAGCCTCATCTCATGATATCCATATGAGAGATGTTACGTCACCGGTGTTGGAGTAATGACGTAATGAACGATTTTTTCAAATGAAAACAGGGGTCATGTGACACCTCGTTTGAAAGGTCTACTGATCGTCTATTCAACAGTCAAAATTTTGCATAAGAAAATTGAGATCAAAATGGATTATCATTTGATAAACTGAATCTTGCAGATGTCTACTACTAAGAATTGAACAACGAAGGGTCGTCTATTTAAAAAAATAAATCAATTAATAAAGTTCTGAAGTCTAGTTTTTGGATTTTTTTCGGAAGTCGTCTTGTTTTGAAATGAATTTATTCCATACATTTGCATCATACTGTATATGTATTTGCTATAGGGTACACTCATCTTTAGAGAACATGTCGCGGATGGACGGTGTCAGCTTTCTAAATCACCACTGCAATAAGAGGGCTTTTGCCGCAACATTTCTCTTCTTTTCAAGATCTAAGAAACTGACCTGCCTCAGATGCCTTGACCTTTCGGATTTACCGAGCAGGGCCGGACTTAAGATGGCTTAGCTATATCAACAGATTTAGGTGCACCACTGTCTTTTCGTACTTTTCTAGGCTTTACCGTATTATTTACAATTTTCCAGACTGTACTTTCAGGAACGCCGGTTAACGAGCCGGTTAAAGTTGATGTTTCCTTTAATGAAAAATGTTTTTCGTGGCTTCGATCTTACTAACTTCAAATAAACACTTTTAACAATTATTTTCTTCAACAGGCAAACATTTTCGGCTACTGCCTGTAACGGCTGTAACGGCTACACTGGACATCTTCAAACACAAACACACTATCACAAAATAGTATTCCAGAATGTGTCAAGCCAACAACAAAATAAATGCGACCCTGTCACGGCTAATGCTTTTATGGCTTTATCGCATGTCATTATCCCGTCTCAGGTCAGGTCAGTTTCTTAGATCTTGAAAAGAACTAATTTGATCCAGGGTGAAGGGAAGCCATGGAGGGGGGTCATGTGCGTCAACATGGTATATGGTCAAATGCAAAAACTTCACAAACGATAAGCGGATAAGATTTCCACAAAATTCTCAAACACACAACATGTTTCGCTAACACAGAGCGTAGCTTCGTCTGGTACAATGAACTAAACTAACGTTGGCTCGCTCAACTTTTAGTTAATCCGGTACACCGTATTTTAATGTACCTAGATATATTGTGCCTGATTTCCGAAAATGGAGGTTTATCGTACCTGTCCATAGGTAACTAATCCTTCAGGTTGGGAAAGTAGGATATAAAAGTTAACGTTAGTTTAGTTCATTGTTCTAAAATTGTTCTATCCGTCATTCGGTTGCCCCCTTACGAGCAACCCTCAGAAGTCTTCGGGAGTCTTGTGCGAGCAAGGAATAACGGGGGCCTTACCTTTCAACGTGTGATTCCAAACACTTTCTTGGGCCATCAGAAAAATATCTGTAGTCGCTGGGAATCGAACCCACGACCGGCAAGCGAATGCAGATTAGAATATTAACACTTTGTCCGCACGGCTACCTGGCCCTCATTGCATTGTACCAGTATATCACCTGACGAAGCTACTGTGTTAGCGAAACATGTCGTGTGTTTGAGAATTTTGTGGGAATCTTATCGTTTGTGGAGTTTTTACATTTGCCATGGATTACCATCAAGTAACGGCCGAGTCAATTCAAAATTTGGTATATTATGGTCGTTGCCTGATATGTCTTGATTCAAAATACTTACATGCCCGACCGGCGTTTTGAAATGTGTTCAAAATCAAATAATTTTTCCTCGAATTTTCCACACCTGTATATTTAAATCTCGATTTACTCGTCTACATAGGTCGCGTGCACGAAGACCGACCCTGGAGGCAAAATATCGAAACACAACCTCATTCTTCTGTGAATTATTGAAACACAACCTCATTCTTCTGTGAATTATTGAAACACAACCTCACTTTTTTATTTGGTTACAGAGGAATCAAAAGGTTGAAATAGTTTTTCACAATATTTTGGCATACGAATCGTGTTTCTTGCGTTATTCATTAATTCAAGCATGCCTTCGCATCGTGCTGTTGTACAATGCACAAAAAATGCAGCAAGAGACTAGGGAATATGATTTTTCAGGTAAATAGTAATCTCACATAGTTATCATTATGAAATGTTGTCATTCCTTATTAAAATTCCTTCTGCCTTCTGCCACTTCTGCAATACAAGCTAATGCTGCTAATAGATTGAAAAAGTCTACAACACACACGATCGTCAGCATGTCAGACCAGTCCTTCCGATTGATTGCATGAATCCAATCTTCTTGCATTATTCTAGAAATTTCAGGTAGCTGATCCTATTGCAGAAGGAATTCCGATGAGAAATCAGAGAAATAACCAAATTTCAAAAATGAAAACTATGTGAGTGACTATAGTAGGTACTTACTTTTGAATCATAATGTGTACCATCCGGATTTCTTCATCTTCCGCTGCAGTTTTTGTGCATTTTACAACAGCACAATGTGATGGCATTAGCGAATTGATGAATAGCGGAAAAATACGATTCATATGCCAAAATAATTGTGGAAAACTATTTCCATCACTTGTAAACAAATATGTTTTGCCTCCAGGGTCGGTCATCTGACAGTTCTTGCACGCGACCTATACTATGCAGAAGCAGTTTGCATCTTGCTTTGACAGGTATTCTTTTTTTTTGAGATTTTATCTCGGACTTTATACACAGATCAGGGGCGGATCTAGACGATGTTTGAGGGGGAGCATAGAAAGTCACCGCTCATTGAGGTTAGCAAAAAGAGGACAATTTTCATTTGTACCTGCTGAGGTGGTACTTTTCAGATTATCTAAATTTTTACAAAATTATTCATGAGGTTCGTGAGGAAGGGAGGGGTATGGTTTTACTCATGGTACGCCCCAATTTCTGCTTTCTCCTTTTCCTATCCAATGGATGCCCAATAGTATTATAGAACACATTTTTTTCCAAGGTGGTATGGGTTTTGATTTCTCCTACCATGATAACACTGAAGAAGGAATTGATGCAGTAGCAAAATCCCTACTAAGTCATGGGGTTACGTCCTTTTGTCCCACAGTTGTTACGTCACCTAAAGAAATTTACCACCAAATACTGCCAAAAATAAAACGTAGAAAAGGTGACAGGAACGGAGCTACAATACTGGGAGTCCATGCCGAGGGACCGTTCATAAACAAGGACAAAAAGGGGGCTCACCCTGAAAATTGTATTCTTGAGCATGACGGGGTAGGTAGGTTGATTCATTTATCTTTATTTCATTTTTTCATCAACAAAACTGAACCTTGTTGTAATTTTTGTTGTTTAGTCCCTGTCAACCTTGGAGAAAACGTATGGAAGCATGCAAAATATAAAGATAATAACTCTGGCCCCAGAATTTCCGGATTCATGCAAACTTATAAAACAATTAACAAATAATGACATAGTTGTATCACTAGGTAAGTTATATTTGAGAGAATAATTCTGAATTTCACAATTATCTACACACTTTTTCAAGGACATTCAACAGCAGATCTAGCTCAAGGGGAAGATGCTGTGAATTGTGGAGCTACATTTATAACCCATTTGTTCAACGCCATGTTGCCTGTACGTAATACCTCGTTGAAATTATGTAAAAAATATACGGGGTGTATAAAATTTATTGGAAAATTAGTTGATGTTTTATCACTTTATTTAATTTGTATACTCAAGTAGTGTTTCGAGTTCAAAGCTTTTATTTTTTCAGATTGTTTGTGATATAAAATTAAAATATGTGTATTATTTCAAGATACGTGTAGTGAGGACAAATCAGATGATTTTCCCCAAAAGGTCATTGCGCTTTTTTCCTATTAGAGAGCCTAAAGGAAAAAATCAATCATTTGGCAGTGACACCTAGTTTTGAAAAATGTTTGTAGAGAAATATAGATATATCGAAAACATCGAAATTTTGCTTACTTACTTACTTCAGATAACTTTGTTGGAACTTCTCAGTGACAGATGATGAGGTTGGCAGACAAATGAGTTTTAGAGGATGTTTTCAATAATTAATCTTGAATTTACCATTTTCATGTTCAGATTTTAGTAGTGAATACCATGTTATATCAACTGAACAGGAAGCAATGCTATTGCCTCCGTTCAAAAGAATGCAAGCGGATTCGTTTATTTTTCTCTTTTGGTTGATATCTTCTTTTCCAATGATTTTTAATATTATTTCACTCTACCATATTATATGTTGTCCATTAGCAATAAGCATATGTTCAGCTAATTTCGGATAATTTCGATTTGTCGATATATATATTGTATTTTCTTCACATTGTACTCATGTTCTTTCGTCCTTACTTAGAGAGGCCTCTTTGTTTTACCTGCACGATACTTTCCACAAACATAAAAATGTTGAATCTTTCACAATATTTTTGGTTTCGTAGTTTCATCATCGGGACCCTGGTTTGGTTGGACTGTTGACTTCAAAGAACATTCCAAAAGATAAGATCGTCCATTTTGGAATCATAGCCGATGGAATACATACACATCCTGCTGCCTTGAGGATTGCTTATAAAGTTCATCCAGAAGGTAGGTGAACATAACATAACTTTCAATATACAAAAACAAAAAGTTCAAACAACATTTATTTCGTCGGCCTCTACAAAAAATTAAATTTTTCCTTCGAGCGTGCGGAAAAGTAATTTTTTCGCACGAATTTTCGATTTGAAAGTTGTACTTTTTTGTACGATTTTACTTTTCCGCACGATTTTTACTTTTCCGTACGATTTTTGTATTGATGAAAATGAGGATATTCAGAAATGACAAAATGATCTATGTAACTATTCTGACTTATGTGTCATTTTGTAGCATTACTATAAAATCTTGTTCATTGAAGACCATTTTTTTGTCATATATTATGTAAATACCACAAGTGATAATATTTTGCCGGAAATATTCGGTGATTGTTACGACAGCTTGTTGCCTAGTAATTTCGTGAATGACATTGTTATCAAAACTACGAGCCGTAGGCGAGTAGTTTTGGGTCAATGTCATGAGCGAAATTAGAGCAGCAAGCTGGAGTATGTCAATCGAATATTTCCAGGAAAAATAGTATCACGAGTTGTATTCGTATGACTATTTCATGATTGAATGAGACAATATATATAAGAAATAGGACACATAATTTAAGTATATTCCAACTCAAACTGCGAAGAAGAATATAATGATAGCAATGAAATACAGAATTCAATTTTTTAGAAATTTACTTCCTACTTATAGTTATTCACAAAGTGGAATGTACAATTTTGATAAACAGTATTTTATTTATTATCTTGGAGATGGTTGCTCTCAAAATATTGTATACAATTGCTATCCAATTCAAACAAATTAAATTGAATTTATGAGACATGAAATAATTAAAAAAAAAATATCGTCGCCGAAGGTCTCGAACCATCGACCTTCATATCTCCGCGCAACAACCCTAACAGTTTCGCTACATCGGTAATTATTTTTTGTCACAATAACTTGAGTCCTTGAAGAAGATTACTTTAAAAAGGAATTTGAATTCTAGTATTGTTGTGTCAGACCGTCAACAAATAATGCAAACTTTTTAAATTACACATGAAACGTCCAGCCAAAAAACAAATTGTCTCGCCTTTCGTACAAAATGTCTCACTGACGCGAATTATAAGTGAATTAAATGAAGTACAGGTACTTATAGGTTATTGTCTCAGATTTGAATCCAAAGCAATCTTGACCAGACACGATGTCAAAATTTTATCGCTGATAAACGAGGTTTGTTGGTCACGTGTGGGTCAATTCGGCTTCTGTATTGGTAGAGCAAGTCCGATAAAATTTGATAAACAAAAAATATCGCCAGAATACAGAAGAAACCGCGAAAATGGTCTATTCTGATTGGTTCTCGAGATCAAGAGTGGAATAGTCATAAATAATATATATCTAAAAACTTCACAAACGATGAGATTTCCACAAACGACATGTTTCGCTAACACAGTAGCTTAGACTAACTAACCTTGGCTTTCCTATTTTCCCAACCTAAAGAGAAAATATCATAGTTTATGGAAAAAACATAATAATCAAATAGACTATTTAACATTCAAACTACTGCGTGGTCGTTCGAAATTTTTAATTGAAGAGGATTACAAAAACTATATTAATCATTGTGAAACCAGTATCAACTCAAATCCGAAACATCTATGGCAATTCGTGAAGTCGAAAAGGAACAGTACTGCTTCAATCAACACCCTGAGAGATGGGGATAGGATAATTACAAGCTCTAACGAAATTTGCAAGATATTTTCTGACTATTTTCTCTCGGTTTTTATTCCAAAAAGAATTCTTCCTGTTCAGATAGTAACACATCAAGAATCATATAATAACATTTGTTCCTATAATATTTCCTTACAGTCTATTATTCAAAAACTTGAGAATCTTTCGAATAAAGGAATGGGACCAGATGAGATACCGACATCATTCCTCAAGAACTGTGCTGAATATATCGCAATCCCACTCTACATTATCTTCAATAAATCTCTCGAAGAAGGCGTATTTCCTTCAGTTTGGAAGAAAGCTCATATAATCCCAATCTTGAAATCCGGTAGCAAACTACTCGTGAAAAATTATAGACCGATTTCAAAATTGTCAATCATAGCAAAAATTTTTGAATCAATTATTTTCGACAAGCTGTTCTTCGATGTTAAGAACATAATCAACATTGAACAACATGGCTTCATGAAGAAGAGATCAGTTGATTCCAACTTATTCACCTACACTGAGTATATTCTACACAGGCTCAATGACAAACAACAAGTTGATGCTATCTATACCGACTTCAGCAAGGCGTTTGACAAAATCGATCACTCTGTTTTGCTACAGAAACTTGCTGGTGTCGGAATAGATGGCAATCTGCTGAAATGGCTTCATTCTTATGTAACTGATCGTTGTCAAGCAGTAACAATCGGTAATCAAAAATCTGAATATCACCAAATCACCTCTGGAGTGCCTCAAGGATCTCATCTGGGGCCACTATTATTCAATATTTATATTAATGATATATCTCAATGTTTTCGATTCTCCAATTTTTTAATGTATGCGGATGATCTAAAAATATACCACTCAATTTCCGATGCTGACGACATCAAACTATTGCAGCAGGATATCAATCGTTTTCATGATTACTGTGAGCTGAATAGTTTATACATTAACTTTGAGAAGTGTTACCACATTTCGTTCGGACGCGGGAAAAGCATTTTGAGCCACTCTTATCAAATATCTTCTCGTCCCTTACAAACTGTTACAGAAATTAAGGATTTAGGAATAATATTCGATTCAAAAATACTTTTCGATAAGCATATATTCTACATTGCTAAAAAAGGTTATAAAATGCTAGGTTTCATAATGAGAACTTGTCGTGAATTTAAAAACACACAGACACTCCGTACCCTTTATATGTCATATGTCAATAGTGTTCTAAGTTATGGTTCATTAATATGGAACCCTGGTTACGATATTTATGTAAACAAACTTGAACGGATACAGAATATATTCATTGATTACGTCAATAAAAAATGCTTTCCATCCAACCCCAGCAACCGTAACTATGTTCGAAATGAGCTGAACTTATTATCACTAGCGCATAGAAGGAACATTTCAGACGTGAAATTTCTTTATAAAATCATAAATAATTTAGTTGATTCGCCTGCTATCCTCAGTAATATTTACCTTACAGCTCCTACTTATATTACAAGGAATCATCACATTTTTCGTTACGAACAATCTCAAACAAATTATTTTTTGAACTCTCCAATGCATAGATGCAAAATATTATACAACGCTCTGTCGAATTCTATCGATATTGATATTTTCTCTTACTCACTTTCCAAATTTTCTTACATTTTGAAAAAACATTTCCTTGCTTCACCTACTTGATTTTGATATATTTTAACGTTTTCATATGTACTGAATAAAATTATTTCACCCTTGTTTGTATCAACACACTACAATCACTACATGTTGTACCTATACTCAATCATTTATAATTACTCCAATTATTGATTTTCATCAACTTTGTAATTGATATTCGATTTGTTTAGTTTTAATATATCTGTATGATGAGATATGACATATCTGTGAATACTGCTTTTGGGTTAGTCCCGTTTGTATTCCTATTCGTAAATAAATAAATAAATAAATAAATAAATAAATAAATAAAGGATTAGAATCACCTGCGGAAAGGTTCGATAAACCTTCATATACACAATATCTACAATATAATACAGTGTAATGGATTAAATTGAAAGGGTTGATAGCAAATACATATGTTAGATACCGTTATCGTGGACACGTCAGCGGGGTGGTGATAAAGACATTATATAAGTGTTTGTGGAATGTTAATGTCAATGAGATTATTACTCATTCTATTGGTGCCTTTCAGTAGTAGAGTATCGTGCGGAATATATACCATTCGATTACCAAAGCAGTGTTTTAGTGTAGTGTCTCTGAGCCCCTAACACATATTATTAATAATATTACCCTTTCTATATATCGAGGACTGAAACCTTTGGCACGATAATACACTACACACTGTACCACTAACCAAACCGATTTTTTTATACCTCGACACGTGTTTCGCTAACTATGTTAGCAGTGTGTAGTGTGTTACCCTCTCAAGTTAATCCGTTACACCGTATTTTAATGTAAATATTGTGTCTATTTTCCGTGCTCAAACTCCGTCTCGCATCGTTCTGGTCAACGGCAGTCGCGTGCGGGAATGTAACACTTTTCGCACTTGTTAGGAAACTTACTATCGCGCATTGTGAATTTATCAATGATTCTATATGGAAAAAATTGTTCAAGGTTTGGTTTTGGTAACAGATGCAATATCAGCATTGGGACTACACGAGGGAAAATACAAAATAGGACAACTGGACATAGATATAAGGGATGGCAAAGCATATGTAGCTGGAACAAATACACTTTGTGGTAGTATAGCCACCATGATAGAGTGTGTCAAGTTTTTCATGGAAGCAACAGGTATTGTGAAGAATATCTACAGGGTTTTTGGACTAAATTGAGTCGTTCATATATAATTAGTTGTTATTCAAACTTCTTTTTCAATTCCAAATGTAACATGACACATTGATAAATTATATTTCTCCCAATACTATACCTTTTCCAGTTGTATTTCAGAAAACGTCAATTGTATTTCAGAATAGTTTTTTTTATGTTCTGGTTCCAACGAAAAGGGATGTCCTGTAATGTTCAGAGAACATCATGAGAACCAAGGGAAATATGGTAGGAGTTGGTGTTCTTCCTGAATTTCTGGAGGTTATATGCCTCGGGGAACACCTCCTTTGGCAATGTGTTCCAGAGCCACGCTGTTCGTTGGATGAATGAGTCTTTGGAAAGAGATGTTCTGCAGGTCTCCAAAGTGCCACGAAGGGGTGAGAAGCCTCAACTCGACGGGTTAATGTCGCGGGGACTGCCAAGGGAGGAACAATTGTTGATATTTCAGAAGAGCATCGTCCATGAAAATATCTATAAAATAGAGCCAGATCGCCAACTTTTCTACGGTGTTCCAGAGAAGTGAGTGAGTTTGTGAGCGAGGCATCACCCACGAGACGAATTGCCTTTTTTTGGACAGAATCCAACAGAGTGCAGCACCCAAACATATTTGGGTGCTGCATTCCAAATATGGGAACAGTATTTCAGGACAGGTCGGATCTGTGCCTTATAGATCATAAGCAGCTGACTGGAAGTGAAATAGCTCCTGACCCGTAACAGAAAACCAAGTTTTTGGTATACACTTTCAGTAATTGATCTCACGTGATTTTCCCAAGAAAGGTTATTGCTGATAGTGATACCAAGCATCGAAATGGATGTCTTCAAAGGTATGGTTACTCCTGACAAGCTCATATTGGGCACAGTGAGATCGGCTTTTCTAGAGAAAAGGCATGCTTGTGTTTTGTTTGCATTGAAATTTACCAAGTTATTGGATCTCCATTCGAGAATTGTTGCCAAGTCCATATTTATGTTGTCAACATTTCTCCCTCGTTCGTTCCTGATTTGCCTGGCTGGTATTGGAGCCCTGGAAGAGAAGGCGGAATATATTATCGGCGAAGCTGTGTACTGGACATGAACTTGCTTCCAACAAATCGTTGATATGGAGTAGAAATAGTGTTGGTGCTAGAATTGATCCTTGCGGAACACCAGCATTTACGATAAGAGAGTCAGATGAAACTCCATCGACCACTACATGGAGAGACCTGTTTGATAGAAAACTAGCTAGCAGAGAACATAGCTGGGGAGGCAAGCCATAAGATGGAAGCTTGGCGAGGAGTCCGTGGTGCCAGACTCGATCGAATGCCTTGGAGATAACAAGTGCCACGGCTAAGGTTTCACCATATTTTTCAATAGATTGCTGCCATATATGTGAGACGTAAGCGAGCAGGTCACTAGTTGGTCTCTGATGACGGAAGCCATATTGCCTATATCGTTAATAATACCTGAATGTTCCAGGTATTTCATGAGCTCGATGTTGCTAGCTTTCTCCATGATCTTTGAAATAATAGATAGCAGTGCGATCGGTCTGTAGTTGCTAGGTGGGGTCTATTTGCCTTTTTTAGGAACAGGTTGTACTCTTGCAATTTTCCAGTTGGACGGGAATATCCCCAATTTGTAAGAGTAGTTGAACAACTTGCAGAGAACAGTTGTTAGTTCGGGAGCACATTTCTTGAGAACAATCGGTGGGATTCCGTCGGAGCCACAAGCTTTGTTGGTGTTGAGACCCAATAAAATCTTCCTTATAGAACGTTCGCGAAAGGTGATTGAATTTCAGAAAGTGTCATCTGTATTTCAGAAAATACAATTGAAATTTTCTGCAATACAAGTGACTATTCTGAAATTCAGTTATTGACCCTATCTGAATTTGAATTGACGCTTTCTGAAATACAACTGGAAAAAGTGAATTGTGTTTATCTGTTTTGTAAATCAACACAACAAACATCCAAAATGATGAAACAATTGATTTTAATGTAGGAAGATTCGAACAGTCTCATGTTTTTCATTTTCTTGAACTATATGATCAAGACCGCAAATTATTACTTTCATTATTACATATTTTATAGTTTATAAAAAATACAGAAGATTTTTTAATGAGATGTAAGAGGTAAGTTCATTGTTCAAATTACCAAATGTCTCCTTCAACACTCTGTAGCATTTTGCAGCATAGCAAAAAAATGAATTAATATTTTTCTGAATCAATATTCAAGAAAAAAATAACTTTTCTCTTCTAGCTTGTGGTCCTGAATTTGCAATAGATGCTGCTAGTTTCCATCCAGCTAAATTGCTTGGTATTGAAAATACTAAAGGTACTCTAAGTTTTGGGGCAGATGCAGATTTCATTTTATTGAATGATAATTTTGAGATTGATTCAACGTGGATTGCTGGGCAGAAAGTTTGGATGAATCAAGATATTAATCATTGAAATAACTAAATTAACTTATATTTTTGAAAATTAACAAGAAAACCATTCAGTGTTATTAGTTTTATACATTTTATATTGTTAAAAAATGAATATTTTTGAAACTTTTCAAATAAATTAATTCCTGTTAGAAAAATCACCGACTTCTTGTTACATTTTATATTGTCAAAATAAAGAGTATTTTTTAAAACAGTAGTTCTCTGAAATAAATTAGTTTGATTTAATGACTATAGGCAATAATAATTATAATATTAAAACATTATTGTTAGTGCCAAACAAAATAATTTCTATGACCAGTTTACCAATTTTCACGTTTTGGCCAATTGACTGTTGAATTACCAATTATTATAATTATTTTTCGGCGTTCTCCTAAACTGCATTGAACCTGAAAAACAATTTATTTCAAATCATAAATAATATCAACTAGTGAAAAAACTCTATATACCTGAATAGGACCTGCTATTCTGTTCATATTTTCTGTTTTGTTCTCCTTGATGTTCCTTGCTAATATTACTATGTTTCGTTGGTAAACAATCATCAGTAAGGATTTCTTCAATATTACCATAACCTCTGAATTTTACCGCCACGGTTTTATCAGTAATAGCCATTATAGTTGCTTCATAAAACTGAGAAAAAAAAACACAAATGGTCTATGTATACAATCCTTCAGATTGAAACAGAACAGTATGTTTCAATAAATACAATATGGGTGTATAGATAACAGAAGAACATATCAAAATATGTATGTACTTATTCTATTTGAATCATTTCAATAATTGTCATTATACAGGGTGATTCATTAAGAATGGGAAATCTCTGAACTACAGATAGTAAACACTAGAGTCCTTAGACAAGAGTCCGGCAGACTCTTTTAATTTGAAATCCATCAACTTGAAAGAATCTCTATCATAATGGGCCTAAAATTCTTCTTTTTTGTACCGTTTTTACAAGTAAATTTGAATATTTACCTCACATATTGCGGATTTCTTGAAATTAATTTTCCATTCTGGACGTTTCATTGCATTCTTCCATGATCATTCGGAAAATTGAATAACTTGAATCCCTTTTCTAATGAATTATCGCAATAATGTGGGCAGCAGGACATTGAAATAATTCAAAATGCAAAATTTTGGCGGTCATAAAATTTCAAAGTGACAGTGACAGAAATTCGAAATGATTTAAAAAAAGCTGGCATACGACTATGGTGTTTCGTCACATTATCAGGTGGGCAAACCAAATGAAACAAAATATTAAAAACCCCAACGGCTGTCAGTTTTGTGCCCGGACTCTTGTCTAAGGTATATACAGGGACTCTAGTAAACACTAAAATATTGAGATTTAGCTTAACATACCTGATGAGAATGTTGCTGGTTTAGGAGATACAGGGTGTTCTTGAAAGAGATTTTATTTTAAAATTTCTCAATGACTGTAAGTTTTGACAGCATGACCATGAAATCTTGTAGTTTCAGGTTTTCTGACATGAGGAATACGAATTTGCAAATTATTCCGTGATTGCTCATAGAGGGCGCTAATGGCACTCTGTTCTGTTTCATTCAATGATGATCAAAATAAGTGAAAAATCTGAAAGCCCGTTCAATTTTACATAAAAACTGTATTCTTTTTCAAATTGTCTAGCTTTAACGGTTAGTCGCTCTTGAAGAGATTTATGTTCCACTTAACATTATAATAATTTTATTTATTGAATTAAGTTTGGAAACTCTCTGAACTACAGATAGTGAACACCAAAATATGAAGATTTGACCCAACATGCTTTATAGATATGTTGCAGATATAACCTTGCTGGAACATTTACTTTAAAATTCTGTTTGTTGTTGGCGTTGTTAGTGATTTTCATCATTGATTACTGTATTTTTTTCACTATCACTTCGCTAACTTTTTAACTAAAAATTATTAAAATGTTTTAAAGTGGAACATAAATATCTTCAAGAGTGTATAACATAAAAACCGTTAGAGCTAGACAATTTGAAAAAGAGTATATTTTCTATGTAAAATTGAATGGGCTTTCAGATTGTTCACTTGTTTTGATCATCATTGAATGTATAGAGAAGATATGATGTAATTTACCAAAGTAACAGAGTGCTACTAGCTCTCTCTATGAGCAATCACAAAATAAGTTGAAAATTCGTATTCCTCATGTCAGAAAACCTGAAACTATGAGATTTCATGTTCATGCTGTTAAAACTTACAAAGTTATTCACAAATTTTGAAATAAAATCTCCCCCTAGAACACCCTTTATCTCCTGAACCAGCAACATTTTCATCAGGTATGTTAGGCTAAATCTCAATATTTTATGAATACCATCTGTAGTTCCGATTTCCCATTCTTAATAAATCTAATTTGATGAAACATCCCCATTGTCTATCAAAATTTTCTATTATTCGCGGGAATCAATGTTACCAGGTGGCGCTCGGTTTTCATCGTTCCATGTCAAAGCCACGTCCAAAACTGGGGGAAAACAAACTCAATCCTCACTCAATCCCATTAGTGCCATAAGCTTGTGTACTGATAAGAGTGATAACATTGACAACTACAGCTACAGCATGATGTATGCAATGTAGTTGCACTTTATCCATAGACAACAGTTTGTTTTCCCCCAGTTTGAAGTTCGTATTATGTAACCTAGATGTCGCCCACTGCGTGAATCTCGCGAATTTGGGACTGACAGTAGTTTGATTGACACCTGAAGATTATACTAAATACGTTTAATTTGTGCAGCCCTTTGTGATTCTAGTTGCCCAGAAATTGTGATTTATGAACAGTTTTTTAAGAAGAAGTATTTTTTGTATAATAGTAAAATTTATGTGGAGTGAAAGTAATTGAAACATACTGTAAATATTTTGTGAGATTGGTTTGAACATATACATTTCTTACTTTTCCATCTTCCCAATATTTGGCCAAGCATTCATCTCCTATATTCCAAGTCAAAGAGTTGGTTTCTTCATTTTTTTTCAAATTTTCCTCGTTCTTTTTCTGACCTCCCAGATTGAGATGCTGCCTAATGCTCCTACTAGCAAACTGACTGTTAACAGTAATTTTTTCCATTCCTTGAGTCAAGTCATCCATATTTCCCTTATTCTGATTTGTATTGCTTTGGTCATGATTATTTGTGGGATTCGGAGGGATGAATGATTTTTGAGGTTTCTCATAGATCCGTTGATTATCGTTTTCTCTTGATTTATGACTTGACTTGCCATATTCATTCTGGTTTTGATATTTATTTCGATTCAGTTGAGTATTTTTATTGTCACTCTGTTTTGGCTGGGTTCTGTTGGTATTAGGGTTGTTGAGCCTTTGTGAGTCAGCAGCCTCACTTTCATTATTGTGATTGTTATAATCTCGGTTTTCATTCGGGTTTCGTGTATTGGCAGCCTCATTCTGACTAACTCCATTTTTATGCCCTCCGTTATCATAATTTTTTTTCGTATCAAAAACCTCATTTTTACTAGTGCGACTATTGTATCCTTGATTTTCATAGGGTTTTTGTGAATTGGAAGCCTCCTTTTGACTAATGCCATTGTTATATCTTCGGTTATCATAGGGTTTTTTGGTATCAAAAACATCATTCTGATTAAAACGATTGTTGTATCCTCGGTTTTCATGGGGTTTTTGGGTGTCAAAAGTCTCACTCTGACCAGTGCGACTGTTATATCCTCGATTATCATAGGGTTTTTTCTGAGGTCTATCAGATTGTTCTCGCAAGTTAGAATTGTGAGTTTTTGGTTGGTATTTTTCATTAACTGAATTGAAATGATTCTTGGAGTTATCTTGTGGCAAATTTTGATTCTTATGGTTTTTATAAAATCCAATATTATCCATTGGGTTTTGCTGTTTGACAGGAACACTTTCAAAGTGCTTTACACTTGAATAACTATTTTTCTGTACCTTTGGGAAAGTATCAGTTTCGAATTTCGCATCGTCATATCTGGGCTTTTGAAACTCTTTTGGAATTTTCATTTTTCTCCTAAAAAGAGTGTCATCGTCTTTGCTGAAATGATTGAATTCATATTTTTATCCAGCAGATAAGGTTTATGAGAGACAAATTGAGAGAAATTGTAATTGATAGCAATTATATAGTTCTGCCATTTCAACCGGCAACACCCTCCTAATTTGGAATCCGTCGACCGATTTTCAAAAAGAAACATTTCCATAATATAGTCAACGAGCAAATCTGTAATTCAGATTTTCAAGGCCTACTTTTGTTTGCTGAAGGGGTCAACATTTCAAAAACGACTATTAGGCCATTTTTTCTCTCGAAACAGTGACTTGCCTATTCGATTTGGCATAGCTGAAATACCTCCATACAAAATTTGAACGCAATATCTCATATAGGATGTTAGATATTCAATGGAAAATTTCAATTCTCGAATCTTTGAATCACACTGTAATAAATTCTAAGGAGTTGATATAACCGGTGAGGTGGTCATTCAATGAAGAAATACATAGAATACTTAAATCGGTCGACAAGTTCCAACTTCCAAATTCGGTGGGTGTTGTGGTTTGAAATCGCACACACTGTATATACAGAGAAGTGCGTAAAAAACGGCCAGTGCTGTAACTTCTAACTCATTCGAGATCGGATTTTGAAAATTGGTGAGTAGCACGTATATCAAATTGCTCGTTATATGACAAAACAATCTTTGTTCTATCACTTCCGGTTTCACCAGAAACGAACGAACTTTCGATTTTTGAATGGGACACCCTGTATTTTATTCCATAATCAATTAGGGCTTATTATAACGAATTCAACGATACTGCATTTGATAGGGTTATTTCAAACAACGATTTCGGAGATATTCGCGTTTTAAGTTTCCATGAAACCGGAAGTGATACAACAAAAATTGTTTTGGCAATGAATGAGTGATTTCATATACTTGCTACCCACCAATTTTCAATTAATGATTCAGATGTTACAGCACTGGCCATTTTTTGTGCACTTCTCTGTATATTAAGGTCATATTAATGGATAAAAATTTTGAGAAAAGTTGCCATTTCAAAACCGGTAAATAATACGAAGTTGGAAAATATGTTTCCAAATCGGAAATATTACGAACCGTTTTGAAAATACAACATGGCAACACCGAAATCTCTGTTTTTTTTCTATGCGCTGGCGCAACCATTTTTAGGAATATGTAAATGTGTTCAAGAAGCTTTCTTCTCTGTTTTAAATTTGCTTCAATGTGCTGTGATTGGATTTTTATTACGTTTCGTTCTTCGGAGACCACCCTTCAATCATTATTTAAAATTCGGACCTGTATATTTTCAAGTTTTTTTTATGTAATCATCTTCAGATATGTGTCTTACCTGGAACTTTTTTCTACATATCTGTCATATTTTCCATCATCATGGTCCAGTAATAAAAATACCATTTTGGTTTTCCTCTATATTTATAATAGGCGAGTGGACTTATTTTATTTATTTCTCAAATAGAATAATCAAATACCTTTCAATTTCATATCTTCTTAGGATTTTCAGGTCGATTTTAGGGTGCCAAAATCATCAATAATGCCACGGTAATTTTCAAACGGCTAGAAATTTACAGCGACTAACACCTGACGTCACGATTTCGTCAGTAGGGGCAGACCATAACACAGTTGCCATATGTTGAAATACGATTGGGAACTTCAGAAATATTAGTTATTCAATAATTCATGAATTCTCAATTATGTATTGGTAATATTCCTAATTAGCAATGAAAAATCAATTGTCTCATAATGTTCCCTCATGTGTTGTGGCTCATTGTGCATAATACATTTGTGTAAATAATAATTATTATATTAATTCACACTATAGAGGACATTCGAACTGGTAAACGTGACTACACGGCGCACGAATTGGGGGCGGTATCTTGTCAGTTCTTAGCATTCAGCACAATGTCGCCAAGTCTCCAACATTCACATGATATTTTGTAATGGAGTATAAGAAATATTTGGACATGCTGGTTGCTCGAAAAAGTCAAGAATGAACTAAAATATCATGGCTTCCTCCTATTATGTTTCATTCAACGACAGGACTCAACATATTTTTGATAACTTGATTATAATCGAATTGATGACTTGGCAACCTTGCTTTATGAGTGGGAATGGGAGATTACCTGACTAGCATAAAAACTGACGTCACCTTTTATTCCACGTATCGCCAAATGGCGGCCATGACGGTACCTTTGAAGTGAGCTCTAAAATTCAATGATTTTGACAAAGCATAGACTCATTATTTACATAAAAAGAGCGTGAGAACTGTTGCAAAAGTTGATTTAGGTCCCCAACATACAGTGGAGTAACCCAATGCCAATAATTCATCATCAGTCCACTCGCCCATTTAACCAACTTGCTATCATTTACTGTTTTCGAGATGCCAATATAATAGTGTTGTCACATAAAATATACAGTCTGTATAATAAAAGGTTTGCAAGATTTCCCTGATCCAGTAATCCCAGGGACGTGCAGTGTTTTTCGGTGATTTTTAATATTTTTTCATTGTGAATTAAAAGGTTTCCTATCTGGCTTGAGTTTCAGGATACAATTTATTTACTAAATATATTTGCTCATCTGAACTTATTGAATCATGTACTATAGGGTGTTTCCAAAATTGAAATGATATAAGCAGTGGAAATAATATTATAAATTTGGGAAAAACAAATTATTTTGAAAGATAACGAATTCAAAAATCCATTAGAACTTTTCAATCATTGATCTGAAGTAAAAAAAAAAAACGGCTTTCGGCGAGGTCACTATGTCGGACGTTTGATAATAATTGAAGGGTGGGTAGGAAATAATTGCTATAACAAGAAAGTCCTGATGAAGAAAATAATATGAACTATCTTTGAGGTAGTAAAGTGAAATGAAATAAAAAATATGTCAATGATAGCTTCTAAAAATGTGTCACAACCTTTTCCTTCACTTTGTAGAATGTCATGGTCAACAATTAAATTCCTTTCTGTTTTCTATGACAAAACTCCAAATCTATTACCTGGAAGCATCATTAGGGTCACAACCAGGAAGTTTGTCTTCAAGAAATGAAAACAAAGATACTTTTTCTGGTTTCAAAGGTTTTTCTAATTCATCCTCTCTCTCAACCCTATTTTTATTCCTGAATGATTCTCTTTTGTCTCTTGAACGATCTGGACCTTTATTTTGAGTGGGCTGTACATTTTGCTTCACCATCCCTCCAAAAACTTTTTTTACAGCTCCAGAATTTGCCTCAGCAATGGCACCCTGTCTTTGGGCTTCAAACTCAGCGTTTTCTTTGGAAGTCTCTTTACTTTTGTTTTCTAGTGATTTGAAATTGGGTTCTTGGTTGCCTGACTGTATTCTTTTTCCAAAATTCACCCATGGAGGAGGACCATCATCATTTACTGAATAGAATACAGATGGGTATATTTCAAATTAGAGAATAGAGATCAACAGAACATAACACAATAAATACATCTAGGAACATTATTTCATAAGAATCATATACAGCATGTCTCAGTTTAAACAGTTCCCCCTCTATATCTCAGCTATTAGTCCTGTGATTCTTACCAAATTTGGACTAATATGAATAGCCATTAATGTGATCAGTTTTTCAGAGACAAACATCATCGACAGTGCCGTGCGTTTTTATTGAAATAAAAAGAGTCGATTTTTTATGAAATCATATCAGGCATGTTTTGCAGGAGAACTAACTTCATAGTAGTACTATTCCTTATGCCTTCCAATGTCCATATGCAAAAATTCGACTAATTCCAAATCACCAGGATTGCCTCGAAAAAATAATGAATTGAAATTAATTGCAAATGTTAGAACGTTCGATGGCTCCGGTAGATAGAAAAATATGTTTTGAAAGAAAAAAGACGACATACATTTTTGTTTTCCGGTTTCCCAGTAAATAATTATATACCTTCGCAAACATGCTGTTTAGATGTGCCTGTTTTTTCGAAATTCTCCATAGAAATTCCATGAAAATTCACATTTGGGGGGTTCAAAGCCATGAAGAACAATATTATGAGGTTAGTTTTCCGTAAAAAAATGCCTAATATAATTTTATGAGAAATCGGACCCTTTTTATTTAATGAAAACATTAAAAACGCACGGCACTGTCTAAAATGATGTTGGACTCTGAAAAAATTCATGGATAGTTATTCATACAAGTCCAAATTCGGCAAGGATCGTCCGATTAATAGCTAAGACATAGAGGGGGGGGGGGGCGTTTAAAATTTGGCTATTTTTATTAATGTGAACCTCCCTTCATTTTCTATGATTTCCATCCATTCAAGAAGATTCTCGTATGTAATACAAGTGTATCGATGATATTAAGCAACATAATTTGCTTCTCAAAATCAGAGGAATTTTGCGATAATCTTGGATTGAACGAGTTGTATTTGATAAGATTATTTCAAGAATAAATTAATAACGCTGGCAAACTTTTATTTACGCATATTGAATACCCATTCCGTGAGGATATCCGCAAGTTTTTCATCGGATGTATTTTCTTTCAGTTTCAGTTGGTGGTTTCGTTAATTGCAACATTCTTTGAATTGTTTCCAGATATATTTTTTCGATCGCACGGTATTTTGCGGCGTTAGATCTTTAATTTAATTTCTCATTTCTTCGATATTGTAATCACTGAAATGACTTTTTTCATTCATTTCATGTGATTATTTACTTTTATTTTCGAATCAACAAACTTTGCTGTTTTCCTGCCACAGCCCTATCAATTCAAATAAGTTCTATTACCCCGCTTCATCGCGCTCCCATCAACCATTCGCGATAGAAAATAAGCGTACGCCACCTATCGGAGTTCTCGAAAGCTGTCAAAGTGGCATGTTCACTTTGTTTTCATTGGTTCACATTTGTTTTTTGTTTGTTCTTCTTGGTCATATCATCGAAACAAACCGCTCAGAAGTGTTGAAGTTGCTGCCGTCAGGTGGGGCGACGTGTTATGTTCTATCGCGAATAGACCATCAACAGAACATCAATAACGACAATAAAAGGACGCTTATGCAACAAACAAAACAATACTCATCAGCATTGTGGAGAAGAAAGATATGTTCGGACGAGTTTTGTATTTATGATCCGAATCTATTCAAAATTTGTATCTTGGGGTTTTCGGGATCGGAGAGATTCTTTCGTCAAAATTTGAGAATTCAAGATGGCGGATTCAATATGTCGGACGAGTTTTGTAATAATGATTCGATTCTACTGAAAATTTGTATTCGGGGACTTTCGGGGTTGGAGATTATGATTCTTTCGTCAAAATTGGAAATTTCATGATGGCGGATCCAATATGGTGAACGAGTTTTGTAATTATATGATTCGATTCTATTTATAGTACTATCTGGGGGATTTCGAGGTCGGAGATGATGGTTCTTTCGTCGAAATCGGTAAATTCGAGATGGTGGATCCAATATGGCGGACGAGTTTTGTAATAATGATCCGAATCTATTCAAAATTTGTATTTGGGGGTTTTTGGGGTTGGAGGTTATGATTCTTTCGTCAAAATTGGAAAATTCAAGATGGCGGACCCAATATGATGGACAAGTTTTATAATTATGTGATCCGATTCTTCGAATCTGGGGGTTAACGAGGTCGGAGATTATGATTCTTTCGTCAAAATTGGAAAATTCAAGATGGCGCATCCAATATGGTTGACGAGTTCTGTAATTATATGATCCGATTATATCCATAGTTTGTATCTGGGGGTGTTCAAAGTCAGAGAGAATGATTTGTTCGCCGGTGGTGAATTCAAGAGGGCCGATTCAATATGACGGACGAAATTTGTAATAATGATCAGTTTCTACTCAAAATTTGTATGTTGAGGTTTTTGGGGTTGGAGATTATGATTCTTTCGTCAAAATTGGGAAATTCGAGATGGCGGATCCAATATGGTGGACGAGTTTTGTAATTATATGATCCAATTTTATTCAAAGCTTGTATCTGGTCGGTGACTATTATTCTTCCATCAAAATTGGATACAAAAAATTAAAGAACACTAAAAAACATGCTTTTGTAGTTATCCAAAGTAGATGCTAGAAAATAAATAGTAGTTTAAAAAACTGAAGAAACATCCTTTTATAGATAGTCAAACTAAATAGAAGTAGAAGATAAAATAATGTTTTTTAAACTGAATATAATAATGAAAATTTGATCTATCCCAAAAATGTTTTTATGTCATTATCTATTTTGACTTGAAAATGACCAAATAATTTACAATTATTAGAATATGTATGAATCATAAATAATAAATAAAGTGATTCTGGAAATGTTTTGTGCATGTGAGTGTTCAGAATATCCCTAAAAATATCCTAAGTTGATGAACACTGTGAAATTAAAGATGAAATTCAAGTTGAAAGTTCTTGAAACATCATCTATGAGTAATAATGTCTTTAATTGCAAGTACTTATCAATATATAGTCTGCCAAAATGATGAATATACTCACAGCCTCTACGATTAGTTCTTTGGACACTTTTGGCAATTTCCCATTTTTCAATTAGTGCAGGAACTTTACCCCCTAAGACTGTGCAGTTATTAGGTGACAACAGAAGGTACCCTGAACATACTTTGGCACAATTTACAACTATTTTGGTACCAGGAGGAGTGTTGTTCCTACTGATAGAGGTTATGGGGGATAGTTCTAATGCTTGGACATAAGTATCTCCATCAGATAAGCTCAGTTTTAACATTCGTGGGGCTGCCTGGGAATCTTCATTAGCCTTGGGAGCTGAAATATTTCGCACCTTCTGGATTTGAAGGACGATTTTAGAGGTATTGTTTTTCAATAACTCACTGGATAATACTGATGAACACATTTCTTTGATGTCCGTCTGGAAAAATTAGTTTGCTGATTACCACTTATTGTGGTGGAAATAATTGCTTACGTTCAGTGCATTTTGGTAGATCTTCTGCTTATCTTTGATAGCTCCATTTTCTGTAATAATATCACTTCCACTGGCAGAAATATGCCTAGAAATACATAATACAATAAATGTTGTCAATTCATGGAGCTAAACGTTACCATTCAGGCCCTAAAACAGATACCATATTCGAAAAATGTCTTGGTAATTTTAGATATTAGAACAGTTTTGCCTTGGTAGCTAAATTCATATTTTTCAAAAAACATACAAAATCCCCAAGAGCTCCAGAACGGAAGAAACAAAACGTCAAGTCAAACTTCTAACCTAACAAAAATATTCTTTTTTCCTTCGCTAGTTCTAGAATCCTTTGCCATTTTAAGGTTTGTGTTATGGCTGTGTGGTAGACAACCTGGCTAGATGCTAGATGTCCCAAAGGAACAAGAGAAGATAAGACATAAGAAGACAAAAAAGAAGAAAACGAAGTAAGTCTGACTAAGTCATTAACCTGAAAAATAAGTGTGGTTATTATTAAGTGTGACTTGTGAGGTGGTCAAACTTTTATAAATACAAACATGGTTCGAAAGAAAATAGACAACAGAATCCGTGTCTTGACAGAAAATGGGGTCAAACTGGGCCACAGGACTTTATTCGTCATCGTGGGTGACAAGGGCAGAGACCAAGTAGTGATTTTACATCATATGCTAGCAAAAGCTGAGGTTAAAGCTAGGCCTTCAGTTCTGTGGTGTTACAAAAAAGAACTGGGCTTCAGCAGTCACAGGAAAAAGCGTATGAAACAGGTTCAGCACAAAATCCAAGCTGGAAAGCTTAGTATAAATGAGGATGATCCATTTGAATTATTCCTTGCATCTACTAAAATACGATATTGCTACTATTCAGAAACACATAAAATTCTGGGTAATACCTATGGGATGTGTGTTCTTCAAGACTTTGAGGCTTTAACCCCAAATTTACTTGCACGTACCATTGAAACAGTTGAAGGTGGGGGCTTAGTAGTGCTTCTATTACGCTCAGTGGCTTCCCTCAAACAACTTTATACCATGAGTATGGATGTTCACCAACGTTTTCGAACAGAGGCTCATCAAAATGTAGTGTGTAGATTCAATGAAAGATTCCTCTTGTCCTTAGCTTCTTGTAAAAGATGTTTAGTGGTAGATGATCAGTTGTCTGTTCTGCCAATTTCCTCACATAATTTGCATGTTAGTCCAGTAGAAAATGTGCAAGAAATCAGTGAGAATGAGACTGAACTGACTGATTTGAAAGAACAATTACGTGATACCCAACCAGTAGGGAATCTAGTAAATTTATGCAAAACTCTGGATCAAGCAAAAGCTTTGCTTAAATTCATAGAGGGCATTTCAGAGAAAACATTGAGATCCACTGTGTCTTTGACAGCCTCTAGAGGTAGGGGTAAATCAGCTGCACTAGGCCTAGCAGTTTCAGCAGCTGTAGCTTTTGGGTATTCCAATATTTTTGTCACTAGTCCAAGTCCTGAGAATTTGAATACTTTCTTTGAGTTTGTTTTCAAAGGATTTGATGCTCTGGAATATCAGGAGCACATTGATTATGGATTGGTTCAGAGTACTAATCCTGAATTCAATAAGGCCATTGTAAGGGTCAATATTTTTAGGGATCATAGGCAGACAATACAGGTTTGTAAATTAAATTTTTAATTTTTCACATATAAGTATATTATGATTTCATCAGATCCCATTCATTCAGTAGTACATTTCAGTCAAGAATAAAGTTGATAGTGAGAGAGTGAGTGTTTGACCTGGCTAGGTGAGTTCTGGCTAGAATATCAAGATATCATTGTTGATGATGAACAATGGAAGTGTTTTGTTGACTGGTTGGCTGTGCATATCTGAAAAAACTTGAGTTGATGTAGTTGACAGCTGTTCATGGTCTTATTGCCTATACTCAATTTTGACCATTAATATTATCATTTTGCTATACACTCAAAAACAAATGAATTTTTATTTCATACCACTATTATTTTCATATGTAAGTTGGTTGAATTAGACAGAAGTAGCCTATTTTAGTAAACAATGAAACAATGTTTCCAAATTGGAAATATCACCGTTTTCACCTCCATTCTCAGATACATGGAAATGTGTTCAACAAACTTTCATCTATGTTTCAATGTGATGTGCTTTGATTTTCAATACCATGTTCCATGCTTCTGGGTTCACCCTCAACTCTATTGTTTCAAATTCAAATATGGACCAGTATTTTATTTTTTTGTGTTTTAAGTGAATTTAATTAGTTATTTTCTTACCAAGTTCAGATATGTATCTTACCTGGAATTTTTTTCTATATTTCTGCCCATAAATTCATTCATCATGGTCTGAATAATTGATATACCATTTTGGTTTTCCCTGTATATGTCCCTGAAAACAGTTGGTGATGTTGCCTTTTGGAAAAATTGTTTCATTATCTAACTGAATGGACTTTGGTCTAATTTAACCAACTTACTATCATTTACTACATAAAAAAGGGTCTGTATAAATACAGGTTGTTTCATTGTTCAACGGATAATATTTCACAGCAAGCTTCATAGATAATAACTCATTTTGACCAAGGAAGCTTTTATTTTAGTCAAAATATTGAAAAAGATTAATTTTATCTTCTCTAAGTAGGGATCGACCGCTACCGATATTTATATCGGCTTATATATCAGCTATATGGACCTCATTGGCCATTGGCCGACTATAGTATTGGCCGATATCGAAAGCCGATAGACCAATAGATTTTTTTTATGGGCAAAATTTAAATCTGATATAAAACAGATTGGAAGTAGATGGCACAATATTTCCAGTTTTGATTTCTTAGCGCGCAACTAAAAAAAGTAGGGGAAACAATTTTCCTTTTGTTTATTTCTGCTAGTATTTGCTACATAACTACATCTATTCCACTGATGGATGGTTATTCAACAGATAATATTTCATATTGGACGTATTGACCGGTTTTCCTTTGCCACCTAATGAAACAGATTTTTTGAAAATTTAGCAAATTGCCCTTCCGATGTTTTTTCTCATCGTTTTCCTGTTCCAATATATTTTCAAAATATTGCCATAAAGGGCTTGTCTTCGGAGTTTTGTCACAATATTCGATAATAATAATTCCACAGCTGAGTTTACTTGAAACAAACACCATAATATATACTTCAACCAGTTGAACACATCAGCCTCTACTCTATCAATGTACAGAATCGTACAGAATATTAACACAACCAAAATTAAGCACTAAGTTAGAGGAATTTCCAAGCCAGACAGTATGCATTACCATGGAAAGAAACGAACGGCCGATATAAACAGTACCGATATAATATCTATATCGGGCAATCCCTACTTCTAAAAAACTGTTGTTATGTGTTATTTCAACAAAATTCAGCAGAGATTTTGGAAAAATGAAAAATCAAAAATTTTGGTTTCTGAAGAGCAAATTATGTACCAACTTTTGATAAAAATTTTTGTCATTTAATAAATTATTCCATGAAACCTATTTCAATTTTTCATTTTCTATTTCATTGTCACCGAATCGAGTATGCGATCTCTCGGACGATCCTCTGTGGAGCTTTTCAATCTCGGTTTCAATCGAGTTTTGATATACCCTGTATTCACTTTGCCAGGAAGTACCAGGTGATTCACAATAAATGTCACATCCTCTAGCTCAGTTATTTTTGAACCGATTTCATAATTTGAAAAATCATGGAAGTTATTTGAAATTATATTTCACGTGGGGAAGGACACGGCGGCAATAGGTGTACAAAATGTTCCGAAATGAATGGCAATACTTGGGGCATTATAGGCATTATCGGCATTATTCGAAAATGATCGGCACTAAATGGCAATAGTCAGCATTGAAGAAGAAATGCAGAAATTGGCGGCATTAAGTCGGAAGTATTAGGCAACAGACGGCAATAGATATGAAATATTCGGCAATAGTCGGGAATGAACTGCACTGAATGACGTAACAGCGAAATAAAGTGGAGAGGGCCGTCTATTCTTTAATTCTGTCCAATCATGCATTGCTAGTGTTGTTTTTATTTAGATTTCGAATAGGTATGTCGTTAATTCAAAATAACTCAACTCCCAATATATTGAATGTGACAGGACACAACACACATGGATGTACCCGCGAGGATGTACCTAAACTTTGCCGAAAAAAATAATCTCGTGAAATCAGTGTAGGTACTTGAAGCCCTTAAGATAAACTTGAATTACACTGAGTGACATTTTCTCGGAGATTTCCAAATGAACATGACAGATTCTGAATAGTATATTACGTAATATGTGTTGTAAGAAGCATATTACGCACGAATGGAAATTCCATGAGTGCGTAATTGCTTTACAACACGCATTACGTACTATACTTTACCTACTGCCTTATAGTACATAAAAAAAGTTTGGACAAACAGTCTGAATTATAATTCTTGACAGTTATGTCATACGCTGTTGACGGCGATTACGCGATCATGACTGGCGGAATAATCGAAAACTGTACGATGTTCTTACTGTGCGTAAAGAGCTACTTACTGAAGCTGTATCCCATGTGTTCTTGCCTACTTTCAATAGTGGCCGTATTAGGTAAAATTAATTACCGCCTGGAACGCTATGGAAATCAAAATACCGTAATACTTATTTCCCTCTGCATGTTTCTTGAAATTGGCGAAGAGTAGCAATTTTTACGTCGGCGGAAGTAGAAGTTAGTTTCTCTGGTAACAAAAGAGGGGCAGAAGTCTCGTATTATTCCCTAGGGAGATAATGTGACGTATTTTCTCTCTAGGGAGTTTATACCAATATTACATTTTCCGCATAGCTCTGCGCTTTCTTTTTGGAACACCCTTCTCTGAAGCGAGTATAAGCTGCATCTTACAGATTTCTAGATCTCACTGGTAGTAAGTTGAGAATCACTGCAGAAGCAGTATAAATAGTTTCTTGGGGTTTTCCCTCGATTTCTTGTTCCATAACCGTTAACCATTTACAAAGCAGTTTTCATAAATTTCAGTTTGATATTTGCTGTCACCATGGGTTGTCAACAAGATGCATGCACGAATTCCACAAACTAAACTACTACTAATTATGACAAAACACTTTGACCAAATTTTTATTCTTTCTTATAAGTTTTGCCTACTTTCTATAGTGGCCGTAGGTAATAGTATATTATGTAACAAGTGTTATAAACGTCCTTTTAGTAACGAGTATTTTAAGCACGAGCGGAGCAGAGCGGAGCGAGTGTTTAATAAACGAGTGTCTAGAAGAGTTTATAAACGCGTTACATACTATGCTTTTTCTACAAACTCCGAAAATAACATTGACATACCTGCTATTCCTGCTAACCTACAAAATAATTCGGAAGAAATGGGAATGGAGAACATAATACATGCAACTGCATGCAACCAGCGAGACACTTATAAGTGATATTGCTTGAAGATGTGTCCAGTCCATTGCTTCCTAACCTTCGTTTCACGTTTTTATTGTCATGCTTAGAGCAGAATAAATAAATTGTTCTCAAAGATGGATGCTTCATTTTTACACTTCTTGGAGATATGCAAGTACCAAAACATTCTCTTCGATTTCACTTTCGTCTACATTTCGCATATATTTTCAATGAAGAATTCTGATACAAACGAATATTGTTTGAATAATTCTGGTACAAAATTCGAAAATAACATTTGACAGTTAATACAATTGACAGGCCAGATATGTCTCAAATTACTGAAGCTGTGTTTAATGAACTTTGTTGCCATGGTAATGTGTTTAAGAAATCGTGTTGCCATGGTAACGTGTTCAATATTTTGAATAAATCACAGATCGACAATCTGTGATTAATCGATCATTTAGCGAGGTACATATCCGTACGCTAAATGCCATTTTAGTTATGTGAGTATAAAAAATTATATACACATGTTCAAAAATGACACTAACGGTGACGTTTATGGAGAATACTGAATATCCTATCAAAGAAAAACAACACAACCCTTACAGACCCACTCATTGAGCAACCCACATTGAGCGTAATATACAGGGTGAGTCATAACTATTGGGACATAGGCGAAGGGCGGATTGTTTGGACCAAAATATGGCGATAGGAACGAATAGGCCTTAATAAAATATTATTGTGAAAAAAGATACAGGGCGTTGAAATTGATTTTGTTTAGTTTTTTGCTGATAATTTCACTGTATATTTATCAATGGTTATCAAAATCGGCAAAGAGGCATAATTTTCCACAGAAAATATTATTATATTTATTATTCTACAGTTTGTTACAGGGGGCGCCACGTAAATTCCTGATGATGAAATCGACTGATAACTTTTTGACGAAACTTTTTAGTGATTCAGAATAAAAAATATGACATAAACATCATTTCTACGTAATATTGGTATTGTTATTCAAAAACGATATTTTTATCTGTTTTCGAGATAAACGCAATTGAGCAGTTCAAAGTCTCAATAGTTATGACTCACCCTGTATATATCAGAAAAAAGGCTATATCTTCGTAGCAGTTTGACATAACCCCATCATACCCTGTATTGTTGGATACTTTTTCGAAATCTAATTGTAGAATGAAATACAGAGTGTCCCATTTGAAAAAATCAACTAGTATCCTGTAGATAGTTTGTTTCGACCGCCCTGTATTCTCTAATGTAGCGGGACAAAATATGAAAAATCATTTCAAATACTTCTTCAAATGTTGAAATCGGTTCAAAAATAACTGAGCTAAAAGGGGTAAATTTATGGTGAATCACCCTATACAATGATTCCACAAACAACATTTATTCTCTTCAGTATATTCACCCTACAGATGCTCAGCGCTTGTCTCAAGCTGAGCTTCTAGTGATAGATGAAGCTGCAGCTATCCCTCTACCTTATGTGAAAGCCATGTTAGGTCCTTACCTGGTGTTTTTGGCATCCACCATCAATGGCTATGAAGGTACAGGGCGCTCATTGTCCCTGAAATTGCTGAATCAGCTGAGAGTTCAAGCTGCACCAGTTGGTGCAAATACCAATGCTGTGAATAAGAAGGATTCTGGGGCTGCAACTGGTAGAACCCTACATGAGGTAAGCAATGTCAAAAAATGAAACTTTGAAATTTTCACTATTTGTCATGAATACAAAGAACTTTTATCTAAGGAAATCCGTTACCACCAATTTTTCCGAGAACATCATTAATCACTACTATTGTTATTGATTTTTTCCTACAAATACAAGAGAAAAGTTGTTATTTTCAACATGTTATTGATTTTCTACACCATTCTCAAAATTTCAATGAAGATAGTTCCTGCCGGTTTCTGCCGACAGTCCTGCAAATTCCTGTCAGACCAAAAAACAATAATAACTCATTATAAATTTAAAATGCCTCTGCTCTACAGGGAACTCATAATATAGTTTCTTGTCAGATGAGAACTCTCCAATGATATCGGATTATTTGATAAACTATTATACAATAGATTGGATTCGTCAAAAAAAATTACCTACCTAATAACATACACATAACAATGAATAACAAACAAATAATTCGTTAGGCTATGTCTAGAGTTTATGGTTGTTTTATTAGTTAGGTGATCATCGCTATTTTTTAGATATAAACATCAACAACGACGCCATATCGTCTTCTATTTTTTTATTCGTTTTTATTCCCCAGCTATATTCTTCATCATCAGCTAAATTCAGACTAGATTCAGAATGTACGTCACAGTTTGCCGCGTCAAAAATTGGAAATTGCTTTATTTTGTTGATAAAAACGACTTGGACTTTATCGATCGCCATTTTGTACAGCGTGGACATGAAACTGAGGAGTTCCGAACTTATTTTATGAAAATGCATCTGAAGAAAACTTCCCCATTGATTTGAGTTGAAATTTAAAGTGAAGTTGTCTCTATCGTCTTTGAATATTAGTGCTGGTAGGCTATTTCAAAGTATTGAAGTCAAAATGAAGGTTTCCCAAAATTTCACAGCCTACTGCAATTCATTTTATTCCAATGCCATGCAAAGCGGAAAATTAGAATTGAAAATTTTTTAATTTTCATTTTTTGAAATAGCTGAGAATAGGTATTTCAGAATCCGAAAGCTAATGTGCTTCAATAGAGTTGGTTAATCATATAATATTTTCTTACATTATCTAGATTGTTTGTTTTTCTAGGTAACTTTGAACGAATCTATCCGTTACAAACCTGGAGATGATGTTGAAACTTGGCTGACGCGGCTGTTATGCCTAGACGCCACCTTTGTGGCCCCCATTTTGTCGGGTTGTCCTCCTCCTGACAGCTGCGACTTGTATTACATCAACAGAGACACACTCTTCTGCTATCATAAGGCTTCTGAGGAGTTCTTGCAGAGATTGGTGGCATTGTACGTTGCTTCACATTATAAGAATACGCCGAACGATCTGCAAATGATGTCAGATGCGCCGGCTCACCACTTGTTCTGTCTCTTGGGGCCCGTGGATCCAAAGAGGCGGACCTTGCCGGAAGTTTTGGTGATTATTCAGGTACTTGCGAATTTACTGGTGCTTGGCTCGTTTGCACTGCTCCCCTCAGAAGAAAATTGGTACGGTCCTGAAGCAGGGCCTACTCTATCTCACCGGGCCGGAGCATCGCTTTCGTGACGTCACACTAGTAGGGACAAAATCTAGGCGCTGGAAATTTCGTTTCCCAATTCATTGATGTACCACGGGAAATCGGTAACAGTTATCAAAAAATGTCAAGAGATCAAATATGTACAGACTAGACTCCTTTGAGAGATGAATCAATATTCACGATTACGATTAATAGTTTGAGATATATAGCATATCAAAATGAATTGACTACATTCAGAATTGTCGATTTTTAAACAGCTGCTAGAATTTCAATATTCAATTCACAGAAAGGATTCAACCATGCAAAGGCTTTTCATAGTATCTAGATTGACTGTAATTTTTCTCAAAATTCCCAAGAGCCATCGTCACTGACTTTTTTGTAGTAACTCTCATTGCCTACAAATCGATATGATACACTTTTTTTGTAACTCAGACGTTTTTAGCAGCGTTTATGTCTAAAGATAATCTGGACATACTTTGATGACGTTAGAAATCATAGAAGTTATTAGGCAAAAACCCTGACAGCAAATTCATTATTTTCAGCTATGGAGTATATATTTCAGAAATAATCTCATATTAACGAAGATAAATTTGTTCGAAAACATTTTCAAAATATGTAAATTCAAAAGAACAAAAAATGAGTAGTTCTCATACACATACTAAACGAAAGCCATTCTGAAAATATTGAACATAATAAAAGTGAAAAAATAGCCAGATAGTACAAAATAACGTACTTATAACAAAATATATATATATCAGAAACTGAAAAATGGGCTCAAAGCTTCATATTCATCCGGAAATTCTGATGATTCTTCTTTTCTTATTATTTGACTGAATCCAGCTAATATTTCATATTTAATACCTAATTATTCAGCGCAATATTCAATATAGTTTTCAAAATATCCAAAGACCCACAACTGGAACATGAGTAATAAAACGTGCATTGCCCTTAACCCATAGGGAATTACCGCGAAATCGTTAATACGGGGAAATTAGGTAGGTATAATACTAGACAAAATTTTACGCGCTCTTTATTCAGATTCAGTCAGTTTCATTTTAAACCGATTCCAAATTGGCAAAAAATAGTATTCCCTAGTACGTCCTGGTTTTCATTAAAATTGAATTTCTTTACAACATCATAAATCGGTACTGGTCCATCCTAATGAATTTATTTTGTTACTGAAAGTTGGCTAGTTCATCAGGGATCAATTCGTCTCCATTGAGCGTGCTTCTAATTTTTAAAGTAAATGAGCTATAACCTTTCAATTACGAACGCACAGATATGAAATGATGTGAAATCTCAACCTACTAGTGTGACGTCAGCATCGAGGGAGAGGGGATAGACTACGGCCCGGTGAGATAGAGTAGGCCCTGCCTGAAGACGAAATTCATTCGATTCTGGTCTTCGAAAAATTTCAAAATTTCAATATCTTTATTTTTGAAGAAAAGAGTGTGCCCTTGAAGTAGTGCTTCTAGTGAGTCTCAGTTCGTTTGGTCTCTTACTTTAATTTTTTTTTATTTATAATATTATCAACTTGATAATAAAATGGGTACGCTCCTGGAATTGTGATTTTCAACCGCTATCGCCATCAAAGAAATTTTAAAATCCCAACTCATTGATTGCCAACCTTCAAGGAATAAAAATTCTGTATGCCCACTGGTATTTTTCATTTCAATTAGGGCTAAAGTTACTATGTCTATAAAAACTCGAGTTATGGTAAAACTTGACCATGCTTTCGGTTTTTCTGGGAGAGGCGCGATCTGGTCGACAATCAAAATATGTTAGCCCTTACAACTTTCACATTTAAATAATGAATGATACGCCCCTGTGAAGCTGCGAGTTCGATTTAATATGGATATCATATAGGCATTTTTTCAGAATTTTACAATCGTCATACATAACAATTTTCATACAAAATGAAAACAAAGCCAAAAACTAACCAATTAGGAAGATCAAATCTGTAGAAGTAACTCCTCACGTGCAGCATTAGTAGGTTACGCAGATTCTTTTCTTATATAACATGAAGCTCCAAACTGTATAGCTGAGTGATAAGGCATTATAAAGATCAGCACAAAGATATTTACATTTACCCATATGTCTTGAGTTCTCTTGATTCAACAAAAAGGTATAATATGACCTTAAAGTCGTACTTTTCATTTTATTTCTGTTTTCTGTTGTCCAAGGTATTTCATATTGATCAATTAACATTTTCACAAAAAGTGCGAAAAAAGGACAGCGAAGATGGCTTAATGCATAAATGAAAAATATCGGAATATTTGTTCTAGTCTATCATTGACTTATTAGATAGGTCTATGTTCTAGTATTGCATTCTTTTTATATGTGCACTAGTAGGTATCACGTAGGTATGTCTGGTCAATATTGTAGATTTGGAAGAATTGTTGAAGTACCTATATATATCAAGAAAAGAAAGTCTTGAAGTCCACAAATTCAGTGACATGCAGATGCAGTTAGTCCTGATTCAACAAGGCTTGAGACATTTCAAAACTATGATTTTAACACATTTTCTAAGGTTTGTTTGGAAGGAGAGATTTCCAAGAGTTCTGTCCAAGAGGGGTACTCTAGGGGCAAACGGGCATCAGGAGATTTGATACCTTGGACTATTGGACAGCAGTACCAAGATCATGATTTTCCTAGGCTATCTGGAGCTAGAATTGTCAGAATTGCCACACATCCTGATTATCAAGGGGTGAGTCGCCATATTACACAATATCTACATAAAATATATTCATACGGAGAACTTCAATTCAAGTGAGACCTATGAATTATTCCCATTCAATGTTCCTTCAGAGTTTGAATAAAATTTATTGGACAGTTTAAGAGAAAAAAAACTTGATTTGATTAAATAATCTTCAGATGGGTTATGGTGGTAGAGCTCTAGACATCCTCAAAAGATACTATGAAGTCAAAATACCCAGCATAGAAGAAGTTACTCAACCTACAAAAGAAGAAATAGATAATGTAGATGATTCTGAAGTCGATTTACTAGAAGAATCCATTGAACCTCGTAAAGAATTACCACCTTTGTTACTGAAACTTAGTGAGAGGCCTCCAGAGAGACTGGACTATTTGGGAGTGTCGTTTGGGCTCACAGAACAACTGTTGAAATTCTGGAAAAAAGCAGGTAACATTTTGAAATCCGATTGTGTTTGAAAGTGGATTCCTTAGTCCTTCTAGATTTTTCAAGAAAAATTCTTAGAGAAATGTTTCCGTTAGAATGCGACGGAAAATCGTCAGCGGTACTGACGCCACAAGTACTATAACGCGCCAACCGTCTATTCAATTCAATTCATTTATTCATCGTATTGGTCTCCTTTACAGGACATTGGGTTTGTCATAAAAAATCCTTGAATTAAACATACATGACACAAGACTACAACACACAACTACAACTAATAATGATAGTACCTTATCCTAACTACAGATATAAATATAAAATGCTCGATAGAATGTATATAAAATTATACATAGAAGGAGTGACCAAAGTATTCATCTAGCCCATAAAATATGTTTTTTATAAGAATTCTCCTGAGCTCTCTTTTGAATTTGTAAATACTGTCAATTTGTCGTACTTTCATGGGTAAGTGATTATAAATCCTTAGTGGCATGATGTAACAGCTGTTATTAGTCAAGGTTAACCTATGCTGGGGAATAACCATTTTGTCGGAGTCTCTCAAAGAGTATTTTTGCATATTGCCAACAATCTGAAACTTTACAATGTTTTTTGACATGAACTGCACACTGTAATACATAAATTGAAGCCATAGTCAACAGTTATAGCTCCTGGAACAACGGCCGACAAGACTGCTGAGGAGGTTTACCAAGCATTCTTCTGACAATTTTTTTTTGTGCCAGTAAAATTTCTTTAACTCTACTGCAGTTACCCCAGACCACAACTGCGTAACTTAAAGAGAATAAATATATTATGCATAATAGTATGTAATAGGATATGTTTATCGACGCAGCAGAGTTTCCAAATGGCAAAGTTGTGGTAGCAAAGCTTCTTCAGAATGAAATCGACATGTGAAGACCATGACAACTTCTCATCAATATTTATTCCAAGGAATTGGTGTTCTTCTTAAATTTCTGGAGGTTATATGCCTCGGGGAACACCTCCCTTGGAAATGTGTTCCAGAGCCTCGCTGTTCGTTGGATGAACGAGTCTTTGGAAAGAGAAGGGATGTGAAGCCTCAACTCGACGGGTTAATCTCGCGGGGACTGCCAAGGGAGGAACAATTGTTGATATATTTCAGAAGAGCATCGTCCATGAAAATATCTATAAAATAGAGCCAGATCGCCAACTTTTCTACGGTGTTCCAGAGAAGTGAGTGAGTGTGTGAGCGAGGCATCATCCACGAGACGATAGCTGTTTGATTGTATGTTCATTTTCATTGGTATTCAGAGAAAAATCGATGAATACTATTCAGTGAGATAACAGCTTTGCCGTCTCAACCGATTCTCTAGCTTTTTTGGATATTTTTACATCCATCAATCTCAGGATCTCAAGATACTTATGTCTAAGAATTATTGATTTCAGCAACGGATGAACTGAGCAAGACAGTTTAAAACCCACTTGTTCTTGTTTTCTTACAAATTGGATGGTGACATATTATGACATGGATATTAGAGAGATATCATCAGAATTTGAGGTTCATTGAAATGGAAAATATATGTACAAAAATCATTTGGTATATGATCCTCGGCACGAATGTATATTTCAGAATTAGACCGAATTTGGCGCTGCTGATTTAACCTACAACATGCTATAACCTATTCTATAATTTATCATGTCAGCTGTCAACTTGTAGAATTGGCAATCGGGGTAAATCCCGATGGGAGAAGCAGGTTTAGTGTAGAGAAGAATCTCTGTTACCTATTTGCTATATGCCCATTTCCAAATTGTATAAAGGAAATTAGGATATCAATGTCCCTTGCAGAGCAACCACAGCAAGTTGAAAGCCTGGGCCTTAATACCCCTGAATGATGCAACCTAATGTGTTGATGAACCTGGGGGAGGCATTCAACCGTTTTATAAAACGTGTGACGTCAGTACCTCTGGCGGATTTTCGTCGCGCTCAAAACTTCTTTGTGTCTATTCCCATCATGAAATCAATGTTCTCTTTTATCACCTCGCTTTTTTTCTGAAGTAGCATTGTTACTTTCCCGTTCTTCGAAGCAGCTAATGTCTATCCGAATATTATTATTTTAGGTTACACTCCAGTTTATCTAAGACAGACCACGAACGATTTGACTGGCGAACATTCGTGTATCATGCTCAACGTTCTGAACGTCGAGAATATCAAAGAAGATCACTGGTTGGCAGCTTACTGGCTGGATTTCAGAAGGAGATTCATCAATTTGTTGTCGTACCAGTTCGGCAAATTTTCACCGGCTTTGGCACTAGGGATGTTGTCAAACAAAGCAGTTAAGCTCAAAACTAAAGGTAACAATATCTTTGATTTCCAGATGTACGTTGACATCAGCTGAGAATTATGTATTTGGTGACATTATTAGATATGAGTGGTAAATTTTGACCATCTGAATGAAACTGTGGAACTTTATTTGTGATTCTGAGACCTTAAAACCATTCAGAAATTTTCTAAAAAATATTAAAATTGAAAGCATCAGTGTGAAGATGAAAAAAAAAAAAACAGTCCACTAGCTCCACAGAATGAATGATTATTGATGTCTTTCAAGATTTAGATGAGCTAACCTACTATTTGTTTTGTTCCTTTGAAATTATTGAATGAGTGGTCGTATTACTAGTGGTTTTTGATTAAGAAATTCACTCTGATAATGAAAAATATGCCCAAATAAGTGAGGCATTATTTTTTAAATTCCTCTTTTTTCAGTTTGACCCTGAATATTTTATTGTTGGTATTTTTAGATCTGGGTGCACAAGAAATGGAGATTCATTTCACGAAATATGACATCAAGAGATTGGAGATGTACAGCAATAATTTGGTGGATTATCATCTCATCATGGATTTGATGCCTACACTTTCGAAATTATACTTTTCAAACAAAATGGGGGATGTTCAGATGTCTGCTGTCCAATCTGTACGTATTCATTGCAGTTCCTTAATTACTCCTGAAAAAAATGATCCAAAGAGAAAATAATATACTTCCTTATATTTTTTTGATATCTTGAATTTGGTACATCAGTTAGGTTCCATGGATAATTGAAGGAATGAATGAATATATTGTCTTAGGTTTAACTTGTCCAACTTTGACAATCAATAGATAAAATTTACCTTACTAGTGCTGAAAAGTCACTTTAAGTGTGAATACTCAATGGTACAACTCATTTCAGTGTTGAAACTAACTTTTCTAACATTGACAAACAATAGAAAAATTATAGTAGTTTACCTAACAAGTGCCGAAAAGTCACTTTACGCACGTGTTAACTACACTATTTTTTCTAACAGCGTGCGGAAAAAACCCAAATTCCTTCTTTCCGCACTCATGCACTAGTGCGGGAAAGTTACTCAAAACTAGAATTAGTGCGGAGGAGTGGACTTTTCTGTATGCTAGTAGAAAAAAAAATTCATATGTGTTTTTGATTGTTGCCGTGGGGAAACTGGATTTCAATATATGGGATGTTGAAGTTAGCTTCAAGTTTTGTTTCAAATTAGTATCTCTGTTGAAAAGATGTGTACATGAGTTTTGAAAAATATTGAATTCTACCCTTCTTTGGACATTCCAGGAACGATTTTCCTCCCGTTTTCAACAAAGAAAAGAAAAACATGAACATAACTCCACTTTGTATACTCTTGCCAAAGATTTTAAAATAGTTTTGAGTTATTCAAAGAAAAAAAAAACAACGACGATTTTGCGTTTCTCTACCTACATAACTTGTTTTTGTACACACTTGCCAAAGATTTTAAAATAGTTTTGAGTTATAACTATCATGGAAAGCACTGTAATCATCATTTATTATAAAAAAATAGTATTTTGCCTGAATTTTACATTCATAACATCATAACACAAAACCTATGTACCAAATTAAAATATCTGATCATAATACAATAAAATACATGATAATTTCAAATATTATTTTCAAGGCTATAGTCGTGGGTCTGGGCCTGCAACACAAAACAGTGGATGATTTGGCCACAGAACTCGAACTTCCGGCCACCCAACTGTTGGGTCTCTTCAACCGGCTGATCAGGCGTTTCGTCCAATATTTGAACAGGTAGGGTTGTGGAAATTTTACTTCTGATTTCAATCTAAAATTTCGGCTAAAACGTTCATGACATGTTGTCAATTAAGACCTTTTTTCTCTTATTGGCCACGTTTATACCATATGGATATTTGGTATGCTTACCAAAGTGATTTGACCAAATTCAGACCAAAAGCCTTAGTTAACGCATGTTTACACCATGTATCTTTAGGTGACTAACTTTACAAACTTTGTTTTGATTTGATAATTTTTTTGAGATTAGGTTGTGGAAATCCACTAAAATTCGTAAATTATGAATAATACCTTCTAGTAGGATTCAAAATTAGCTGAAATTGAATGGAATATTGTTATGAAGGCTCCTGAAATAACAGATACATGCACTCAATTCAAGTCAAGGCTATACAAAAGTAGACCAAAGTGTTTACACCGTCTTGGTCATCATACTATTTTAGTCTGGTACACAACAAGTTTGGGTACCAAACCAAGCTGGTAACTTTACCAAGTGTACAGTTTATACCACACTGACCAAGAGTATTTAGTTAAAATATAGTCATTAGTCAGCTTACCGAGACACGGTATGAACGTGGCCATTGTTCATATATTTTCTGTCTCAAAAATGGTGTAAACCTAATTTTAGGGAGATAAGTGTATCAGAGGTGGGTGCATTCTAAGACACAAGAAACTCTCATATTAATATCAAATATATGCACTTGAAACCTTTGTAGTGGATTTTGAACCACCCTGTATGAAATTCGCTAACGTTTCACATCTTCCAAAAATTTATGAAATTTTCCAAAAGAAGGAACATTTAAAGACATGCCCTGAGAGAAATCGTCAATCATTCTCTGTCGATACCGAGAAGATCTGGCCAGTCTAAGCCGACCGTACCGATTCAGTGCGCGGCGATGCAACAAGTTACATGCATAGCAAAACGTGCCGAGTCGATTCGACCGATCCGAGTCGATTCAGTGTGCGTGGTCCTTTGAGTTACATGGAGAGCAAAACGTAGCGACCTTGCCGAGTCGATTCAGTGCGCGTGGTCCTTAAGGCGACCGTATCGATTCAGTGCACGGCGATGCAACAAGTTACATGCATAGCAAAACGTGCCGAGTCGATTCGACCGATCCGAGTCGATTCAGTGTACGTGGTCCTTTGAGTAACATGCAGAGCAAAACGTGCCGACCGTGCAGAGTCGACCGTTGCGAGTCGATTCAGTGCGCGTGGTCATTCAATATTAGGCTATATTCCGAATTCAACTGACAGTACTGAATCTGCTGATTTTTCATTCCGAAATCAAAAAATGTACTAAAAGTGACAGATGCATTCCAAATATTTCGACTCAACATTCTGCTGAAATTGCTGACTATTAAAAGGTAGTGTGGCTTCAGTGAACTGTCATTATTTCAGAGTGGGAAGGAATGTAACATTTATTTCCGTTGTTGGGGATATCATTTTCAATGTTAGAAAGTACCTGTTATTTATTTATTTATTTATTAGAAACAAACAGGTTATGGCTGTTATTGAAATAATAAACGCTGAGAATAATATGGAGTATGAATTAGTATAGAGGTAACGAATGAAGAAGCAGCATTGGCTGAATAAATAACTAAATAAACGGGAAATGTCTCCTAAATTCATCATCATTAATGTCATGATTGTCATATCACGTTTTCCATTCATCTTTCAATTCTCAATCTGGTGCATCATGGAAAATTAATGGCAACAAAATGTCCAAGTATTCTTCATCTCTCGAGATTGAATCGTCTTCGTCAACAATCGTAGAAACTATGGAGGCTACAAGAATCGATTGCTGTTCCATGTTGAATATTAAATCTTCAAAATTTATATCAACGAGAAACTACAGACTGACAAACGTGTTCCGAATTAAAGCACTGTATTTTTGATTTTATATTTCGGAACACAGATTTTCAGCAGAGTCAGTGATGACCAGTTGAATTCTGAATGGGTTGCGTGCAAGAACTGTCAGATGACCGACCCTGGAGCTGAAGCATTGAAACAAAACCTCACTTTCCCTTTTTTTTTAAATGATTGAAATTGTTTTCCATTTTCGGCCATTCTTTAATTCGCGCATGCCATCACATTGTGCTGTTATACAATGCACAAAAAATGCAGCGAGAGACGAAGGAATCCGGTTGGTACATTATGATTCGAAAGTAAGTACCTACCTAGTCACTCACATATAGTTTCCATTTTGAAATTTGGTAATTTCCCTGATTTCTCATCGGAATTCCTTCTGCAATAGGAGCTAATAGAAATACTCGTGCTAAAAGATTGCAAGAAAATTGGATTCATGCAATCAAACGGGAGGACTGGTCTGACATGCTGACGAAATATGATCGTGTGTGTTGTAGACATTTTTAATCTACTAGCAGTATGATAGCTTCTATTGTAGAAGTGGCAGAAGGAATTTTAATAAGAAATGACAAAATTTCATAATGAAAACTATGTGAGATTACTATTTACCTGAAAAATCATATTCCTTCGTCTCTTGCTGCATTTTTTGTGTATTGTACAGGGTGATTGACTATGGATTTCTCGACTTCAACAGCTGATATCTCGAAAACGAAAAAAGATATTTGAAATTTGGAAAAAGGTACTTGAATGAGATGTCATTTCCTTCTAGAAAATGTGTTCTCTGCTTGATTTTATCATTTCATATACAGGGTTCGTGAAAAAAATTTTTTTTTTTCAAATGGAACCCCCTGTATATTATCGCATATTTCGGAAGAGCTATCTTTCCTGATTTCGAAGATATATACTTTTCATATATTCTATCGAGGGCTTGACGAAATATCAGCAAAATTAAATATTAATATTTGGTCCAAGTTAGCTATGGTTGAAATAGAATGAGATGATGAATAAGTGAATTGACATTTGGCCAACATTCCAGTGACATAAGTGCGCAAAATTTTGACAATCTTCTCACGATGCCATATCCACTGGAACAAAGAAGAGATATTTTGGTGTGGTATTTTTCAGTTAATAAAAATCTTGCTGAAACACTTACACTTATACCATTATACTAACTTAAATTTAATCTTTCAGATATGACAAGACAAAATTCAATCCGCTTCTCATTATCATCATAATTGAGTTTGTGGCATGGTCTAATTCTGAAATCCCTATATTTATATTTCCTTAAGGTATGTTGAACAAAATAATAGCTGAAATCAAACTCTCTCACTGCATTTCTTAATGACCGTGAAGGATCCTCAACAAAATACTGGATTACAAGAAGTTCCTCGTCTTCGTTGTCTTGCCTTCTCACTATTCTCTTGATATTCGACAAACTGGAAGTTCTGTCAAATTTAGCAGCCAAATACTTTACATAATTCTCACTTGGTAATCTCCTGCCTGGATAACTCCTCATAAACTTATGAAGTGTTTCAGCAAGATTTTTATTAACTGAAATATAGCACTCCAAAATATCTCTTCTGAATCGTGAAAAAATTGTCGAAATTTCGCGCACTTATGTCACTGAAATGTTGACCAAATGTCAATTCACTTATTCATCATCTCATTCTATTTCAACCATAGCTAACTTGGACCAAATATTAATATTTAATTTTGCTGATATTTCGTCAAGCACTCGATAGAATATATGAAAAGTATATATTTTCAAAATCAGGATAGATAGCTCTTTCGAAATATGCGATAATATACAGGGGGTTCCATTTGAAAAAAAATTTTTTTTTCACCTACCCTGTATATGAAATGATAAAATCAAGCAGAGAACACATTTTCCAGAAGGAAATGACATCTCATTCAAGTAAGTTTTTCCGAATTTCAAATATCTTTTTTCGTTTTCGAGATATCAGCTGTTGAAGTCGAGAAATCCATAGTCAATCACCCTGTACAACAGCATAATGAGAAGGCATGCTTGAAATAATGAATAGCGCAAAAAAAAGATTCGTATGCCAAAATATCATGAAAAACTATTTGAATTCTTTGATTCCTCTGTAAACAAATAATAAAAGTGAGGTTGTGTTTCAATGTTTTACAGAAGAGTGAGGTTATGTTTCAATATTTTAGCTCCAGTGTCGGTTATCGTGCACGCGACCTATACAGTGTGTCCATTTAGTGCGTAATTCTTCGATATCTCGAAAGCCATAACCTATAGAGAAAAACTTTGAAGGAAAAACCTTTTCAGTTACTAAAGTTGCTTATTTCAAAAATATTTTCAACATTACTTGGTGTTTTGTAGAAGCGGGACGACTCGTGGACGAGTTTTTTGAAATGGAACACCCAGTATTGTTTCTTTGGAATTTATTCCGCCGAAGTTTATCTTCACATCGCTGTAAAAAAATGGAATCGGTTGCAGCGTTGACAAGTTATAATTAATAAATCCATTTTTACCACTATTTTATTCAAATTTTGAAAATATTTTTGGCATATGATAATAGCAAGGTCTCACGTATACATATCCAGTAATTTTGCGACATGTTCTTCAACAGGGTGCTCAATTTTGCATTTAGAATTTTGCAAAATTCAGATGACATTCATTATAATGTTTCAAATGGAACACCCTGTATTTTCATTCAAAAATTCATTCCGACATCTTTCGCCACAGTGCTTGTCGTAGTGTCCGTACTCTGATATACAAAAAACGTCAAGACTGCAGTGTCAAGTACATTCAGGAACTCTGATTTATCCGAACAGGACCCTCGAACAGGACTACGAGAAGGCGTGGGCGCCGCGCAAAGACGTCGAAATGGCGCCCGTGGCAGAGAGCATGCGCGACGAGCTGGAGGCGGCCGCCGACGAGCTGCGGCGGAAGCAGAAGAAGGAGCTGGCGAAGCTGAAGCAGCAGAACCTCGACCAGTTCGCCATCAAGGGCAGCGAGCAGGAGTGGGACAAAGTGCTGACGGGGAAGAGCAAGAAGAGCATCATCACTGTGAAGAGGTGGGTGGCAATATTTCTACTATAGACCATTTTACGCTGAGCGCTGCTTTTGACATATTTCATATCATTTGGTTTTTCTGTATTTTTAGCATTTATGATTCTGTCATCTCACAAAATGCCAAAGTTTTGTGGTTTTGTCACGTTCAGTCATCTCTATGAAATGTCAGTTCAAATTCTAATTTGAAATTTCGAATTTTGTGTAGAATCTTTTTTTATGTTCTGGTTCCCACGAAAAGGGATATCCTGTAATGTTCAGAGAACATCGTGAGAACCAAGGGAAATAAGGTAGGAATTGGTGTTCTTCACAAATTTCTGGAGGTTATATGCCTCGGGGAACACCTCCATTGGCAATGTGTGTCACAGCCTCGTTGTTCATTGGATGAACGAATCTTTGGAAAGAGATGTTCTGCAGGTCTCCAAAGTGACGGTAAAAGTGCACTTATCATGCGATGGGTTTTTTTTCGAAAATTTTTTTTGGTACTTACGTATTTTCGTCTGAAAAACACGAATTTCATAATGAAAATGTGAACAAACCACTATTTATCGAGATATTTCACTATAAAGTTACAAATTGCACCATCTTTTCCGCCTGTCTTCTGGATCACATTTAGAACAATTTGCCCTTCTTTTTCCATCATTGGACAATTTATATATATCACACAATGTTGGACACATTTTTTTATTATATGTGTCACCTACAAATATGATTTTCTTGTGATTTATCCATGTTTAGTGAAAAGAAGGAAGAATATTTGAAATAATGGCGTGTGTAATGTCATTCCAAAGCAATCTATTGACATTTGACATCTCGTATTTGGATTGCATATGGATTTAATGGGCGTCATCTGGTATGCTTGCTCACTAAATAGGAAAAACTCGCCATAAAAATCATATTTCCTGTTGAATTTTCTATCTTAAAATGTGTCAGTGAAGTACATCATGAGTATATAAAGTGTCCAATGACAAAATAATAAGAGCAAGTACCTGTAAATGCATCCAACACAAGGGGGAAAAGAAGGCAAAATTTCGAACTTTTTCTTGAAATATCTGGATAAATAGTGGTTTGTTCACATTTTCATTATGAAATTCGTGTTTTTCAGACGAAAATACGTAAGTACCAAAAAAATTTTTCGAAAAAAAACCCCATCGCATGATAAGTGACCACCAAGGGGTGCGAAGCCTCAACTGGACCGATTAATCTCGCGCGGACCGCCAAGGAAGGAACAATTGTGTCTATGAAAATATCTATAAAAAAGAGACAGTTTGCCAACTTTTCTATGGTGTTTCAGAGAAGTGAGTGAGTTTGTGAGTGAGGCATAACCCACGAGACGAATTGCTTTTTTTTGGACACAATCCAACAGTTTCAGGGTATGTTTGGGTGCTGCACTCCAAATATGGGAACACTATCCCTGAACAGGTCGGATCTGAAAACCATTTTGGGATGCACTTTTAGCAATTGATCTCACGTGATTTTCCTAAGAAAGGTTATTGCTGATAGTAATGCCAAGCATCAAAATGGATGTCATCAAAGGTATGATTACTCCTGACAAGCTTATGTTGGGCAGAGTGAGATCGACTTTTCTAGAAAAAAGGCATGCTTGTGTTTTGTTTGCATTGAAATCTACCAAGTTATTGGATCCCCAGAGGGATTGGATAAAAAGTATTGGGGAATCTGGAGAGGGTTTGAATGAGCCGTACGAACACCAAAAAAATGGTATTCCCTCTGGTACAAACGCCTATAGATGGTTGAAAATTGTGATGGGTTCACCAAATCGTATTTACCTGGAAAACAATATCTGAAAAGTAGATAAGTTCAAAATTTGCCTGCTGATATAATCATATTACTACACATTCTTGATCATTTTGATTATCTGCAAACATTTTTTATTGATTCCTCTTTTTGGTATGCGACAAAATCCTATATTTTGAAACTGATATGATAAAATGCAATTGACTTACCTTTTTTACTATTTTTAGTTAATCCAAGATTGACGAATGAATTCAAGTTTTTGAAAGAGGTAATAACAGTGGGAAATCTGGTCGTCTAATTCATTCATTTCTGTTTTTCATACAGTGGGGAGAAAAGGCTTCATGAGGATGACACTAATGTAGTGACCGAAGATCCAGAGCCAACAACGAAAAAGAAAAAGAACCAGAAGAAAAAGAATAAGAGAAATAGTTTGTAGACTTGTAAGTTTTTTATAAAAAATATATAGACAAATGTTTCAATGGTACTTTATTTTGATTCATACACATCAGTTCATCAGATCGTTTTTTCCAATAATGTAGTAATATATTACTAAAATAATTGCACAATAAAATAAGCGCCAAAGAAAAAAAAACTAGATGGCTGATATTATTATTCAACACCTGGAATACTTTTGTAAAAGAATCAATGTCTGGTTCTGCTGAATTTTTGGTTACCATTCGTAGGCCAAATCCAAAAAAAGTGCGATGCTCCAAGACCCCTTTTGGCATATTCAAATTCGATAAGTATGTTTGCCATTATTATTACGCTCAATGAGAAGCAAATGAGAGCACAGAAACTGTATATTTCGTGTATCGTTCCATCGTCTGTCCACTTGGTGTACTTCTCTTTCAATTTATTTCTTGCATTGTGGAATTTGAGTTGCAGTCTTTCCCTATGAAATAACATATTTGTTATGATTTCACAAAAATCTACGATCAGAGCTAATACAAAGTCATGTTATAATGATATTAAAAATGTATGCACTAGCGACCGGTAAAGTGAACATTATCGCCCGGTTGTGCGGGCATGAATCAATCATTAAGACCCTCGGACTGTAAAATACCTACTTCACTGCCTGCTGTACTCAAATTGCTTATCGAGAATCAACCGATTCAGTTCAATAAAACATTAAATGGACGGTGGATATGAAAGGTGTCCCATGATTGATAGGATTCGCGGGAATCAATGTTACCAGGTGGCGCTCGGTTTTCATCGTTCCATGTCAAAGCCACGTCAAAACTGGGGGAAAACAAACTCAATCCTTACTCAATCCAATTAGTGCCATTAGCTTGTGTACTGATAAGAGTGATACGTTTTTACATTTCTTGACATTAATTGTCAATATTTGATCGAAAACGCCTATTGTAGATGTTCTTTTGGCAGATATTTTGCTCTATTTAGATGGAAAAAGCCGACCAGTAGGAAGGAGAAGCAGTTCTCCGTGCTAATCATGCGATTTTGTTTGAGGCAGAAGACTTCAACAAAACGCACATTTTTGCACTTTGTCTGCAAACTTCGGGGATGAAATCTTTCCCACATGAAGTAAAATTGAAGTTGGGGTCCAGAGGAACTCCTGTAGAACAATGGATTTGTATTTGTTCCTGCAAAGCAGGACAACCTGGGTATTAATTGTTAGCTGTTCTTTTATATGTAAATTTATTTGCTCGTCATAATTAGTTTGAATTGTTTGAACTATCTCTCCAATTCTTCACCCATTCACTGTTCACTAAGCTGATAAAAATGTAATAATGTAAAAAATTTAACCAACTCAACCATCATCACTACCAACAGTGCCAACACTTTATGTCATTGACAAGTTTGACTACAGCTACAGCAAGCTGAATGCATAGTCTATGCACTTTATCCATAGACAACAGTTTGTTTTCCCCCAGTTTGAAGTTCGTATTATGTAACCTAAATGTCGCCCACTTCGTGAATCTCGCGAATACAGTGAGACCGCACATATTACTTGGGTTATAATTTTGTGATTTGACTACACCTACCGCAGTTGGAAATTGAATAATAATTGAGATACAGGGTCTACAAGTGAATATTTGATTTTATAGTTTCGCAAATCTTTGGATGATGGATATATACATAAGAACAATTGGATTGTGAAATGGTACCTGGAGACAAAACGGTAATACTGCATTTATCATGCAATGGTTTTTTTCGAAATTTTTTTTTTGGGACTTACGTATTTTTGTCTGAAAAACACGAATTTGATAATGAAAATGTGAACAAACCACTATTAATCAAGATATTTCAAGAAAAAGTTCGAAGTTTCGCCTTCTTTCTCCCCTTGCGTTGGGGGCATTTAAAGCTACTTGCTCTTCTTATTTTGTCATTGGACACTTAATATACTTATGATGTACTTCGATGACACATTTTTAAACAGAAAATTCAACAGGAAATATTATTTTTATGGCGAGTTTTTCATATTTAGTGAACAAGCATTCCAGATGACGGCCATTTAATCAATAGTCAATCAAAATACGAGATGTAAAAATGTCAATAGATTGCCTTGGAATGACATTACACACGCCATTATTCTAAAATATATTCTTCCTTCTTTTCACTAAATATGTATAGATCTCAAGAAAATCATATTTATAGTTGAATCATATAATAAAAAAAATGTGACACACATTGTGATTTATATAAATTGTCCATGTCCACGTCCATGAAAAAAGAAGGAAAAATTTTTCTAAATGCCATCCACAAGATAGGCGAAAAAGAAGGTGAAATTTGTAAATTAATAGTCAAATATCTTAATAAATAATGGTTTGTTCACATTTTATTATCAAATTCGTGGTTTTCAGACAAAAATACGTAGGTACCAAAGAAAATTTTCAAAAATGCAGTTTTACCGACAAGACATGTCCACAAATTGGATGCAACAGAAGAGTAAATACTGACACTTGAATTTGCTATGAAAACGAAATTGTATTATGAAATTCTTATTGATGATTACCTATCGGAGTTTTTTCGGGAGATTTATAAATTATTATCAATAACGAATTTTTCTTCCAGCCAAAATTACACCATACCAATCGACGAATTTCGACAATATGCTTCCTTCTTCTGGTATTCCTGCCCCATTAGAATTAGTTAAAAACATAGCTATATTAACTCATATTCAACTTCTACGTTATAGTTTACGGCCCCAAGAAATAACTACTAATAAAATTCAAGATAGTAGAAATACATAAAAAGTTATGATTATGAACTTAGTTTTTGTCGAACTTCCTCCATATTGACTTGGGGTAGCAAGGAGGGTAAGGTAGATTTCTTACCTAAATGATAATTTTGTTAAATCTATAGTTTGTTGAAATTCTTCATGATCTGGAAGATCAGAAGTGGGCGGTGATTTCATATCATTCTCTAACTCAATTTCTGGAGTTCGCTCAAATTCGTTCATTGGCTCTAATGAACCTTCTTTTATTTCAACTAGATCGCCTCCCAACCTAAAAAATTAACACATGGAAAAAATAAAACTACTCATAAAATGGAAAAACAAGATAGACTATACAGGGTCATTTACATTCACAATGATATCACAAGAACAGTTATGTTCTGTGCATACCGCATAGGGTTAGTATACTTCAGATAATTATTCTCGAAAATTAACCCATTAGCGCCGGAATTATTTTTTCCTTTTTTTCTATTTTATGGCCATTATATAACTAGTGTGAAATGCTTTCGAAAGACGAGAAAAGTTTGAAGAATCATAAAGGGAATTCAGGTTTTCCAAATATCTGCTGTTGCCATATGGCAACACTAGGCGCTTGTGATACATGTTTTGGAATATCAACACAAATACCTCCATCACCTTTTGGACACAGTCTTTGTCAAAATCCAGCTATTTTGCATGGCTACGTCTCATATACCCAAGTGATTAGGGGCCAGTACGAATCCCTATATGCGGTAATAAATAATATGTTGATCCATCTGATCAGTTTTGCCCATAAACAAATAGTACCACTTGATTACTTTAAAAAACAACGCGTACCACCTGGTTTCTTCTGACAAGTGCTGAATAACTTCGTCGTTTCCCGCTCAGTCATCCAATTATTTGACCCATCACAAAATGGAATGGAAGAATTATCAGAATTCCGAAGAGAAGATGGGTCGGCCAATGGTTCAAGATCCATTGGCTCGGCCGGAGAGTCACCACATTCGCTGAGTATAAGCGCCTAGCGTTGCCAGATGGCAACACGAATATTTGATGCAAATATTACACACAAAAAACATTCCTGCACTTTTTTTTTCAATATGTCACATACAGTGTGACCCATTCAAGATGGAAGCACCCTTATAAAACTTACATTTTTCAACCGATTGGAATGATTTTTTTTTGTTAAGTAGATATTCAAAAAGTCTATTAGGACACCAAATATCATGAATAAATCTCCATTTCCAGGGCCAACTAATCTGATTTTTCAAGGTAAAAAATCTAAAAAAATTACTAGCGATTTTTTTAGAAAAAATCTGACTACACCACTGGATTTGTGACATTTTCAAATGGGTAACATGTAAATTACGTTGAAATGCGTCAATCAATAAAAAAGTTATAAAGGAATGAAATTTGAAAAATATGCCTTTTAATCAACCCACCAATTCATATGTTCAGGAATTTTATGAAAATTCTGTATACTCCACTGGATTCAGGATGTCTTGAAATATTACTGATCACAGTTTCATCGAAATCTGTTCAGTAATAAAAATTGATGGGTTGATTAAACGGCATATTTTTCAAATTTCATTCCTTTATAACTTTTTTATTGATTGACGCATTTCAACGTAATTTACATGTTACCCATTTGAAAATGTCACAAATCCAGTGGTGTAGTCAGATTTTTTCTAAAAAAATTGCTAGTAATTTTTTTAGATTTTTGACCTTGAAAAATCAGATTAGTTGGCCCTGGAAATGGAGATTTATTCATGATATTTGGTGTCCTAATAGACTTTTTGAATATCTACCTAACAAAAAAAAAAAATCATTCCAATCGGTTGAAAAATGTAAGTTTTATAAGGGTGTTTCCATCTTAAATGGGTCACACTGTATATAACTTGAAGCATGTGCAACATATACTAATGTAAACAAAAATCGCGAAATCAAATGCGTGAAAACAGGATGATACGTACACGAACGTAACGTCCATGTTTTACGTCAGTTCAAATAAACTCAAAGTTTCACAAATTTACGTGGCCGAAACAGCTTACTCACAACGAAGAACTGGCGACATGTGCATAACCTGTTATTTTGCGAATCATGTGGGATGTCTCTCACCATAATAGCTAAAAATGTGAGTGTCAGGGAAATATTTGTATCTCTAGCGTTGCCATATGGCAACGCACGGCGCTAATGGGTAATTTGACTTTGTGGAATGTTCAATTTCTGAAACGAATCCAAATGAGAACCCAATATTGTGAAAACAGTTTTCATATTATTGTGGTATAAATATTTATAACAGTCGATCCACAATACATATATTTTGTACTATCACTCATTGTCAATATGTTAACGAATTTTGTCCAAGAATAAAATTCAATAAAAAAATTAGATGTGTAGGGCAATATCTTGGTAGATTCATAAAATAATTGATTACTTAGTTTTATTAAAAACCACATAAGAGAACATACATAATAAATCGTAAGAAAGAGAATGGCGCGGGGCTCTCCCTAACCTATCTCGCTAACTCTACTTATCCCGCCAACGCCAACTGTCTTGTCCATGTCATTTGTCACGTCTCTCTTCTTCCTTACTTATTCGCAGGCAAGCTACACGGCCTATACACTGAACTGTACCGAACACTACAGATGAAATGAAATGTTCATATGAACTTTTTTAATTAAAATGATGAGATCTATCACCCAGTTCAGTTTGTACCTTAAAACCTGAATCACCCTGTATATATCCATTTTTTTATGTTTATAATATATCTGAGAATATTTATTTTCAAAATATAGGGTGTTCCATTTGAAAATCGAAATTTGATGTCATTTCCAGGAAAACCGGAAATGTGAGAAAGTTCCCTCTAGGGAGCATATCCGATGTTTCAAATTTCAAAAATATAGCTATAGAAACAAAGGAGAAAAGGGGGGGTATACCATGAGTCTGTGTCACTTCGTATATTGGACCAATTTAACTGTCATTTTCATATAGATTAATTCTGATTTAAGTGTTAATCTTCCATTTTATTAGATATTTAGATTTGTTCTATTATGTTTTTCTTGTGTAGCAAATAGAAACGATTTCTTAGGTCCAAATTAACATACAAAAGTATGTTCTGAATTTTGTAGGTACTTACTCTAGTCTATTGGGTCTGGGATTTCGGCCCAAAGTCGGGGACCTGACAGGAAGTTCACTAGTTCTCTTGAGGACTTTCTTGATGTCCGGAGGCAACTGGCTAGTGTCAAGCAGCGGCTGGGAGATCGATGCTATGCTCGCTCGTCGTCTGCATATTATTTTTCGGTTTGGGTTGGCTAGTATAGGTTTTTGCGAAATCAGAATGCCTGGTGGAGATTCCGAAGAATTTTGAAGAACACGCCTGGAAAGTTATAAATGCATTGCCTTGAGAGAAAGTAACTTTAGCATTATTATGTTGTTGGAAAATTTCCAGAGAAACAGTCATTTATACCTATACTTCTTTTTTTTTACAAAAAAAGAGAGAAACGCAAACGTGAAGAATTATTTACTTTGTGTATTGCAGTTGGTTTCTTGCAGAATCTCTTTGCTGTTTTAGCATCTGGACATGGCTCACTATGAGTCCCACGGAATCTGTAAGCCTTTCTTCCTGTTGAACTGATCCAAATTTTTCTGCGGAAATTGATACCAATGAGGTGGCTTTCATGATGATATCAATCTGAAATTTTTTATAGTTCAAGAACATTTTTGCCTCCAGATAGTTTTACGGAGGGACCATAATAAAAATATTGAAAATGCTATGTGGATTATTATTAGGGCGTAAAATTTGAAAAATACAACTAAACCCTGCCATGTGCTATTACTTATACTACTTATTATACACGTCACTCCGATTGGATCATATCCGTAAATATATATAACTTAACATAAAAATATGTGAACAAAATAATTAAAAGCAAAATGTATACAAAGTTAGACAAAAATTATGGATTACAATAACATGGTAAAAGTAGAGGGTGTTTATATTCTAAATTGTTCTAAAATTGTTCAATCCGTCATTCGGTTGCCCCCTTACGAGCAACCGTCGAAAGTCTTGTGCGAGAAAGGAATGACGGGGGCCTTAACTTTTAACGTGTGATCCCAAACACTTTCTTGGGCCATCAGAAAAATTTCTGCAGTCGACGGGAATCGAACCCACGACCGGCAAGCGAATGCGAATTAGAATATAGACACTCTGTCCGCACGGCTACCTGGCCTTCTACTAGATCACTTGACAAAAATTCATCTACCGAGTGAAAACTGTGTTCCAGTAGTAGCACTTTATATTTCCAATGATGAGGATTTTATAAGGACATTATTCAAAATATTGATGGGTGTTCCATTTTGAGAAGATAGGGATTTACTGACGAAAAAACCGGAAGCGACAATTTTCATTTTCAAAAACAGTACTTTCTTGAGTGTACCATGCCTCGCGGTTGCTCAGTATATATCATGTAATTTTTGATTTATTTATCAACACATAATATAAAACAACACAACATGTGGAATTCAAATGTTTATGTATTTTTCAACGAATTCATCAACAGATTGAGAAATTCCTGACTAGTTCGAATATAAATAGGATGAATCAGTTTTCCAGCACCAACCTTCCGGAGAAGGTTATATCATGTCACTGATAGATTAAATAATAAAGTTCATATGAATAAATATCTACGATCTAGATTCTAGAACGTTTCGTATTTGAGATAAACAGGGTGTTTCGTAATATGTGGGACACACTTCAAGGAGTAATAGAGCGTCACAAAAAAAAAGAATAAAGTTCCCATACACATAGGTCATTGAAGACTTCGTTTGCGAGATACAGGTTGTTAAAGTTGGAAATGAAAAATAATTATCATTGAACCGTTCAACAAAAATTATTGATATTCTGTTGAATTTATTGAATCAGCAGCAAATTATTCAGTCGATCTGACTGCCAGTGGCACTGTTAAGGGGTATTGATGTGTGATTTGCAGGAAAAACATGGGTGGCGTAGAACTTCGAAATTTTATTCGAAAATATGAATATATACTGTGTTCGAGAAAGATCGAATATCCAAATTTATCTGCAAAATTTGATGTAGCTGTCGGGTAGTCTATTCAATGCATCTGTTCTGATCACTCTATAACCATGATAGATATTATTTTGGAATTGCGGCACCATTGTCTGCTAAATATGGAGAAAAAAATCTAGTGAGCTGTAACTACTGGTCTGCTCTATAGCTCAGTTGAGTGTATGACCACCAGAGGATGTTACCGTATCGGACGAAATGATCTTCACTTTTTTCTAGAGTTTTCGAAATTTGTGGTATGTAAGTTGTCAGTGTCAAGAGATGTCGTGCCATCGTGACTTGTATTGTAAAATCTTTCTTATTCAATTCCTCATTGTTCTGATATTCCTTTTGTTTATAGATATAGTTTTGTGTAGTGCTCCCAGTATTAAAGTAGTTTATTCTGATTGATAATTTGTTACAAACTATGTCTCTCAATTGTTTCTACCAGAAAGTGTGAAACCGTCTCTACTAAAATGTATTTCCAAGTGATATTTCTTTGCGACATGAGTGGATACATTCGATATTGAGTGTAACAGGCTCATTACAAGTAAGATAATCAGAGCCCTGATCAAAAGCTAATAATGGATACTACTGATTCTACCTTTCATTTAATTTAGGTGTTGAACATTACGAAATTGGGGACTATTGTAGTGTCTGTAGCAACCATTTTGAGAAGGAATGTCTTTTTAATTTTCGAGTTACTGAGTGACTATGTCGTGATACTGAACTCAAAGTCACTGAACATACTGCGCAGCCGAGCCTGCCGAGAGCATCGCTGAGGGAGCTGCTCAACTCGTTTACGATTTTCAAGGTTATGTAGGTTTGACAGGAAAACAATTGAAATAAGTGTTTCCTCTAGTTGACCGTATGGCGGCACTACTGTATCGGCCACAGAAACCTGTAGGTGATTTTCCTTGCTTGAGCAGACCAGATACTACATCTCACTAGATTTTTTCTCTCCATATTCAGCAGACAATGTGCGGCACTATGCCAGTTACATAACAGACTCAATTTTGTCACCACGATAAGCCAAATAGAGTGGACATAAAAAAATCTATAAATATTGGCAACTTTTACCCCTGCACCTAACGCAAACGAGGCCTTATTTTATCACATTTATTGTTTGTGGGAACTCTTTTCATTTTCTTGAGTCGCCCTTTCACCTCTCCAAGTACAGGGTGATTCACCATAAATGTCCCCCCCTCTAGCTCTGTTATTTTTAAACCGATTTCAAAATTTGAAATATCATCTTGAATGATTTTCGATAAAGTTTTTTTCCGCTACATCAGAAAATGCAGGGTGCTCGGAACAAACGATCTACAGGGTACTATATGCTTTTTTTATATGGAACACCATATTTTTCATTGTATTTTTAGATTCTCCCTGAAGAGCTGATTTGGTCAATGCATCACACTTGGAGTCTAGCGGGAATGATTACAGAGATATAGGGTGTTCTAAATCGAGATTTTTCAACTTTAGGATTTTTTTGAGACGGAAACTATTCATCGGTCAAAACGGCTTCCATGTCCATATCTTAACTTTTGATTTACTATCTACTGACATTTGATAATTGGAACAGATACAGGGTGATCAGAATTCTGAATCTTGAACCATACCCTGTGAATGTTCCAATTGAATGTCAGTAGACAGTGAATCAAAAGTTAAGATGGAAACATGGAAGCCGTTTCAACCAATAATGAATAGTTTCGAGACAAAAAATCCTAAACTTGAAAAATCTCGATTTTGAACACCCTATATCTCTGTAATCATTCCCGCTAGACCCCAAGTGTGATGCATTGATGAAATCAGCTCTTCAGGAAGAATCTAAAAATACAATGAAATACAAGGTGTTCCATTTGAAAAAATCAAGTAGTACTCTGTAGATCATTTTGTTCCGAGCACCCTGTATTTTCTGATGCAACGGCAAAAAAAATTCTGAAAAATCATTTTAGATTATTTTTCAAATTTTTAAATCGGTTCAAAAATAAGTGAGCTAGAGGGTAGGACATTTATGGTGAATCACCCTGTACGTACCGCATATTACATAACACCCTGTATAAGGGGTTTGAGAATGAAACAATAATTTTTCAATCTCTTAATTACCATTGAGGACCGCTCAACAAATATGTTAAGTATAAGCTCAGACGAATAAAATAAGTAATTTCAATGAAAAACTGACAGCTGTCGATTTATTTTTTACACAAAAAAAGATTATATCGTAAAATGTGGAATGGTGTTAGTTATTGAAATTCTACCAGAATCTATGTATATTTTCAACTTCAACAAAACGAAGTGTCCTAGGACATGTTTCTAAACTTGTATTATTAGCATAAATGATCTATAGAATCTGAACTACCCTCTGTATATTACCTGGGACATTAGACTGGACAACAGTTCGGCTTTTTCGTAATCAATGCATAAAGGTTGCATCAGGGCAAGTTTTTCCTTGAATTTTACCATTTCTTTTGACAAATTCGCCTCAGTTTGATCTCTACTTCTCCTTTGTCTTTCGCATCTGTCTTTTATAGTTGTTGCGTCTATAGTAAAAGCTAGAGCCAAACTGGTGAATTTTTGTTCTAGTTCTTCCTCACTCAAGTGCTCTCTAAAGTAAAATCATATCAACTAGAGATAAGTGAATCAGATTGTACCAATGAAAATGATTACAGGCTAGATATTTCGGAAAAGTTTCTAGATGTATTGGAATATACAGTGTGACCAAGAAAAGGTTTGCACAACATGGAGATTTCGGAAACGGAAGGTTAAATGGGAAAAGAGTTGTGCATTCAGAGGGTCATCCCAACGGCCTTCAACAATTTTCAAAATCGGTTTTAGTTTTTCAGTTATATCGAAAAAGAATTATTTTTGGAATATCAACTTCTTTTTTTACGTTATTATTAGAGATACGGAAAAACAGAATACTTTTCCATAATAACTTTTGATGAGATTTAACATGGTGATATTGGTTTCTCTAAGCGACGTTTCGTATTCGTTGAACCATCTTCAACTTTTTTTTTCAAATACGGTCCTGATTATGTGTTCAGATTCTGAAAGCTTTTCTTATTCTGGATACCGGCAGGTTTGAATGTGTTTCTACATATTTTCAGCCATTATCAATGTTTTTTCGAAATCCCATAGAGGAAATTCCTCCAGTTTCACTTATTTCTGATCATTCGATGTATGTAGTTATTTAATACTGAAAAGTACATAAAAACAATATTTCACTAAATTATTCATTGCAGCGTTTCGAAGAATTGTTTCATGTTAATGTATTCTTAGACGAATTACCTTGAACATAATCTTTGACAACACGAACAGTAATTGAAAAAAATAACATTCATAATAAATCTTCAAAATTATGAGCATAATCTTCTTCCTACAGTTGCTTCTAAGACATTTGTAAGCATTGCTGGAGTAATAGTATTGAATGATTCGATGACAATATCCCTTAGTTCTTCATCGTTTTCAAAATTATTTGCGTAAACAAAGATTTTAACGTATCCCCAATGAAAAAAAAATCCAGCGGTGTCCAATCAGGCGATCACGCTGGCCAAGGGACAGTAGAATAAGTTTAGTTCAAGGTATTTCGTGTAAGAATCCATTAACATTAAACGATTTGAAGAGCTACATTTAATGATTTATTCTTGGAAATATTAGTGGGATGCAGTCTGGACCAATGAATTAATTAGATTTCTTCGTTATTTGTCGAGCTTTCGAAAATTTTTATTTTCTTTATCAAGACTAACTGAAAACATCGAATGGAACAATAATATTAGAATATAAATGTACATCAAATGAAATTGGTATACTTACAAACATGAAATTCTATATAAAATTAGCACAAAAAGGAAACATAGGTGTATAAATAAAAATGAAATGATTTGACAAAAAAATGTCATTTTTATTTATACACCTATGTTTCCTTTTTGTGCTAATTTTATATAGAATTTCATGTTTGTAAGTATACCAATTTCATTTGATGTACATTTATATTCTAATATTATTGTTCCATTCGATGTTTTCAGTTAGTCTTGATAAAGAAAATAAAAATTTTCGAAAGCTCGACAAATTACGAAGAAATCTAATTAATTCATTGGCCCAGACTGCATCCCACTAATATTTCCAAGAATATTATTATAGAACAGTCACGAAAGCTTCCCCTTGTTTAATGATTTATGAATTTTTTTTAAAATTTTTTTTTAGTCCATCAATGTTTGACACTGAATTATCAGAAATACGTGGAACTGATGGTATTTCCTCTTTGAAATACATGGTTGAATTTAGAATATAAAAAGTTATCAGAGTCTGGTGAACACATAATCAGGTATTTGAAAATAGTTGACGAATACGAAACGTCGCGTAGAGAAATCAATATTACCACCAAGTACTAAGTATTTTTAGTTTTTCTGGATGTCTGATAATAACGTAGATTGTAGAAAAAGAATAAAATGGATTTTCAAAAAAAAAACAATTTTTAAATATAACTGGAAACTATAAACAATTTTTAAAATTTTCGAAGGCTGTTGGTATCTCCTAACGTTTCCAAGATTCCCATGCTATGCAATCTTATCTTGATCACAGAAATCCCCCTCCTATTTTTATTTCGGTTATTACACAGGAAAAATCGAGATAAAATAATTTCGATTGAACAAATCGAAGTGTCATAAATGCATTACAAAATGTATTATCTTGAAATGAGTGAAACTGAATTTTGTTTGAGTGCAAATTGGGAGTTTGAATCAAATGAATATTCATTTCATGAATACAACAATGAATCAAAGACATCCATGAATTGACCATAAAAGAAGTAGTTTGGTTCAGAATGACACGATATTGATTCAATGAAATATTTTATTGATTTGAAGGGATATTTCGTTTATTTAATGTAATATTTCATTAATACAATTTAACATTCAATTGGTTCAAGAAAAACTGTAATTGAACATTACAAATAGTTTCGTCTCATCGAATTCACTAGAAGAAGTTACTTCTATGGAATAATTATGAATATCTGGTTATTTCATTCAACATTTGCTCTATTCAACAAATGTGAATCCAATAAAATTTGATGAATTTAATTGGAAAATATGAGTTACCTGCTAGCGAATTCTAGTTATCCATAACTAACATTTGAACTCTCTTGAAAACGATTGACATAGTCAATTTATCTCCGGAAAATTTTACATGAAAGTTTCCATTGGTAGACCATACACCTTATATTTTTCAAGGGCCACAAAACAAATATGATATGTTACCTTAGACCATCCCCTCTAAGTCCTAGTTTTTCTAATACTGAGTTTGATAATCTTGAGAAAACTTCCACTGAATCTTCGTTTTCTTTCATTTTTATATCTCCATCTGACATAGATCGTCCTCTTTTACATTGTGATTGCTGAAAAATCATGGAAACAGAAATAGTATATTACACACCCAGGTGGAAAGAGATTCATTCCTGTCGTGAGATTACTACTTCTAGTTAACCGAGACGTAAAGCATCGATGTTAGCTATGATCTCAAGACAGGAATGAAACTTCATACCGAAGTTTTTTACAACCATCATATTTTGATCAACATTAAAAAAATCTCTGTTTTGTTCTGAGCATACCTGAAATATAACATATTAAGTAAGTAATGACAACATTACATATATTTATTTATTTATTATTATCCATACAGATTTGACAACCTAGTTACATGGATAATTAATATAAAAATAACATATCTCGAAACATAGATCGATAGTAATGATGCCTATACCTACATTGAACATATAGGTATCAAAAATGAGATTTTAGTATATATGAACCGGGAGTACAATAATTGAATCAAAGATTGATCAGCTTCGAGATTTATAATTTCTATATAATAATTAATAGATTGATAAATAAATTGATGAATGGGGCTACCCCAAATTGATAAAGCTAGAATGTGCTTCAATATTGCAGTTCTATAGGTTTTTTCTGAGTTAGTCAAATCGATATTTATAAAGACATTATATTCGTTTACCAGCCAAAACATGGATACAAGAGGAGATCTGGCGGAGGCTGCTGTGGTTATTACCACTGGAATGTTAAACATTACAGATGATCGGGTTCTTCTAGGAGGAACATTGAATCGTAGTAATGACAGGATTCCTGGAGAGTTGATTTTATTATTGATAATTTTATGCAAGAAGATTAGAAGACACAAATTTCGGCGATTCTCTAGCGATAGAACTTTAAACTCGTTTCGCAGATGTGAGGATCTGACTAAACGATAGTTGGGGTAAATATGATATTTTTTAAAGTATAGGAAACGCAAAAATTCATTTTGAATCTTCTCCAATTGACCTAACGCTGCTTGACATTCGCCGAACCAAACCAAGGAGCCGAATTCTAATTTACTTCTAATTAAACTGTAGGTGATATAAAAGTTTGAGCGTATTCAAATTTTTGAAGTTTTGTGCTTGTCTGATTATAAATCCTAATAGCCGTCCAGCCGATTTAATTAGATTCTTAATATACCTGTTGAATGAGAAAAAGTGGTCATAGACTACACCATCAAGATCTTTAACTTATGTGGATCTTGTCAAAATGGGTCCTTTTGACGAGTTATGGTCAAAACGCAGCATTTTTTAACGCTAAAGTTCAACTTGTTTATCCTACACCACTCTTTAAGGGGGCTGTGAATGAAAAATGATTATTTTAAAGAATAGTTCTACTTATAGTGGGTATTGATTATCGATAAAGAAAGTCAAAATCGTAGGAAATGAGATCTATGCTCATCATTATCAAATTACTAGAAATATAAATCTATTGGAAACAATGTGTTGTACTGTACTGTCCTGCAAAGAATTCCTAAGCTTGGAAGTGCTATAAACAAACGAGTTTTGATAAAGAGTTGTTCCACAGAAGGATATATGTGCTGACTGGGCTGTTAGAGTTAGTCTGACTGATATTGCTATAGTGATGGAATGATTTCAGGAAAAGATTTTCCGTGGAAGTATCGATAGAATAGAGAAAGGTCAGGGACATTCCTACGGTGATCCAAAGATGTCAAGTTATGAGTGAGTGTGGCATCATCAACCAGATGAATGTCTCTTCTCTGGATGGAATCTTATATATAGGGGTCGGATCTTTGCTTTATGGTAGATCATAAGAAGCTGTTGAGGTGTTGATATAATATCATTCATTTTTGTTACTCCGAAAAACAATATTTTTGTTATACTCATTCAAAATATATAAGCATTCCGTGTATATCTTGGCGCTACGATAAAATCAAGCCACATTTTTTAATGTGAAAATATCGATTGTTTGGAATAAACACGTTCAATCTGCCATGCATCAAAGTTTGAAAGTAAACTGTTTAGTGAACGAAATGTTTTGAATACCTATACATATAATACTTCAGAAGATCTATTTCGAGAGATGGAAAATTGGTGCCATTATTAGATATATTGGTAATATTTCTACAAAACATATTTCTTGAAATTTAGTTTCAATTAATTCGACGATTTTTTGTACACTGTATCCATAATAGTAATTAACGTAACAAGTCCGGAAAAAACTTGTTGTCGGATGTGTTGGCTACATATTCTTTCTTCGGCAACCGTGTAGAAAATAAAAAATCGATAAGACACATTTCTTCATTATATTTCTTTGTAGAACGAAATTTCTAACAATTTAATTCTTATTTGTATTTAATATAATTGTGCTGTAGCAGCAACTGCTGCATTGGGAATTTCGTAAGGCCGTTTTCATATACCTAGTTTATTGCAATAATTGCGACCGAAAACCATCCAAACTTTCAAAATCAAAATGTCAACTGCATTTATCAAAGTATATCTACCAAGATTTCCATATTTACAATTACTATTTCACTCGTCACATCTGACCAATCACAAGCCAGAGACAACTTGTGTTATCGCGAAAACGAAAACACTAGTTGTCTTTCAATTCTGATTGGTCCTTCAGCGTTGGTGTTTTCGACGGTGTAACCATGAATAGCGAAGCAGTCTGTCAATTTGGCATAAAATAAATGCTCTTTATGCTTCGTGAACGTGGAATAGTCTAGCAAAATACCACTTTGTTCTGAATATTTTCTCATATATATATAACTTTTATCTTTAACTCAATTGTAGGTACTTCGCGGACGGTTGCCGAAAAATAAGGTAACTTCCTCCCCCCTTGTTAACTTTCGAACGGCTGGAATCTTTCCTATTTTCTCTCTTGCTCTTGGTAGTTTCGAGTGCTTACATTTTTATTTCAATAGAAAATGCACATTTTAAACGTCTTGCAATTCTCTGTAGGTACACCAGAATTCCGGACGGAAATATTCATCCAAAACAAAATTACTGATGCTATTGTTTGAAATGTCATACCAGAACATAAAAAAGAAGGAATCTTTCGGACTAGATGACTATAATAACGTGCTCTCGTCTAATCTTCCAATCTCTTTTGGCATCTAGCAAAAAGTTTGAAAGGGAGCCATCTTGGAGATGTTCCACAAACATAATGAAGATCCCTTTTTGTGCGCTCTGTGGGACATCTGAAATGTCCGCTCAAAGTCATGAGATTAAAACTCCCCAAAAAATTAACTGACTTTAAAATTCGGTTTTCAGATTTCAGAAGCTCTTGAGACTCATATTGAATCAAAATACAAGAAAGAAGATGAATTAATATTTTACAGGATGATGTGGTATACACTGTAAAATATAAATTGATTTTGGAGTGTTCCCATCACCTCCAAGAATTTTTTTATTATTTTGTTTATAATCTATCAGCGTAGAGTTTGATGTAATATCTCAAATTGTTTTCTTTATTTTCATCGATTGATTAAAAATTAACACTGTTTCGGTACTATGATTTTTTTTATGAAAATGTGACAAAATAGTGTGTATTCTTTTTAACAATCTTCAAAAGATTCTCACAGTAATGTGCCCCATAACCTATAAGGAATTTTAACCACTTGAGACTCATTTACTCATCAATCGGTGAATTCCAGAGTTCGATTCAGGCTGTCAAACCAGTTTCGCAATATTATCTTTGAAGAGAGCATCTGAAATTGAAAGATAATATTTTCGAGGCGAGAAAGATTACCAGGATAATTTCATAATCGTAAATATCGTCAATATGATTTTATGGTACCTTGTGAGCCGGAAATAGAACTTATGATATAATCAATAAGTCAGTTGGAGCTTTTTATGACAATATAGTTTATTCATAAAATCATCAATATGTTTATGAGTATACATATATGACCTAGAATCCCGCTATATTAAATAGAAATATTGAAAAATTCAGCATTCATTTTTTATTCAATGTCGATATTTAAAATTCTGAACTAAAATAATTAGTCTCTATATTTATTGACTCTACTCATGTCGATTAATCTCTGTTAAATGAATCAGTTTTTTTATTTAGATACTGCTGATCAATTTTATGTGATTACTTTATCAAAACTTCGCATTTTTTGAATTAGGTAGGTACCTCTCTTTCTTTGAGCTCATTGAAAATTTGTCCGATTTGATTTCTAATCTCGTTTTCAGGTTGAAATTCCATAATTATTATTATTTATCCAAAACGGAAAATGTTATCGCAACACTGTCCACATTATTGCTATAAAAATATTGGAAATGCTTGATTGACGATAATGAAAATCATTATAATTATTTAAATAAGTAATTATTCGATCAAAACCTATGTAATTTATATGAACCCACCACTTACTATAATTATGTACCTGGTTAATACGAATGTATTACCTATGATATATACCTATTATACTAATTTGTATTGATATAAATTACTGTTTGTTTCATTTTCAATAAGGTTCATTACAAAAATAATTGAATAATAATAGTTGAGGATTGCCAGTGCTCGTTTACATTATTTCGCAAGACCTGTATTTGTTTCTATGTTGTATAGGTAATTATTGTTATACATACAGGGAGTTCCCAACACAAAATTCAAAAATCAATTATAAGATGGGCCACTGAGTTTTTTTACATCGAGAGGTACAGTCGTATTCAATAAAAAAGTGTATAAGTATTAAAAAGAGAGGATTCCGGGAACCTAGTTCTAGTTGTGTGAAACTGGCTCAGCCAGTGCTTTGTATTTTCGAGAACCTATGGCAACTTTACTGTCAACATTTGGTGAACAATCATTCCCGATAGCCCGTTTTATGCAGACTAGGATGACGTTAATTTCTCTCTGTAATATACTTTTGTACGCTTTTTTTTTGAATGCGACTGTGCACCAAACCAGGTAACACATATCATCGAAAATATTCATATTATAATTGGGCAATCAAGATGAATTTTTTCCAAAATGAATCAAAGACTCCCATTCCTCAAACTTAGCTACTTTTTACCGAAAAATGGAATTTCTCTTCAAAATTATTGGAACTCTTTCGTACAAGAATATAGATTATACATACATTTGAAAAACCCTTCAATCACAGACGCTGAGATCACCATGACAGGGTGAGAATTTGATTCTCATTTACAGAAAGTTTCATTGAAGTTTCACGAAACTTTGAGGTCATATTTTTCTGGATCGAAATAATACAATGCCGAGATGGAGGATATTCAAGTTTCAGAAAAAACATACTTTTTTATTGATTTTTAAACATGCTCCAACCAATAGTGACAAAATTCACAGCGTTTGTTGAAATATAATATACGAAATAATTTTTGGACCTATAAAAGTTGATGAAATATTACCAGGAGTGGACCGACCGGGCAAGTCTACAAGTTATTTGCACAAAAAATAACACCCAATAGATTTTTTCTAATGTAATTGGTTTTGATGGAACAATTCAAGATACAATTTTTTGCTCTTGATTCCTTTTAGAGAGAAAAAATAAAATAAAAATCAAACCTATGCATTTCTCTGAGCCCATTCAGAGAAAAAATGTACCTAATGACAGATAGTTTTTTTTTCATGTTCTGGTTCTTACGAAAAGGGATATCCTGTAATGTTCAGAGAACATAGTGAGAACCAAGGGAAATAAGGTGGGAATTGGTGTTCTTCTTAAATTTCTGGAGGTTATATGCCTCGGGAAACACCTCCCTTGGCAATGTGTTCCAAAGCCTCGCTGTTCGTTGGATAAACGAGTCTTTGGAAAGAGATGTTCTGCAGGTCTCCAAAGTGACCACGAAGAGGTGCGAAGCCTCAACTCGACGGGTTAATCTCGCGGGGACTGCCAATGGAGGAACAATTGTTGATATTTCAGAAGAGCATCGTCCATGAAAATATCTATAAAATAGAGCCAGATCGCCAACTTTTCTACGGTGTTCCAAAGAAGTGAGTAAGTTTGTGAGCGAGGCATCACCCACGAGACGAATTTTTTTTTGGACAGAATCCAAATATGGGAACAGTATTCCAGGACAGGTTGGATCTGTGCCTTATATATCATAAGCAGCTGACTGGAAGTGAAATAGGTCCGGGCTCGAAACAGAAAAGCAAGTTTTTGGGATGCACTTTTAGCAATTGATCTCGTGATTTTCCCAAGAAAGGTTATTGCTGATAGACCAAGCATCGAAATGGATGACTTCAAAGGTATGGTAACTCCTGAAAAGCTTATGTTGGGCACAGTGAGACCGGCTTTTCTAGAGAAAATGCATGCTTGTGTTTTGTTTGCATTGAATTCTACCAAGTTATTGGATCCCCATTCGAGTATTGTTGCCAAGTCCATATTTATGTTGTCAACATTTCTCCCTCGTTCGTTTCTGCTTTGCCTGGCTGGTATTGGAGCCCTGGAAGAGAAGCCGGTATGGAGGGTACTATCATCGGCGAAGCTGTGCACTGGACATGAAGTTGCTTCCAACAAATCGTTGATATGGAGTAGTGTTGGTGCTAGAATTGATCCTTGCGGAATACCAGCATTTATGATAAGAGAGTCAGATGAAACTCTGTCGATCACTACATGGAGAGACCTGTTTGAGAAAAAACTAGCTAACAGAGAACTTAGCTAGTGAGGCAAGCCATAAGATGGAAGCTTGGCGAAGAGTCCGTGGTGCCAGACTCGATCGAATGCCTTGGAGATATCAAGTGCCACGGCTAAGGTTTCACCATATTTTTCAATAGATTGCTGGCATATATGTGAGACTTAAGCGAGCAGGTCACCAGTTGATCTCTGATGACGAAAGCCATATTGCCTATCGTTGATAATACCAGAAAGTTCCAGGTATTTCATGAGCTCGACGTTGATAGCTTTCTCCATGATCTTTGAAATAAAAGATAGCAGTGCGATCGGTCTGTAGTTGCTAGGTAGGGTCTTTTTGCCTTTTTTAGGAACTGGTTGTCCCCTTGCAATTTTCCAGTTGGACGAAAATATCCCCAATTTGTAAGAGTAGTTGAACAACTTGCAGAGTACAAGTCCAAGAACTTATATTTCCAAAATTTCAACAACAGTTCTAACACCTACCTCCTCTCTCCATCCTCCCTAGGTACGCACGATGTTCTTCGAACATTATAGGGATTCCCTTTCGTGCGCGCCAAGCGATAAGAAAGAAAAGTTTCATATGTCGGAGCAAAATATTTTTGTGTGTAAGACTATCGGACTCGTTTCCTCGGCGCGCCACTGATGGTAACACTTCATTAACTGTGATAGGTTTAAAATACAGCCAATTGAGACGTCAAAATGTCAACGATAAATGTGAATTTGCTCGAAATCGGTTCAAACCTTTTTCCAAAATTGATAAAAAATCTTTTCTGAATGTGTACGAGAAACAAAAAACAAATTTTGCAAAGTCAAATGGCCGACACTTACAAGTTAGATACTGTACTACCACTATAGTATACTATTGCTTATCGAGCTCGGAATGATAGTGATTTCCCATGAGAATGAAGTTTGCAGCTTGAGCCGTAGGCGAGTTATACACTATTCTTTTTCGACAGCTGCAAGAAATAATAGGGAAATTTCAGATTTCTTCGGCTTGCCATCTGATTTTCTCTGAAGAAATGCTCTATTAGACAGAGCTGTCATTGTTTGAAATTTGACAGTTCATGGGAGATTACATTTATTGCGAAATAATAACACAATGAAGTCATTGTGTTATGAGATGAGAGAATGAAATTGAATAAAACAAGAGCAAATTTGTGTCATAGCCGTTGACAACGGCGTACCCAAGAGGGGGTTTTGGGGTCCGAAACCTCCCCAAGATTCATCCAAAGCGTCGTCTGCGATTGATAGTTATCGTGTTTTTTCATTATACTATTGCTTGAACTGATGACCTGATCCTGAAGATGAGTTTCGTCGGACAGACATTTTTCTGGATATTTTTCGGCCGCCTGTTGAAACGCCACCATTGAAGTATATGAAGTTATTCTACTGACATTATTTTCCTGAAAATGCTTACTTACTTGGTTTTTATGAAAATACAGCTTTACATTTTAGATAAAAATACAGAGAAATGCACAAAAAACGGCAAGAACTGTAACCTTAGAATTATTCGAGATAAAGTTTTGAAAATTGCTGGGCAGCTAGTATATCAAATTGCTCATTAATTGACTAATTTTTGTTTTATAACTTCCGGTTTTACTGGAAACGAGCCCAACTTATGATTTTTGAATGAGACACCCTGTATTGTTTTCCATAATCGGATAGGGATTGTCATAACGAATTCATCGATACCGGGTTTGGTAGAGTTATTTCAAACGATTACGCAGATATTCGCGTTCTAAGTTTTCATATGCTCTATGAGTGAGACAGAGAAAGAAGTTTTGATATTGCGAATTCACACCCATTGAGCATATGGAAGCTTCGAACGCAAATATCTTTGTAATCGTTTGAAATAACCCTATCAAACCAGGTATCGTTGAATTCGTCATGATAATCCCTGACCGATTATGGAATACAATACAAGGTGTCCCAATAAAAAATCAAAAGTTGGGGTCGTTTCCGATGAAACTGGAAGTTATAGAAGAAAAAGTGTTTCATCAATTAATGAGCAATTTGGTATAATTGCTACCCACCAATTTTCGAAACCCTATCTATTATGATTCAAAACTTACAATCCTGGCCGTTTTTTGTGAACTTTCCTGTATATAAAGTACTTGAATAAACCGAAATTAACTGCGGATCTTGTAAAGCAGGGGCGGAGAATGCTTATTGAATTATTGCAGTAATGAAGAAATGCAAGAATATCATTCAAGTCAAGGTAATAAGATAATCCACAAAAGTTGACATAGAACGTTCAGAAAATTATGCGCAGCTGAAAAATATGTATTTTTTGTGTGTTAACTTACCAATAATTTTTCCTCGCCTTTTTTAATAAGTTCCTGCAACGAAGCTTTCCTCTCTAGCTTAGAAGTTTCTTCGCTATTTCCCACATCGGATTGATTACTACTCACATTGGAAATTGACACTTGTGATCCTTTTCTCCTGTTTCTTATCGATACCCCAACACATACATTATTACTCGAATAATCGTTCTTGTTTTCTTCATGAATGTGGTTCGAATCAAAAGCTAGAGATTCTATTTGGTTCATGATTTCGCGGGAAACTATTCAATCTGGATAGACTAGTAATGGTAATGGATGAGAAGGCAAAGTGGGTATGGTGTATCCCAATCGGGTTGCAGCAGTTTTTTCGATGCGTCTCCCACTCTCTAGCATCGCGCATTGTTGATTTTCTAGTCAGTGAGCACATGAAATATGAATAATGAAAGTTATCAAGTATTTTTTCTCGACTAACCAACAATAGTATATCCTATTCGTACAGGGTGTCCCAGAATAACGTTCGTATACTCCGCGAGGTAATTCTACAAATAAAAATAATGAAAAATGTTCCTATCAACATGTATTCGCTAGAGCCCTTCCAAGGTAGGTCATTAATCTCTGGTCATTATACCCAGCCAACCATCGTGTTACATCAACATCTGTGTGATGTAACAACCTTGCATAAATTCAATATCTCGTTAACACATCTTATCGACGTATATTCGATATCAACGTCGCAAGGTGACATCGCAACCAGGAAACTATGTAAGTGGCAGCGACTTCTTCAAACTGCATCTCTTCGACGTTAACTAAATAATTCACATTGATATCCTCATGGGATATCTTTGTGACTCAGACATGCGCAAAACGAACGTACACGCCAGACGCCATGTTGAGCTGTGCATGGCCATGTCAGTCAGTCAGTCAGTCAGTCAGTCAGTCAGTGAGTGAGTGCAATCTGAAACAAGGTGGATGAAAGATCCCAAGATGATGTAAGTGTATTTGATATGTATCATTTATGAATAATGTATATTTGTATTGCTATATACAGGGTGTAACTGAATAAGTGTAAAACATTTAAGGAGATGATTCCTCATCGAAAAAAAGATAGGATCTTTCATATAAAGAAACTTCATTGGAGCATCCCTTGTTAAGATACAGCCCCTTAAAGGGGGTACATAAAATTTGTATAACAATTTTTTTCACAAACACTGAAAAAGTTACAATATTGAAATTAACCTGACGTTTTGTACTACCAAAAAGACACTTAGCCAGTAATTTATTTGGTTTACCCCATGGTTGTAAGGGGTGAAAAACGCAACCCCTAAAATTTATTTCCAATGTAACTTTTTGTCTTATTATTTGTTTACCATTTAAAAATTCATTTCCGATAGCCTGTTTCATTCTAAACAAAAAATGTCTCTTGGATTTTTTGCCCAAAATAAACCAGTAAGCAGCAAAACATTATTTTACGAACAACTACAGAGATACATCGTCATAAATGCGAAAATACGAAACTAATCTATCTAGTAGGTCGCTATTAGCGATAGTGACAATTAAATTGGTATGACGCTGTCAGGTTAATTTCAATATTGTAACTTTTTCAGTGCTTGTGAAAAAAATTGTTATACAAATTTTATGTACCCCCTTTAAGGGGCTGTATCTTAACAAGGGATGCTCCAATGAAGTTTCTTTATATGAAAGATCCTATCTTTTTTTCGATGAGGAATCACCTCCTTAAATGTTTTACACTTATTCAGTTACACCCTGTATATATATATGTGTCAGGTTTTACTTCAAGATTACTAATTAGGGCGATTGTCGTAAAGTTGAATAATAATTATTATTATATATCTCACGAATATCACAGGTACGGCGACCACATCATCGATGTCGCAGTGTGATGTATTTGTAATATGAAATGTACACTTGTATGTGACCTGGTAGTGATTTCTATCATGTGATGTCGCATTTCATGTCTAAACGACGTCACAGTGATGTTGCTTGAGTCGGACATTTCCACATCGCCACGTTGTATCGGTAACATGTTTGTGACTTCAAATGCGATATCGCATGTCACAAAGTGATGTGTCGTATACATCACTTATACATCTCATGGTTGGCTGGGTAAATTTTTTTTATCGCTTGGAGCGCACGAAAGGGAATCCCTATAATGTTCAAAGAACATCGTGCGTTCCTAGGGAGGATAGGGACGGGAGGTAGGTATTGGAATTTTTTTTGAACTTTTGCAGATTTCTTCAATTATCTTTGTCATAATTGATCCTCGAATCACGAAATTTGGTACCTGAGAGTGATTCGATCTTACAAATTGTTTCGTAGTGAGGAAATTATGATTTATTATACAGGAAGGTGCGAAACACGTAACTGATGCCATACAATTGCCTCATTTTTTTTTTGTTTCAACATTCATGACATTTCTAATACCAGAATATGATTCTTCGAACACCCCAACATGAAGAAGGTATTCTTGTAGAATGTAGTAAAAATGACATATACAGTGTGATCATTCAAGTGTGCAACATATGGGAATCTTTTTAATGAATTGCACAACCAAAATTCAGATAGTGCCAGAAGTGATGTGCAACAATTCTCTGGCAGCTATCCCCCACTTTCTATTTTCAAGTGGCACCCCCTGTATATTGTCATTGAAAATTGCGTGTCATCCTATAAGGAATACAACGATAGCATTTACTTGGTATTTTGTTATTATTTTAACAACAAAAACAGCAACATTGAATGTTATGAATTTCAACTAAAATATCTATTGGTCCACTCGAAAAATGAACTAAAAATCACAGCAAGTGTTCAAAATTACTTTGACATGAGAAGTATCGGCTTTTTGAAACAAAAAACTTGAGTGGAGGCAATTTTTTTATATTCATAAGGATAATGAAGTAACTTGAATGAAGTCACAAAATGTTGATATTTTTGTTATAAAAAAATCCAAGTATACGCTATAGTTGTATTCCAAATTGAATGACACGTAATTTCCAATGACAATATACGGGGGTGCTTTTGAAAATAAAAAGTGGAGGGTAGCTGCCAGAGAACTGTCAAATGTAATAGATGTTTTTATATGTTATTAGGAAGGTACCTCAATGCCATTCAATGCAGTTTTTGAATTTTTCAATCATCTTGTCTAATAAGCGAGATATTGACTGTATACGATAACTTGGGACACCCGGTATATCATTTCGTTATCAGATGACTGTCGAAATTTGCAGTCGGCTCTTGGACTATATATTTCGTTTCTGACATTAGAGCACAAAGTCATTAGAGTAACATTGACAGATTAAGTATGAGCACCGAATGTAAATTTTGTGAATGTATTAAAGCCACCCCACAAAAGCGAAGACGATTCAAAGAATGTCCGAACCCCCTGGAAAATTGGGAAAAATGGTTGAGAGACAGGAGAGAGACTCAGGAGATTCTGAAGAGGAAAACAGGGCGGTCTCAAGGTGAACTGCTGATGAATTTGGGCGAAGAGCTGAGGAAGATACAGGAAGAAAAACTGATTTTGACGTACAGTCAAATCAACACGAATTTCGATCGATTTAGAGGAAACCCAGAATTTTGGAAATTACCCGTGGGTCTTGCGAATGAATGCCCGAATGTCCGTGATCCCATTTACTTCACAATAAAGAGCAAAGAAGAGAAGAACGAGATACCACAAGTAGAATATATTGGCATACCCAACAAGATTCTAGATGAAAAAAACGTACTACCTAGGACACGAAATATATACAATAAATGGAAAAATAGTGCTTACAGAAATTCATGCATACAAAAAATATCATCCAAAATAAGGTAATCAAAATATCAATATTCAGACTCTTTATGAAGAATTACATTTTTTTCAAAAATTAATGATTAAAACGATTTCCATATGAATCGATCAAACATAATAAAATCTCATTTTCATTTTGAATAGATGATAATTGAATGTAGTTTTTAAACAATTTGCGATATTGTCGAAAATAAGTGAGGTTCTTTATTCCTGAGCTGAATTAATATTTTGTGACATACGATATGTATACGACTGAAAAAAAAAATGATAGGTAAAAGTTCACTTATCATGCGATGGGGTTTTTTTCGAAAATTTTTTTTGGTACACACGAATTTCATAATGAAAATGTGAACAAACCATTATTTATTAAGATATTTCACTATAAAGTTACAAATTTCACCATCTTTTCCGCTTGTCTTCTGGATCACATTTAGAACAATTTGCCCTTCTTTTTCCATCATTGGACAATTTATATATATCACACAATGTTGGACACATTTTTTTTTATTATATGAGTCAACTAGAAGTATGATTTTCTTGTGATTTATCCATGTTTAGTGAAAAGAAGGAAGAATATCATTTGAAATAATGGCGTGTGTAATTTCATTCCAAAGCAATCTATTGACATTTGACATCTCGTATTTGGATTTTGGATTGCATATGGATTAAATGGCCGTCATCTGGTATGCTTGCTCACTAAATAGGAAAAACTCGCCATAAAAATCATATTTTCTGTTGAATTTTCTATCTTAAAATGTGTCAGTGAAGTACATCATGAGTATATAAAGTGTCCAATGACAAAATAATAAGAGCAAGTACCTGTAAATGCATCCAACACAAGGAGGAAAAGAAGGCAAAATTTCGAACTTTTTCTTGAAATATCTCGATAAATAGTGGTTTGTTCAAATTTTCATTATGAAATTCGTGTTTTTCAAAATTTTCGAAAAAAACCCCATCGCATGATAAGTGCACTTTTACCAAATCAATAATAAAAAAGTTTCCCATCATTATAATAACGTCAAGCTTCTTTTTTTCATGAAAATCTAATATTTTTTCTGTGACGGGAAAAAAGTTTGGCATTTCATCTCTGTTGGCAGGTTATAAAATGTCACTTTTCATAAATTACTTTTTTCCCGTGGGAAAAAAGTGAGTACTTCTTTCCCGGATATATATCACATATATATACTCTGTTAATGGCTTTTGTTGTGCTATAGTTCCGAAAAATAAGTCAATAATACCGTCTCCGAGAAAGAACTGCAAGTCTTTTTATCTTCCATTCGACTTCGTGGTTTCGTATATTACTAAACAACTACTGAATTCGCAATTTTTTAAAATCAAATCACAGAATTGAACTGACAGAAGTGACATCAGATATTTGATTACTTCAAAAGAATGATGAAGATGTCTATAAAACGCAGATGTCCCTACTGTTAAAAACTTGAAATTTCACGACGATAATTTTCAGATTTCGAAATAATGTAATATCTTCCCAATATTGATTCGTCCTTCCTTCTTTCACAGAAAAAAATAGTGTATTATACACGGGAAAAATATTAGATTTTAGCTCACGGTTTTTTGTCTCCCTCCGCTACGCGTCGGGAGACAACACAACCTGGAGCTAAAATCTACTACTTTTTTCCCTTGTATAATAAATAACTATTTTTGTTTTCTAAAAGAATCGAATTTGGACAATGAAAAGTGGTACGCAGAAATTGAGATTAACCCAGACAGCACAGAATGTTCTATGAATGTTCTCACAACGTTCACAGTGTACCTCCTTCAGAATATTCCAAAGAATATTTATAGAATACGATGAGGATGTTCTGAATGTTCATAAAACATTTCATCTAAATATCAAAATATCTTTGGAACATTCTTAGAATATTCCATTATATTCTATAAATGTTATTCAGGGATGATCCTAGAATGTATTGTTAGAATATTCTAGGTATGTTCTCCAGGTATGAACATAATATAGAATATATTTTTCAGATACCCTGAGAAAGAGAAAAATATTTCGTTTCCTATATAAAAATGTCCTTCGTTTTTGAGTCGAATTTCATTGAAAGAAATCGATCGCTGATTCTGATAAAACTTGTCATTCTCATCTGCGTTAATGTGAATTATTCTAATTTATTACCGCTATTTTCTCTAATTCTTCTACCCGTTAGGGATGCTGAAACCAAATATGCTATCACACATCGTGATATTCGTGAGGCATCCATGATGTCTATGGTATATGTATAAATGTGTATGTAAATGATAATGTAATAGTCATACTTTTGGAATATACAGTTATGAAAATATTTGATATTTTTCTCCTATATCATTCCTCGAAATATTTTCCATACGCATGAGAATATTCCTAGATCATTCTGAGGATATTCTATATATTCATCAAATGTCATGAGAATGTTCTGAAGAATATTCTGAGAACGGTCTTGGAACATGAATTTTCGTTCCAGTTAAATGTTCTTAAAATATTCTCAGAACGTTCATAGCACTTTATGTTCCACGGGAATATTCTGAGAACGTTATCAGAATCACGTTGTGCTGTCTGGGAAGTCGATGCCTCTAATTTTAACATGTCAACGTCTTTACAGCCTAATTCAACCTCATAGACCAGACATCTCAGAACTGATGGTGACAGGAAACAAACTATCAATCGATGACCAAGAGCATCCAGATGATGTCACCAAAACTTCAATATCAGAATACAATCAGTATTCGAAAAAAATTTCGTTCGAGGTGCATCGAATACCGAAAATTTCATTCAGCATAAACGAAGTAGCCTTCTCAAACGACGAAAATTTGACTAGTGGAATGAAAACAATCCGTTTGTTGTTCGAAATGAAAGAATTGCAAAACACCCCAGTGACTAAACAAGTGACATTCGAGAACTGGGGCATAAGAACGCTGAGGTTTTACTGGCACAAGTTCGAAAAATTCCGGACGTTTCGAGATATAGTACCGAATCGTCCTCAGGCAACTGCCTTCTATTTCGACAAAACCGAAATCCTTTTGGTGCCTGGCAGAAAATTCCAGCTGCCGATTTGGTTCATGCCCGAACAAGAAGGCCATTATACCGAGTGTTGGGAGATAACAACTTCCCCAAAATTCTGGAACGAAGACTTTAAATTTATCGTTCGCTTGCAAGGGTTTGTCACTGATGGGAATTTCGAGGCGAGATGTGGGGCTATAAAGGATATGCTGGACACTAAAGTGAGGAACACTCTGATCAAGGATATACTGAATGAGAGTATGGGTGGTTTGCGATATGCTGAGACCGGACCTGTCGTTTATCATTTTTCTGAGAAAGAATTGTTCGAGAGTGCCAATCAAGAGGTCATAGGGGTTGCGAAAAAGCCGAAATATTTGTATGACCAAGATTTGGTCGGCGAGTTGAAAGAAATATACAAGATTGTTAGGAATACCAACGACTGTGGTGAAGAATGGGACTATTCCATAGAGAAGCTAAAAGTTCTGGCACGTGAGAAAGATGTCGTGGAATATGTAGAGAAATTGACAGCAGATTGTGCAAGGTCAAAAAATAGACTGAGGGAGTTGTGCAGCCCTATTGAACAATCAGAGGCAGGTCAGAAAATCGAAGAAGCAGGTATATGATTATCTTCTTATTTATTATTTTCGTTAAGGATTTTCAAATCGATTTCTCAAAATCTTTGTGATTTTCTCTCCTCCTTTCTATAGATATAAGTCTTGTATTATTTCAATATAATTGTACTGAAATGTCGCTGCTCTTAAAATTTCACACAGGCGGCTAGCGACACGGATACCACTTTGCTCCGAACATTAAAAATTTCCTAAATAAAAATATCAGTGAAAAAGCGATTCACTAGAGTCTCTGTATGTATTTGACAGTTTTATGACAAGCAGTGACAGAAGGCATAACCCCAAATTCTTAAAATGACTGAGGTTTGGTTGAACAAAGACATGGATATGATTTTCCATGCACTTCGGATCTTCTATCCTCTACTGCCGCGGTGAAGGGTTCATCCATATATCTTTCTTTGTCTTTTTTTTATAAAGAAGTGGTGTCTCATCTCACTGGCCAAAACGGGTCATAGTTTGTATCTTAATTTATTGATAGGATTTCTCGATATACTTAACAACGGGTATATGTCTAGTCAATTTATTTAATTTAAGAATGCACTAGTTTTTCAATAGAAGAGTCAGAATTTAGTAGCCAGTTCTGCTGAGCGAGATGTAAATGAATGGGAAGAACAATAATTCAACCAATTAACAAACATATTTGGTCTCATAAAATACTAAGACACTTCATAGTGCATGATTGATAAGAATATTCGACAAATACAAGTATAATGATTATAGTTCAAGTTTCCACACAGTCTTCCAAAGATTTGTGATGAGATAGTTCAAGATTTTAAATTAGTTCCTTATGAAAGCTGTGAATTCTCGTTACTTGTAGTCTCATTTCAGTCTTTTTGTTTCAAGATATTTTTCAACTGTTAATACTTTTCTTTGATTTCTCATCTTTCTCTATTGAAAAATTTTGAATGTTTGCATATTTTCTCTCTTGTTTGTGATCTGAAATACAGTTAATTTGATCTTGGCTTCCTATTTGAATTTTTTTAAACAATTTCGGTTTGTATCAGAATTATTCATTGAAAATGTATGGAAAATGTAGACGGAAGTAAAATCGAAGAGAATGTTATAGGTAGGTAGTTGCATATAATTCCAAGAGCTCTAGGTAAAACTAAAGCTCTCATCTTCTTGTGGGCAATTCATTCAATTTTACGTTTTTTGTCATGCTAAGCATGCACTTTGCTATTTTTGCATGTCCTGTTATTGTCCCTTCACTTGCCCAGTTTTCTGAGTCCCGCATCCTCAGGTGGGCCGCCATCGCCTCCTTCTTTATCCAGATTTGAAGCGGTGGTAGCCCCAGCATTACTTCTAATGCTGCGAGCTTACACTATCTTAACATCAAGAATCAGTTGGAAAAAATCCATGCAAATGTGCATGCTTTTATTTTAGAAAACGCTCTCTTAATTTGGAATATTTTCGACAATGCAGTGTTGCCGCTTCTTTTTTTAAAGTTCTGGTTCCCACGAAAAGGGATATCCTGTAATGTTCAGAGAACATCGTGAGAACCAAGGGATGGTGAGAATTGGTGTTCTTAAATTTCTGGAGGTTATATGCCTCGGGGAACACGTCCCTTGGCAATGTGTTCCAAAGCCACGCTGTTCGTTGGATAAACGAGTCTTTGGAAAGAGATGTTCTGCAGGTCTCTCGAATTGTTGATATTTCAGAAGAGCATCTTCCATGAAAATATCTATAAAATAGGGCCAGATCGCCAACTTGTCTACGGTGTTCCAGAGAAGTGAGTGAGTTTGTGAGCGAGGCATCACCCACGAGACGAATTGCCCTCTTTTGGACAGAATCCAACAGTCTCAGGGTATGTTTGGGTGCTGCACTCCAAATATGGGAATAGTATTCCAGGACAGGTCGGATCTGTGCCTTATAGATCATAAGCAGCTGACTAGAAGTGAAATAGTTCCTTGCCCGAAACAGAAAACGCAAGTTTCTGGTATGCACTTTTAGCAATTGATCTCACGTGATTTTCCCAAGAAAGGTTATTGCTGATGCTCAAAGGTATGGTTACTCCTGACAGACTTATGTTGGGCACAGTGAGATCGGCTTTCCTAGAGAAAAGGCACGCTTGTGTTTTGTTTGCATTGAAATCTACCAAGTTATTGGATTCCCATTCTAGAATTGTTGCCAAGTCCATATATTTATGTTGTCAATATTGATATTTCAAATGGATCATTCTGTATTTTATCACATTTTTAGATTCTCCCTGAAGAGCTGATTTCATCGATATATCACACTTGGGATCTATAGAAAATGATAACAGAGATATAGGGTGTTCAAAATCGAGATTTTTCAACTCTAGGATTTTTTGTGTCGAAACTATTCATAATTGTTGTTGTTGTTGTTGTTGTTGTTGTTGTTGTTCTTTATTACCCCAAGAAACATATTTGTTTATAATAGGGATACATAAACATATGATATATATATATATATATAAAACAATAAAAAAAAAACTAATTAACAAGTTATGTCAATATAACATAATAATTAAAATAAAACCATTCCAAGTATTCAAATGAGAATAAATTGCTCCGTTTATTGTGTCATGAGTATATGTTTTTTCATATTGACTTTGAATCTTGTTTCATCATCAATATGTTTCAAATCGAAACGGCTCACATGTCCCAATCTCAACTTCTGATTCACTATTTACTGATATTTAATCGGAACAGATACAGGGTGGTTCAATATTATTCAGAATTCTGTACAATCTTATTAGAACAAGATTGGAATAAAGCCATTTCAAAGTTTTTTTTCAATTCCTTATTTATATGTTCTAGAATTACTGGGTTTTGATTCTCATATAGAAGAACTGTATCGTCTGCATATATGGTATAGTTTCCTACCAAATTTATTCAAGATTTTGAATGTATAATAGATAAAGTAGACCCAACACTGATCCTTGAGGAACCTCTTTGTTCAAATATAGTATCTTAGACTCACAGTTATTCATTTTAGTTCTAATAGTTCTATTTTCAAGATATGGTTTCGAGAGATTGTGTCCAATGGCCGTGTACACCTTAGTAGAACTTTTTACTCAATCCATGTTTATAATGATCCTTTTATACAAAAATAATGATTGACGACATAATTCGATCGAAGAATTAACTGGAATGTTTTATTTTTGGACATCGGAGTACCTGCAGTAATTATTTAGTCCAGAAACTTCATTTCATGTTTTGATTCAAATGACAATCAGAAATATTCTTGCTCTCACAGCAAAAAGAAGAATGGATACGTAAGTCGAATCTTATAGATGGTTGCATTGGATTGTTGTTATTGTTATCGTGAATTTTAATGATTAGCAAAAAAATGTACAGTGCTCTGAGAAAAAAAAAACGGTTTGCAACAGTGAACTAGTTAGGTTTATTAGTTCCACGAAATAATGAAATAATATGATTCACTGAAACAGGCCCAATGCTACTCATGAATATTCTCTAATACTGAGGGGGGATAAAAATGAAAATGTTTGAATTTCATAAAGCAGCTACGGGATCATGGAAACATGTAATGTTTTCCAGAAGTTTCAGATAATCATTGTTTGTAAGGGTTATTTTTCATCTAAGTATTAATGGCTAAATCAATAAAAATGGAATAAAACTTCACATTGTTTTCAGTTGTGGAAAATGATGAGCCAAATATGAAACGAAATAATTTGAAAAGACTTCAAATCCTGCTGCAAAAACTAGAAAGACCGGCTATGATTCCAAATACAGAACGCGAAAAATTCCTCCATGCCTACTTCGTAATGGGCACTTATTTTTCCAAAATGTGCGCTGCCCTTGACGCTCTCGATGGTGGTAACGGTGAAATTTTAAAAAATTACCAGCCCTTCTACGATTTTAGAAGTATCTCCAGTATAGAGGATTTGCCTAGCAGGCTAGTTATCGAGAAATTTGATGACATTTGGGTCGAAAGGACAAAGAGAGCACCCCCTGAACCCCAAACTGGATTCACAATGACGCCCAAGCCAAGAATTTTGGAAAACATACCCCTAGAAGACACCACAACTGTATTCAATACCTACTTCAAAAAAACTCCTCAAAAATCAGAGAACAAAGGGACAAAGTCTGTGCAGAAGCCAGCACCAATCCTAGAGAAAAGCAAGTCCAAACAGCTGTCCATTATGAAAATGTCCCAGACCCAGACCGTCCCGGAAGGTCCAATCAGGGAAAACTTTGATCCTTTCGCAGATATCGAGAATGTAAGCCTATACCCCACCATTTTAAACGAATCCATTGCCAGCTCATTACTAACAGGACCAAAGATCGAGGATAACCATAGTAAGGAGCAAAAAACTGAGTATGACTACCAAAAATACCTGATTGTCTACACTAGCCTGTGCTCAGCAGTGGACGCTATGGTAGCTACATTGGAAACGCTCAAAGAACTTGTGGTACCAGTAGAAACATTCGCAGAAGTCAGCAGAACGCCAGCTAAAATCAGAACAGAACCTCAAAATATCAACAGGTAGATAACTCTTACACTTCACATAATATTTTAACAACATTGAAACAAAGCGTTTGCGGAAATGTGATAGCATGCAATTTCTTCTGTCTGTCTGCCTGTTTCAGTCAAAGTTTACATAATTATTTCGGAGTACTAACCGAAACTAGTTCGCTACCACAAACCGTTTTCTCCTCAGAGCTTTTTACGTTGTAAGTTGACGAAATACACCGACCGTGAACAATTCAAAATCCAATGCAACCATAAACGATACGACTCACGTATCCATTCCCCATTCATAAAGACAAAGTAAGAATATAAATACTCAAAGCTCAAAGTCATTTTCACAAATGTTCCTAAATGAACGTAACTGGTAGATAACGAGAGAAAAACAACTTATTTCCTAGCTATATGCCACGTCTGTTGGCTCACAATTTGAAAAGTGCCGATTATTATTATCAAAAAACTATATGTGATGATTTTGAATATCAAATCAATGCGTCAAATACCATTCATACATAGAAAATTCAATATAAAATAGGAAGATGCGTAAATTCGATTGAGCATTTTCACCCTGGAATATTAGAACGTAGTCAATTTACTGCATATCTTGCACTGCTATGTAATTTTTGCAATTATTAAGACCCTTGAAATACCCAGCAATTCAAAAAGGAATACTATATATACATGTTATGAGTTGCAAAATTTAGAATTACTTCATAAGTAATGACTAGTACATACTAGCACAAGTCAAAAATTATAAATCTGCAGTGGAAGTTGTAGATGTTCTCGAACGAATAAACACAAGGGAACATGAATACAAGGATATTCAAGTTATTGATAATTAGACGATTTCAGCTCACACCAAGTAACTAATAATGAGCACAGGAATTCTTTTTGCCTTCCCAGACTTGAAGATATCCTAGAGTGTGAATAATCAGTAAACTAAGAACATATTTTCTTCAAACTTTGCACACATATAAATATTTCCGATGAACATACATGTTTTCAATGGCTCCTGAGGGATTTTTTGACAACCGAGGTCATGAGTGTCAACTTTTAATACAACTACAACAGATCCGCTCCTCCGCAGTTTCAACTTTTTGCAGGCTGTCGGACTCATATTAGACCTAGAGTCCCTGTATATTTGTCTAAGGTATACAGGGTGATTCAAAAGTAAGCGGCATCCTTTCAGAGGCGTATTCCTTGCATGAAAATAAGGCAAAAAGTTCCTATTGATAAGGATCCGAAAATGCTTCCTAAGGGAGCTACGGCCCTTTGAATAGGACACCTCAAAGACGGTTTTTTCTCTATAACTTTAAAATCCTTCACAACAAATTTTTAAAAATTGGTGTACGGCATAAACATTCGATGGTAAATAGGACTCCGTATTCGAAATAATTTCCAAACGAAATCACAGTAACCTGAATATCCGGAGAAGAAGGGATATTTTTACACTTACCCTCTCCCGCATGTGACGCCCCTGAATGAAATTCTGAAATTTCGAATACGGAGTCCTATTTACCATCGAATGTTTATGCCGTACACCAATTTTTAAAAATTTGTTGTGAAGGATTTTAAAGTTATAGAGAAAAAACCGTCTTTGAGGTGTCCTATTCAAAGGGCCGTAGCTCCCTTAGGAAGCATTTTCGGATCCTTATCAATAGGAACTTTTTGCCTTATTTTCAAGCAAGGAATACGCCTCTGAAAGGATGCCGCTTACTTTTGAATCACCCTGTATACAGGGACTCTAATTAGACCCTGTTTATTGATCTGGCCAGTTCCTCAAGCTGCATACATATATAAATATTTCCGATGACAATACATGTTTTCAAAGTTAGCAAAGAAAAAACTTTGAGTTAACTTGAAGGTAATCTAATTCTATTAGTAATATCAATGAAGAACATGACTATATGACTGTAATTTCAACATAACGAATTTTCGACAGTTGTTCATCGGAAGAGGACCCGTACTTTCGGTACCTCCTAGACACTCATCTGACCAACAACCCAGCCACAAAGGAATACTTCATCCACGGTCGTACAGCGCCATCTGTTGAGGAGTTATCGGTGCGAGAAGAGCCGAGCGTTCACGAGGAGTTGCCGAATCTGTTCAAGTCCCACGAGACGCTGGTCGTGGAACCAATAGAGTCGCGAAGCACTCTCTTGTCACAGGGTGTACAGACTAGTTATACTGGTATGGACTCAGTGACGTCAGAGACTGTGCTCAAGGTCGAGTCATTGGAAGGGATCCAATGTGGTGGACCAACAAATATTGAGGAAAGTGAGAAGACTAGTGATATTTTTTATTTTATGGATAAGGAACGCGCAGAAGAATGAGTAGCTGAGATAGCACCGAATAAGACGACTGATATGCATTGGGAAATATAAATTATACCATCGTATGGATTTCAATTTCAATTTATGGTATCTTGCTGTGTGGCACATCTCTAACCACACATAATGTGAAGTCTATAGGTGTATTGAAACATATAAAATTTTACTCATCTCTGGGTGTTTCGGCGATTTGAATCTGCTCCCATTTTCAACATAAAAATGGAAAATAAATATTGAGATATATCTCTCCGTTTTTGTATTTTGACATTTCTCAGTGATAGAAGTTATTAGAAAAATGTGTGAGTCATAGGATGTTTCTCTAATTGATCTTGTATTTACCATTTTCATAATCAGTTTTCCGGAGTGAATACCATCTATGTTATTATATCTCCGATTAGAAGAATGCTAACAGATTCCTTGATTGTTTTTGGTAGGAAGCGTTATTGTTATCTTCTCCTATGATTTCAATATCATTCCACTCCGCCATATGTTGTCAATTTTCAGCAATAATATGTTCAGCTAATTTTAATCTGTTGATATGTCTTTTCTTCTTATTGTACTAATGTTTTTTTTGTCACTAAATGAGAAAGGTCTCTTAGTATCACCTGTATAATACTTACCGCAAACACAAGTACAATTTTTTGATGATTGTTTTTCATTTTTTGGTCTTGTTTATATTGCATGAATCCACGTTACTAAAATTTGTTTCCATCAGGACAACTTAGAACAAAATCAAGTCAACCAGTCAAATGTTGGCTACTAAATCATGCATAGAAGTAATATTATAATTCATTCAATCATTCTTAATAATTCTCAGTTTGATTAAGGAAAAAAACTTCATTTAATGAAAATATAAATTAGAACAATTCGAAAATCAACAATTGAATCAATGATTCACAATTAAAAAAATAAAACAATCCATCCTAGTAAAAAAAAATTATTCATTGCCTAGTTTTGTACTTTGAGTAATCTCATTATTCTTAATTAGATTGAAAATCGCCATTGGAATATTCATGGACTGGTCGTCTATTAAAACAATGTCAAAGGTGTCCATGTAGCTTGGCAGTGCTTCTTCACTCTAAAAAAACGTGGATAAGTAAATTCTCTGAAGGTGTAAGCATCACTATTTATCTTTATTCAAATTGAAAAAAGTCACCATGGAAGTATTTTAGATTGAACGAAATTAGACAGGCTATTGTGATGACAATCTCCCATTTGTGATTATAAACTGAGCGTTTATGAGAGGTCAGAATTCTTTAGTGGATAAATAAGTTATCTAAATATGAACATTTATATTATTTATATGGAACTTTTTGCATGATATTCACATTAGACTGTTTTATCACAAACCAAATCGAATTTTTAAGGTCTTAAGGAGAAGATATATAAACAAATGGAAGATTAAAACTGAAACAGTGGTAAAACAGTGTAGTGTGATTCTGAAATGTTATCTAGATACAAAATCTACCACATGATCATGATAATGATGTAATAAAAAAATATATATTTCTCACCCTCTCATATAAGAATCCAATTTTCAAAACACTACTCAAGTGTTCCATGCCCTCTACCATATTGGCATCCCCAAGTGTATCTCCCATCAGAATTACATTATCTCTGTCTGCTACTTTACTATAAAAGTCACTTCCTTTGATTGCAAACTCATTCTTGTTGTAGGTATGAATGATGCTGTTTTTGAAACCCACAATTGTACCTTCATTGTCATACTTCAAAAAATTTGAGACTACCTAGAATACATCAGAGCCAATCTAATCTTGACAATGTCCTGGAAACCTTATTTGAGCTAGCAGAACCAATTTAAGGTTAGGTTATTACCTGATTGCGGAATTTGTTACTCTTGAATTTTTGCAGAAAAACGTGAGTTCTGCTAGCTCGACGTCATGCTTGCTGATTCAAAGCTATATCACTATCCAATCACATATTTTGTTGGACTCTAATTGTTTGTAAAATGACAGGTTTTGCTAGCTTTACCCTAAGGTTAACAGAACCAAAACTTGCATAGATGTAATACAAGGAAAATAAATATACCATAATCTGAAGGTATTTTATGACCCTTGCTTAAGCCCATCAACGATTTTTTGGCTACTCGATTATTTGCAAGAATTTCTAAAATTCACAAAGCTAAATGTAAAGCTAGCAGAGCCATTTGAAATAGTTTAATTACTAAACTTAATCAATACTATAATCATAATTTGAGGCTTGCATCCTATCCAATTGCTGATTACTTTGTGGTTTGTTTTTTTGAAAAACAAATAAGATCATTAGTTTCGTTAGTTTTTTACCAATAAAGCTATCAGCAGGGGCGGATCCAGGCGATGTTCGAGGAGGGTGCCATAGAATGACGCGGCTCACTAATATCAAGGTTAGTAAGGAATGGGTTGCGTGCAAGAACTGTCAGATGACCGACACTGGAGGCAAAACATTGAAACACAACGTCACTTTACTTATTTATTTACAAGTGATCGAAATAGTTTTCCACAATTATTTTGGCATATGAATCGTATTTTTCCGTTATTCATCAATTCGCTCATGCCATCACATTGTGCTGTTGTAAAATGCACAAAAACTGCAGCGGAAGATGAAGCAATCCGGATGGTACATTATGATTTAAAAGTAAGTACCTATACTATAGTCACTCACATATAGTTTTCATTTTTGAAATTTGGTAATTTCTCTGATTTCTCATCGGAATCCCTTCTGCAATAGGAGCTAATAGAAATATACCTGAAATTTCTAGAATAATGCAAGAAGATTGGATTCATGCAATCAATCGGGAGGACTGGTCTGACATGCTGACGATCGTGTGTGTTGTAGACATTTTCAATCTATTAGCAGCATTAGCTTGTATTGCAGAAGTGGCAGAAGGAATTTTAATAAGGAATGACTCATAATGATAACTATGTGAGATTACTATTTACCTGAAAAATCATATTCCCTAGTCTCTTGCTGCATTTTTTGTGCATTGTACAACAGCACAATGCGAAGGCATGCTTGAATTAATGAATACTGCAAGAAACACGATTCCTATGCCAAAATATTGTGAAAAACTATTTCAACCTTTTGATTTCTCTGTAACCAAATAAAAAAGTGAGGTTGTGTTTCAATAATTCACAGAAGAATGAGGTTGTGTTTCAATATTTTGCCTCGAGGGTTAGTCTTCGTGCACGCGACCTATAGGGATTTTCGGGGATTTTCATTTCTACCTCCTGAGGATAACTATATCTTTACATATTCATGAGGTTTGATAGGAGGAATATGACGAGCCACCCCCCCCCCCTTGCCTCCCCCTCCGGACGCCCCTGCTCAAGGAGCTCTATTCAAAAATGTGGACAAATCTGAAATATTCAGATTTTCACAGCATACTTCTGTTTGTTGAAGGAGTCAAAAATTCTTAAACAACTATAAGGCTTTTTTCCAAACAGTGACAAGCTTTTTCAATTCAGGCATCATAGCTGAAAAATCCCCACACAAAATTTTCACGTGATATCTCATATAGGGTGTTAGTTATTCAATGGCAAATTTCAGAATTCTTGCTTTTTTATTCACCCTGTAATAAAATCTGAGGAGTTGATATAACCGGTGAGGTGGCGATTCAATGAAGAGACACAGAATATTCAGATACAAAGTTTCAACATTGCACCTAAGTTCTACAGGAAAATGTATCTAGGACAACCAAAAATCAAGGTTCACCATTTTGGAAACTTAAGTAAACCCTTTTTCACACTCTTTACCACCAATAACACACACATAATGACAGACAAACAGTCTCCTGAAGAAACTATTACTTCAATCCATTAAATTCATTAATTTCATAAAGTTATATTTTTCATATGGATAATGTGACTATTCGTATTTTCCTGAAATTTGGTGATTTTTTGGCGTGTTTCTCAAGAAATTTTGGGGACATCAATTTTTGTGTTCAAGATGGCATTGATCTTTTTTTCAGTCTTACAAGTTCATCAGATGATGACCAATAACAATTTAACATACAGGTATACTTGGAGAGCCTGAAATACCTTTCAAGTATTGTAAAACTCTTGAAAATGTTTCTGTTACCCAAGTTATAGTATGCTGAGTAGAGTTACATGTTTTAATTTTCAATATTACTTCTAATCTTCATTCTACTCAAGGTTTAGTTTGCATGCCTTTAATTAGGGTATAGGTAGTTAGTTCAGGTTTTTTTATATTGATGAAAAAACAATACATTTGGCAATTGATGGGTAATGAATAATCAGCTTGTAGTAATGATCTCAGGAAAAAATCAAACATTTTAAAGTGGTTAGCTAGACGATTCTTATTCAACTATATATCTGACTTCACAATGTGATCAGGAATTGATATTTTATGGAATTCTACCAAATTCTTATTATCCTTTTTACCTCAACATTTGATAGATGAACATCACAATGCTTCAAAACAGCTACCACAGTATCACCTAGTCCTGCTGAAAACACCAGAACTGGTATTTCAGCTTTGTATAATTCATCAAAAAATTCTTTAGTCCGACTCCTGAAAAAATCTTGGGACTTCAAGTACCTACAGTATATTTGGAAAAATCTCTCACCTCAATGATGGTCCTAGTTCAGCACAAACTCTGGCTATTTCTTCAGGGCTGACTCTCATTCCTCTAAAACAGAAAGATTTAACAGCAATTCAGTGTTCTAGAGAAATGTCTACTTTAGGGAATCTTCTGACAAAGACCACCATTCTTCCATGAGAATCTTCTTTTCTAGCATTGATATGTTAGGATCCACTTCAACTGGTGCATATTTTTTTGTCAGCTCTGTATTCATTTTGATATGATCTTCAGATACAGAGGGACATCTACTGAACATACCTGAAGCATAATTAAGTGTTTTATAATAGGAGACAACTATAATTATAAGAACACAGCTAAGAATACTCACCAAAACTACTGATGTGTAATTTGCCATTTTCATGCTGTTTAGTAATTGTCTTATCAAAATCAGATACAACTTGGAGTTTTCCACAGCCACCATCAATTAAATTGTGGATAATTTTGTTCACTTGCTCTGTACTCTTCATAAAAACTTGGTTTCCATTCAGCTCAGTGATTTGTTTCACATAGTTTTTCATTATCACCTTGGTTGGTCTCAGTCTTGCAGGAAAGTGGCCTAACCTGAAAATACTTAGTTGACAAATTGCACATCTCATTTAAAAAATGGACAGGTTTGCTAATTCACCACAGTTGACCTCATTTCTATGAAAACTCTCCATTCTATTATGACAAAAATAATATTATCTTCAATGTGGACAAATCTGGGAGATAACCAGAACGGCTGTGCCAGAGGTCATCCTATAAATACCTAAACAACAAAGTAAACAACATAAATTACTAATTAATAATTTTGTGGCCTGCATTTTGGTTGACAGGTTGTGACCCCTTGAGCTACCTTTCAATAAGTCCTGCCTGAGATGTGATCAAGGTAAATTAATAGTGTTTGTAAATATAAATGGTGCATAAACATAAAGTATAGTACTAGTACCACTGACCAGTGACCAGTTGACCACAGTCAGTTCACCTCAGTGTCTCAGTCAGGTCTCACTGGTCTCAGGTCCCTCCACGAAGATGAGCCCCAACTTTGACCTGACTTTGACGGCCAACTAAGTTGGCTTTAAATTTAACGGAGCAAAGAGTCCCAAAGACTTTAAATTCAAAGATAATTTAATGTTAACAAATATAAATAAAATATAACCTCTTTTCCTGTTTGACTTTGACACTTACCAAAGATGGCTTACTTAATATAGCGTTTTCCACTTGGTGTTACAGTGCAGTGTGCAGTGCACCTTTCACACCACACCAGTCACACCACTAGCACTAAAGCGGCTAGCGACACGGATTTCACTTCGTTCTGAGACTTCCGCATGCGCAAGCGGCGTTCACAACTAAACTTTTTACGTTTTGCTTTTATTTTCGTATTCTGATTGGTGAAGCAAAATCTGTAATTGAAATGACGCAAAAAGCTGGAAATATTCAGCCATCGTTTGTGAAAATTGTGAAAATTGTCAAAATAGACGAATAATATGGAACATTCTGTAATAATATGGAAGTAATGATAATGTTTCATGATTTTTTAGTGAATTCACAGAATAGTATATAGGTATACTGTTCAATTCATTATTTTCTTGTTGAAGATTGATTTTTCTCTTCAAGCATTGAATAAGTATCAATTTTCGTCACCGCCAATTCTATGAATATTATTTATTATCTGATCAAAATATTATTGTTATGATTATTTAAATAATGGAAGTGAGATATGGTGTAATTACTGATGCGCTTTTGTTCCAGAAATTTAACTCAACCTCTCGAGAGCAGCAAGAGCAATGGTTCCGTTGATCTTCTAATAGATGGCGACATTGCACAATTATGACTTCTGTCAGTTTTGAAATTGTCGGAGATTTTTCGAATTCAGAGTTGTTTAATCCCACTGTTACATATGTTTCGCGTACCTAAAATGGCATTTGCCATTTTATTTCCACTCGTCACAGCAGCAATAGCAGCATCACCATCTAGCGGGAAAATGTAGAATCAACGTCTCGCTCGTTGTGACGTAGAAAAATCATAGTAGACCGGTCGAGTGATTTTTCTGAAATTTTCAATACGTAATAATGGCCGAAATATTCATCCAGGAAAAAGGATATAATGATGCGATCAATTATTATTCAAACATAATTATTGATTTTTTTATTGAATCAAAAGTGAAATTTTATTTTTATCCTCACATGATTAGGAAGTCAAATGGATACAAAATTGTTATCATATATATTCATTCAAATTACACAATATATACCTACCTATTAATTGTGTAGGGTGAGCGAAGCTCAATGTCTCACAGTACTATCAGAAGAAAAAGAAAAACGGTAGAAAAAAATTGAAGAGAGGTTCTTGAATGATATTGAGTACCTATATATACCGGGTGACACAGGGTATCGGGCCACCCCTGTAACTTCTGCTTTCGTCATCGGATTTTTCTGAAATTCGGTACAGTTATATAAGCAATCATTTCGGATTTGATCACATTACAATCCAATATGGCGGACTTCCGGTTTTTCTGGAAATGCCAGCAACTTTGTTTTTTCAAATGGAACACCCTGTATATTTTTATATATTCAAGTTCAACAGGTCGAAACAAGTGCAATCTTTATTTCAAATGTAATTTTTTCGAAAAAAAAATATATTCATTTTTTTTTTTCATTTTACCTCGTAGATAAATGAGATGTGGTCAAGACTATTCACAATGAGTCACACATAACAGAAGAACATAATTTTTTCTGAAAAATTATTTTTTGTGTCACTTATCCAGGAATCACTTTTTGATCAAAACATTTTCTTTTTCGAATGAAACCCCTATGGGCCACCTACCCGTTTCTCTAGAACATACATAAAGGAACAAAATGAAATATCATTTTTGTTTTTCGGTGCAGTAAAAAATTGTATACATTCCAAAATCAACAACTAGTTTATGGATTTCCTTGCAGTTAGAATAATTTTTCAACTAGGTAGGCTGTGGAATAAATGACATTTGACATCAAGATTGCACTTGTTTTGACCTGTTGAACTTGAATATGTAAAAATATACAGGGTGTTCCATTTGAAAAAACAAAATTGCTGGTATTTCCAGAAAAACCGGGAGTGTGCCATATTGGATTGTAATGTGATCAAATCCGAAATAGTTGCTTATATAACTGTACCGAATTTCAGAAAAATCCGTTGACGAATGCAGAAGTTACAGGGGTGGCCCGATAGCCTGTGTCACCCGGTATATAGGTACTCAATATCATTCAAGAACCTCTCTTCAATTTTTTTCTACCGTTTTTCTTTTTCTTCGGTATACCTAAGGTCTAATTTTTGAAAGTACCTATTTTTCCATAAACATTACACTATTATCGAAGGTGAATGAACGGTGAATGAAAGGAAAACCTGAAAAGACAGTTTCAGTGTTTTCACTTTTCTTTCTATAGAATAGGCCTTCTCGAATGAAACAGTGGGTTTCATTGTCAATAAACTTGATACTGATACTTGCGAGCTGAAAGTTGTAGGCAAATCAATGTCCATATGAAAAACATCGTCCTTAGAATCCAAGCTATGAAGATCCATACACACATCCTCAGACACATCCTGAAAATGAATTATCATAGTTTTTCTAAGAAACAATTTTCAACTTACCCATGAAAAATAATTTTTGTTGGTCTTGCTTGTTTTGCATCCAAAGGCAACCCAATATAAAAAACCAATTTCCATTAATTCGAAATCACAAATTTTTTCAACAACAATCAATTCAAATCAACAAGTTCAGTCCATTTAATAAAGACACATTAACAATAATATTCCACATAACAAAAAATGATGAAGTTCTGCCTTCACTTTTTTTGTCTGTTTGGATAAAAATACTCCTATCATTGGATGAATGAAAATTCATCACCAATCCCCCAATTAAACAACATGAGTGCGAAAGAGACAGGTTATGAGTTTTGATAAAGATTTTTTCTATATATTTCGAGGTTGACGACAAAATGATGTACTGACTGGCTTTTCGAGTTACGCATGACTAGTATATCATTGCTATAGTGTTTATAAATAAGTATATATAAGTGTTGCGGTTGCGCAGACTTTATTCCTAGAGTTCTTCAATGATGCCAATGAGTTATATGGTCAGTGTGGCATCAAAACCTAGTCTCTGGATAAAATAATTATTGCTTTTGTTCTTTCAAATTCTACATACCTACCTACTTTAATTACAACTGATGGCAACACTGTATACTGCATACTTCACTCCCTTGACACCCCCCTAACGTAGTTTTCGGGATCATTGGAGCACAAAATATGGCTAGATTTCGCGAGTTTTACTGGTCTCATGCCACCCCGACGTTATGATTTATTGGTATGAATTCTAAATCGAACGATTTGTTCAAAACAAACAACCGTGACTGATGTAAATCTCGCAGTAAAATTTGAATATTTTTCATATTATGGGAACGGCACCTCTATTATTCTCTAGGATTTCTAGGAAGAAAAAACAACACTCAAAACTCTTGAGGAATACTCGAATCAGCTCTTTAATAAAAAACTTTCATTCGGTGTTGACTACATGATAAAAATATGACTGGAATAGGAAAGGAATGATACTCTTTTAGAAGCTTGTCCTAAAAATAAAATCATATATATGGTACTCTGTCAATTATTGATCTATACATCACAACATACCAGATCTAACTCGGGAAACAAGTGATCGTCCTTAGTAAACTATTCTATGGCGGTTAATATTTTCAGAAAAATCGACATTCCTTAGAAAACTGTGGAAGATATGATTATGTTGATATTAATTATAGGTTTTCTGAACTCAGAGTTTTTATTCCAACTACACAAGTTGGAAAACTATTCTTATGTGTGACCTACGTAAATCACCCTGTATAATTTGAGAGTAACGAGAACAGTTAAAACATCAAATGCTCAGTAGAAGTGTTTCACTAAAATAGTCCTCTTCACATATTTTATGATGCATTTTGTAATCGGAAGCATAACCTGAATATTTTAAATACCGCCATTTTGTAAAATGGCTGCCAGAATATACTTGGGTCATCTCATGAATCTATGGTAGAGAAAACATACTAGGCATACTGCTTTGAATAATCGCGTCACAAACGAGCAAAAATCTAATATCTAGCACCTAATTCCTAGGCTCACATCATTCTCTTTTCTTCTACTCCTATATCCTTTCGCAGGTGTCTGGCTTTTTCTGAAAATATGTCTCGAATGGTCTGCAGCAGTCAAAGAACAAAGCCGGATAATAGGCTGAATTCTTTGCAGTTTGCAGTAGTTTTTACATTTTCGGTAAGTATAGGTATAGGCATCTAATATTGTATCGGCAGCGGCAGCGGAGCTGGTGAATGAAACAAAACCAAACTTAACTGGAACACATTGCTGCAACTATCAGGTTTATGGAAAACTTGTGTGGGTACCATACTGCAATTTTGAATCCACTGAAACTTGTAGGTCCCCCTCTCCTGAATTCCGCACAAGTCTCGACTATCAACTACCGATTCCAATTATTTGTTAGATAATGATATGGCACAGGCAAAACGAAATGAGTGCTCAACCAATAATCCACAATTATGATGCCCAGGAGGTTCGTCGTACGACTTGAAGGCAAAATCATGCTTGATTTGTAGAGAGCCAGAAAATAGAACTTTACCGCTCCATTGATGTGAGACATTGTGAGACCCATAATTTAGATGAAAATCATATGAAAAAATTAACTACAGGAAATGCAGAATGGTTCTACCAGAGGAGTTTTGTCGAATTAAATCAATATGTCCAGGTGAGTATGAAAGTCCGGCAGAAGATACTTTTTTCTGAGAGGGTAAGTATCGCTTTTTCTGAACTTTTGATGTTCATAAAATAAACGCTTATGAAGTCGCAGTAAACAGAAAACAAACATAGTTGCAATAATTGTGCCCTCTCTGGATGTTTTGTTCAAAATGTGAATAGAACTGCTGTCTCCAGTGGACACTTGGGAATTCATCACCACCGTCCCCCTCGCCATTTCCTGAAGAACAATCAGTTAGGTAACCTGGAGTTTGATTTGAACGGTCCAGCGTAACTGAAATATTTTTTTTACAAATAATGATCTGAATATTCTTCGTGAAAATCAATGGTGTCGCATGTAGTGGAATTGTTGTCTTGAAACATTAAAATGTGAAATTATAAGCATCGAAAAGTTCTATTCAGTGTTCGTCTTTTCAAT